TGTTTACAAACGGGGACGTAGTTTTGGTTTTTACTGTAAAATGAAAACCATGTGAAATAAAAAAAAAAAAATGATAATGTGTAATCATGTTGTTTATATGAAACTATGTGTCTTGTCTTAAAAATCTCGAGATTGTAGCACGTAAAACATCTGTAGGGAAAGGCGTGGATTTGTGAATGAATGGGATGAGAAAAAAATAGTTCCGTTGTCCAATGAAAATTAATCTTTGTTCCACTGACACATCAGCTTCGAGAATCGCATATTGCACACTGTACAAATATCAAAAAGTTATTACACTGCATATTTGGGCCCACATGGGTAATAAACCCGGTTATGCGTCAGTGAACATTTATGCACACACACGTGACGGTATTGTTCGTCATGTTTTGTGATGTATCTCATCCGACGTTTCCTTGACCTAATGTGTCATCCAGAAGGTACATGTCATGTAAAAATTGTCATCCTTATAGATTTATAATTTGGTGAAACATAATCCTTACTGCTATTAAAAATCTCTCTGTTGCAAATCCTGAACAAATTTGACACTATAATTGCTATACCCTATACACTTGTGTATTCTACTAATCAGAGCCAGTGTATTATGCAACTTAATTAAAAAGTAAAGAGTTGTTCTCACATCTCACTCTATATGTTTGTATCACAGAACTGTATGATCAGTAACGTGTTACCAAAGTCACTGTTTTAACCATCCTATAGTCCCCAATACCGATCAGCTGAACGAATGTTTCTCCAGACCTGAACCTCAACAGCATGTGGACGACGTGGCAGGCATCGCACTTTCTGCTGATATGGATAACACTGCAAGGTATGTTGTGATTATTTTATGAGAAATGATAGCATTAATTCAGTGTTAAGAATGATATGTTTACGATGTCATTAGTGTTTTACTGTGACAGTTACAGTATTTATACAAACACCGTCTAAAGTTGAATTGTTTGATAGGCATTACTTGACAAGGTAGACACAATTCCATAAAATTATTGTCATTCGTCTAAAGTTAGCGGTGTATTGTTGAAGTAGTTTAACAAACTGTTAATCAGATTCAGATTCATTCATACTCTGTAAGATGGCAGCAATATGTACAGCTAATCGTAGATTGATTTGGAGAGGGAACATTAGACACTGAAAATACGCAGAGCTTAACAACCGACTGAAATTTATAACGGCTTGCTAAGTTCGAGTTTCTGGTCATCTTCCCGAAGCAAGGGAGTTAACTAACTCCACAAGTCCAGTTTCCATCCTTGCCGACCTAGGCTTGTATTATGGAGTTACAGTTTGGCTGGACTAACGAGTCTATGCATAGTCCAATCATGATCGCGCAACGAAATCGAAATCCGGTTTGTAAACTGCAGATTTCGGTCGAATGCAGGATTTGCAAATCATGTGCACCGTCACCTCGTTGTCAACAGATATTTCCAGATCTTTTCATGTTTTAAATCAAAGTGCTCGCGTGATTTGATGCACTTCGCGATGTAAGACCTGTTTTATCGCAGTATAGATATTGATTATCGATCAGATCGTCTAGACTGGGCGCCGCCATTTTGTTTGAAACAAATGCAAGTGATACGAGAGGTGGAATCAGATTGGACTATAGGAGAGACTTAGAAGGGACACAACTCGTAATAGCCACTGGTGGCGCTATAATCGAGCCCAGGAATTTCAGCCTAGTTCGGCAAGGGTGGAAACTGGTCTTTTGTAGTCAGTTAACTCCATGGCCTCGTGAAGATGGTTTCTGGTGGAAATTGTTGGCATTTGAAGATGTAACGATGTCATGCTCGTGAATCAGATAGTTTGTACGGATGCCATTCCACTATCCAAGTGTTCTAGGACATCCCACGTCGTTGTTGAGCCCTCAACTGTGTTAGGAACCGCTGGTCGGGGATTCTAAGATTATGACCCACTGTATATTTAATTTGCTTAGGCTACAAACAAACCGGCACTTTTGCAACGTACAGCCGGTATTAAATAAGTCAGTGAATATTACAGTCAGCAATATCGAATTGCATGTAAAATGTCTTTGAATGAATCATGCTGCAGTACGAAAATTAAAAGTAACGACAAAAAGTCCTATTCATATCTCAGGTTTGTGTTTTCATTTACTGGGATAAACATAACATACTTGTAAGTAAATATATAGGGTTTTGACCTAATTGTCAGTGTAAGCGGAATATCTGCTTCAAAAGGCTAGGGCTTATTCTCTTGCATTGACAATTTATATTGAGTGAGTTGACGGGGTATATCGGCTGTCCAGATACTAGTATCTCATTGTAGTTAACGACCCACTATCGTAAATACCATTTAAAACAAGTCTTCAGTATCAATTTGCCTTCACAGTTCTGTGTACAGCTGTCTCTGGCCTGAGAAACAAGACTGCCTGTTACAACTTCATGTTGATGGTCGATCCTCCGTGTGCCGCTACAGAGATGCTTCTTCCTACCATGTTTACACTCGGGGTGTCCTCTGACGTCACATGTCACAGTGAAATAACTGGAGCAAACTTAAGACAGAAGGGAGTAGACGAAAGACGTTGCTGTCAGCAGCGTGAGAATGATAGCTTGAGGGATTACTGCCTTCCTGCTATGAAGAACGAACTCCCGGGTCACTACTACCTGAACTTTGTGAACACGTGCACGGCCGCTACAAAATGTCAGCTGTCTCCACCTGGTGGTAACATGCAGCACACTGCTGGTGAAGACTATGTAACATTCACGTTTGAATGTGTTCACAGTGAGTAGTGTCCATTATAAACTTAATGTTATAAGCTTCCATTATGCACCCCCCCCCCCCCCCCCCCCCCTTCTCTTTACGCAGTTTTTAGTTTCGTCTAAATCAGTAAACGCAATATGGTGACACTGGATTGTCTGGTCCATTATCAGTGGAGTGTCAAGATTTGATTGTTAACTTGCCACCGTCGTATTACAAGAGCACTGCAACAAACAAACCCTTACTTTCTTGTGAGAGTGGCGGGTGCTGCCGGTACCTCAGGACACACCTTTCCTTTTTCACGTACACCTGATGTCATCACTATTTTGCCTATTAATGTCAGTGGAATCTGTTTGGGAAGATAAATCGGGACTGATTACTCTCTGGCGTTGCATGTTATACCACTGTGTATCGTGTAATGGTGTACAGGCACTTTGACTTTTCTATTTTTGCCCATTCTTTCATTGTTGCAAGCTTTTGTACTAAATTATAAGAGACGAACTGGACTAGTGTTAAAAGCGGCGTCAAACCCAACTCACTCACTCACTCACTCACTCACTCACTCACTCACTCATTAATGTGTCTTGTTTTTGTCAGCATCATACCAGCGGTGGCGTGTACTTCCAATGTCGTAAAAGGCTTTGACCTACATCAGTTCTGGTTTCCTTCCAAACTAAGCTGACACGCCATGATTCAGTGAAATTCTGTTCAAAGCTGCGTTAAAATCGCTCACTCATATTATTCCACATAGTACATAGTGTAAACTACTTCATTTGTTCTTTATTATGTTTGATGTTATGAAAAACATGTGATCACTGGATATTGTTTCCAATGCCTATTTACAATAGATACTTGTACATCTACCGTCGTGTTAGAAGTATACACAATATTAATGACTAGGCCATCCTTTTCAGAGGACACGGTGCTGCACATCCAAAATGATTCTACACACACAGGACAGGAGGTGTACCTGTACAACGACCAACATGACGGGGAGGCCCATGCTAACTGTATAGCATACTCTCATGAGTGTAACTCCCATGTCATAATACAACTTGCTGCAACCCGAGTTGTGTCTGCCGCCTGCATTGTGGACTTCACTGACGGGGATGTGTCAACCAAGGTGGACTGTAAAAATACATCTGCATCAAGAAACTGTTCCAGCGCAATGTTTGAGGGCAAGTCCAACTATGTTAACATGTCGATATTCATGACAGTCGACCCTGGACGTCAGGGAAAAGAATTTCTGTGGCTGCGGTCGAAATGTAAGTGATTAATAATTATATTCCCCCTGATTTGTTGGTAAATGGAAATGTGACTAAATTTCTTGCGGAAAATGTTCCTTAATGGTAATTTGACGCCTGACGTCATGTTTATGCTAAAACACGTTCTTCATTGTTTCATCAGAAATTCTGAGTCCTATGAGTTTCCATTTTCATTCAGCGACGCGGACATGTTGGTGATAGCACTGTTGGGACTAATATGTTGTGCAGGCGAAATGTTCCAAGCAGTTGTCTCCGCATATATATATATTCAAGGTGTACTTCTCAATAAAATAGTTCAATCCCTCTTATGAGAGCTTAATGAGCCAGCGCAAGAAGACTAACGGAAACACCAAGTAAACATTATTTAACCACCCCAGATAGCAGTGAATCGATCCTTGCAATGTGGAGTTCTAGATTACACGCCACTATTATGACATCATAATAGTGTTCTAGAGACAGGAAGTCGAAGCAACAGCACAGGAAGTGTTACAGCAACGCAAAATGATGTCATTGTTCAAACTTTTCAGTCGTTTGTCGTTTCGTCCCCTTTCATAAACTTAGGATGCGCTGTATAACAATGTTGATTGGGTAAAATTTGTGTTTGCATGTAATAATCTACCGTTTTTGAGAAAGAAGTCATTTTATTGATATTTTTCAGTGATGTAGTTGTCAAGATAATGATGGCCGAGCGTTGATAAGACACATATTTGTCATGGAAGAACATGCAAACAATTGAACATGGTGAATGCACATGTGCATATATTATTCAAGTGTCTGCAGTATCAATAACCTCTTATTATTTACCTACTATATCGGTAATAACCTACCGAGCATGAAGTGTTTAACAAAAAAATATATATAGCACATAATTTGAAATAAATAACAATAAATAAACTGACGCTGGTGGCGATACTATGTGTGTTAGTATCTGTCTCTGTCTCATTTATTTCATTAATTGGTGCGTATATGCATGAGTATATGTGATGTTGCTCAATAATCATTTATCTGCAGCGGATACAGGTAAAAATGTTACCGTCGTCTGTGGAGCCAACATTCCTGCAGATGTGTCACTGTCTAACTGTCCAACATCTGCATCAACTACTACAACTACAGCTACTGATGTTGCTGATACCACTGCTACTACACAAACAGTGACCTCCAAAAATGCCTCCAGCAACCACAAACCGGTAGCTGGTAAGCACAACCTTCAATAACAACGTCAGCAAGGACAATGATATTACACCAATGGCTCTTCCCACGCTATCGTTGTCCAATGTGAACGACTTTTCCTTCTTCGTCACGCCCCGCCATTCCAATCCAAACTCTCCCACAACAACTACAGAATATGTAGAGGGCGACATGGAAAATGATAAATACAACATTCTTTGGAATTGGCCCATATACAGCCTCAGACCTATCCAAGCTAACAAACTTGATCTTGTCCTTTTTGATAAATCCGATGAAGTCACTGATATCTTAGATTGATAAGATTCACGAAAAACATGGCAATTATGCAGACCTCGCTTTCGAAATGGCCTCTTGCATCCCAAGTACCAAGTTGTCCGACTCCTCATTTTTTCGGTGCCTTAGGTTTGGTACCTCCCAATCTGTTGTCTGACATTGGGAGAATACCCGGGTTTGCTACCTGGAATAGAGCCATTCTGACAATCTTGGTAATGCAGAAGGCTGCAGTTTTTCACATTTTCCGAAATGTTCTCACTGGTTTGACTAGGCAGTGCTTCCTGGCAGAAGTCCCATTCGCTGTCTGGGCTGTGTGTGGAGGGGGCAAGGATCCTGAACTGATGATAAGCCAAACCAGCCTGACTGCGCCAGGATCACCCAAACCCACTTTGCTGCATTTATTATAACCTGTAAAAATAATAATCCCAGACTCATTTTTTCAAGGAGAGGCTATCTCACCAACTATTGCATCGAGTTCATGTGCAGTGTGTTGAGAGGATTAGCAGCCCTGTGCAGTCAGTGAATCAGGAGGTTTTATGTTTGTTGCTCAGGACCAGTCACTTCCCATTCGAAAGTGATTTTGCATCAAAATGTAAACATGAAATGTAGATTATGCAATGAATTTAATAAGACTGTCAAACACATTGTCAGTGGATGCCCAGCTTTGGCACAAACACAGCATCTTAAGCGACATGATGGAGTGTCTCGATCGCCATACTTGCGGTTTTGACACAGAGGCCCATCCATGGTACGACCCATAATATGTTGAGGGCGTCATGGAAAATGATAAATACAACATTCCAAGGAATTGGCCCGTATACAGCCTCAGACTTATCCAGGCTAACAAACCTGATCTTGTTGTTGAATGTTCTGTCCCATTTGACACTAATGTGATTGACAAGATTCAGGAAAAACATGGCAGACGTGCAGACCTCGCTTTCACAATGTCACGCTTGCATCCCAAGTTCCAAGTTGTCTGACTCCCCATTGATCTCGGAGCCTTAGGTTTGAAGTGTTAGTCAATAGTTGCACACCTACTTGTTTTCATCGCTGGCTGAATACGCCCAAGACAGTATAACTATCGTGTTGTCAGAGGCCACTTCACCAATGGATAATGACATATCAACTCCAGCTGCAACAGAAACTCTTCCTTCAACACCAAGCAAAGGTGTTCAAAGTTGGAAGTTCGATGTGAAGCTAATGTAATATTCAATGATAGCCCCCCGAGGTGATGTCCCTTGATCAAACAGTATCTCAGGAGATAACAATAACAATAGCAATAATAATGCATGCTCAAACTGATCGATTGACATTAGCTTTGACTTCAGGTTTACATGAACAAATCTGATACATGTGATTCTATTAAAAGATATACTTTTTTTTTACTTCGTGATCACTCATCTAATGGCACAGTCAAAAATACCGAAATCTATGGTTATTGACAAATGCGATCGAGTGCAGGGCGCTCACATTACGATGTCATACGGGAACGTCACCAAGGGTGCGTTGCAAAAAGCCAATCGCTTTACCAAACGATGTACAGCAATTAGCCTTACAGCAGGGCGGTTACTCCACTTGCAATCGCACCAATCGGTGGCTGACGTCGGTTCCTTCTCAAACCAAATTGGCGGCTAACGGAAATTTGAATTTGACAGGGGAAAAAGAAATTCTTTACTGGGAAATGGACAAAGGCAGCTAACATCCAAGCATCCCCTGTCTGCTCTATATCTTCAATAGTCATCAATAGTCATAAAGTCATGGGCACATCATCGAGCCTCTTCTAATACTTTCTTAATTTGGGCAAGGCAACCAAGCGGTAGTCACACCGCAATTTTGGAAGAGTGCAACTGCTTCAAGCTGTTGCAGACCCTGAGATGAGTGATAAACTTACTTACTTTAAGCGATTCGTGGCTTGCAACGTGCCCCATATTTACACTGGTTTTATTTCTCAATGGCCTATTTCTTTTCTTGATCATTTTAGCTTCTGTTTTGAGTTAATGAACTCAGGTAAAAACCATAATTAGGCCATAATTCGTGACTCACAACATCACATACTCGCATGTAAAACATATGTTAACAGAGGTGCTTATCATCGGCAGCAGTGTGGGAGGAGTCATCATGATAGCAATCATAGTGACAATCACGGTCTGTGTCCGACGAAAGAAAAGGTAAAAGCTTTTACAATTAGTATTACTATATCGGTGAATAGCATACCCATACATTCTTCTAAATGAACATTTACTCTATATGGAATTTGTCATGAATGAATGGCTGTGTTCTTAGATATACATGGCATCTCAATTTAGGAGTATATTTGTGATTGATCTTTCATTTATCGTTGATAAAATGATCATGCATGGTTACTGAGATTAGATAAATCAGAGCAACACTCCTAATTTCCTATACTTCCGTAAAAAACATGATATAAAATAAGTTCAGGACAAGAGTTTATGGATGTCAACTTCAGTATTATGAGGAACACAACATTTCGGAGTATATGCTTACTCCTTCATCAGGTGACATGTATTTGCTTCAACCTTTCACCTGATGAAGGAGTAAGTATATACTCCTAAATGTTGTGTTCTTCATTATAAAGTAGTTGACATTAATAAATTCTCTATCTCATGTATATCATTTTGATGCCATTCAAAGACTTGATATACTACGATAGTATCGAATGTGTCTTACTTGTGCTCCTCATTTTCGACATATTGCATACAACTGTCCTTGAGGCGATGAACACTCCATCATAGGTCTTACTGGTGCCTGAATACGATTATGGTGCAGTAATGGTATATTGTTCGGTAAGAACTATTATATCAATCTGTTCCAAGAAGAAGTATTCCAAAATTAAGGCTATGCACACGTGCTTATACAACAAGTGAAGCAATATATGTATTGCACACATAAAGCCCTCGTTATACCAACTAATTTTTATTTTCTAGAAACAGTTCAGAGAAAACAAATCAAACACGTGGACACATAGAAGAAAACCACGAGGATGGGAATGAGCCAAGCGGTACCCGGAACTCTTTAAGTGATGGATACGTGCCTAACCCAATCTATGAAGGAACTGATGACTACAAGTTGGAGCAATTGCACAGGAAGACTAGCGGTGACATTAACGAGGGCTATGAACCCGGACTGGAGTCACCTTATGGCTTCACGCACTCAGGACCAGCACGTTCGGGCCTCAGTCTGGGCAATACCTCCTGGGTGACGCAAGGACACCTAGACTATTTTGACGACAAAGTTTTCAACACAATTGGGGGAAATTCAGAAGAGAAAAGCAATGGTAGAGTTTCAGATCTCTATGCCAATGTGAACAAAGCACAGGGCACTGATCAGGTGACGGATGTGTACACTCAAGTAGACAAACCCAGGAAGCCTGCTCGTGGAACATCCGGGCAGTACTCTGATGGAGATAACCCAGGGCAGGATGAGGACATTGCAGCCATGTACGCAAAGGTTCAGAAGAAGTGACTCGACATTTGAAGGTCATCTGTATCAGGACATCATAATGTGAATGCATGTAGCGGTAAACTATGCTGGAAGAAATTGATCGCGTTTGTATGCTTTAAAAGGTAAAGTTTTGCATTATTCTATGAAACCTTGTGTCATGTGCATCTAGACATGGGCGTATAATCATGCATATTTAAATTACACATGGCTTTGAATAACAAAAATATGTTTACACTGGATCTACACATATGCGATGCTATTGTGCGTAACACATCATTACAATCAACTTAGGTAATTCTTTCGCATCTATCATTTAATTGCTGTTAAAGGTGTTTTGTCAAGTATGTTCTCACTTGTTAAAAGTCTTATAGATTATAGCTCAAACGCGTATTTACCCTTTTCTGTCCACGTGTGTTGTTCATTCTGCAGTAACAAATGTTTACTTATTAGTGCATATTGTTGTCTATTGCTTGTGTTTATTCATTTTTGAGTGAATTTATTTTGCGCATTTTCCCAAACTTTGCTATTTGTGAGCTGGATAAGACTATGTTCATATTAATTCCATTAACTATGCTGTTCGTACATATCCAAAGTGCGGGTGTAATTCTGTGTGTTTTTCACTACCATGTTAATTGTTCACCTGAAAAAAAGCATCGGAACATATGGTACAAGTCAAAATAGGGAATTGCATCGGACATCATGTTTGTGACTGATGCATCAAATTTGGAAATGTTCTCCAAATGTCTACCATAAAACTTTTTGAAAGCTTTACTGAGGCCTTGAATGTTGTAACCTTAATCAAACAACTTCTGAGCAAGAGTCGTATGACGCTCTTTGAAATCTTTGGTTGAAAAAGCATGCTCGATCGTATCTCAAGAGTTGTGAAACGTAAACACCAAAGGCTGGAGCAGCTGGAATATCGCTCGACCTGAAGGGAAAGTTGACTATTTGAAAGTTGATCTCATCACTCTTGTCATACAGTCTCGTGGAGAGTGTTTTGTCACTCGGAATCTTTATGCATAGATCTAAACATGAAACAGATGAGGCAGTTTCACTGGTCTCCTTTTTTCTAGTTCATTTGGGTAAATCAGTAGAAGGGAATTGGCTATTTGATTGTTATTGAACAATATGAGATCATCGATATACCTGAAGCTTAAGTTAAACTTAAATATGCATAAAGAAACAGATCTGCAAGAAGGGGAGCACAATTGGTGCCCATGGGCATGCCTACTTCTTGCCTAAATGTCTTACCCCCAAATTTTATGTAAATGTTATCAATGAGGAAGTCCCGCATTTCACATATTGTTTTCTCAGTAAACATCAGATGGCATTTGGTTTCATGTTTCATAAAGTGTCCTGAACCTCTGAATATTGTCACGTTACTGTGTCTGTGTTCACCACATTTTGTAACAAAAGCCCCATGGATCAAGGAATGAAGTTTTCCCTTAATTGTGTCATGTTAGACAGTGGTGTACAAAGTTGAAAAATCAGATATTTTGAAAGAATGAACATGGTTCTTTTCTGAGATTGCAGAACTTCAAGCAAACCCTTTGAGGATTTGAGAAACCACATGGTATAACTTCCACTTGTCTCAAATACTTTCTGTGAATATAAATAAAGTCCTCCCTTGTTTGCATTAAGGATTACGGTGAGTCTTTGAGGCAGGGATTTGGTGGTATATTTGGTGGACCCAGCAATATGTCTCTCTTTTGTACGGATTTTTATTTAGCTTTGGAGTTAAGTCAAAAGTTGACAGTACTGATTTATGGTTTGGGCAGATTTCTTTCTCAGTTAACAGACTTGCCTTATATGGAGCATTATTTGATATATCATTTATACCATGTTCTTTGTTCAAGCAATTAATGTAGTGATGCTTACGTATAATGGTTATGCTATTTCAGGCCTTGTCAGAGGGAACAGCTTCAAACTTTTCTTGTAGGGTAGCCAGGGCAGGATAAGAGCTGGTTGGGACAGAATGGGTTTATTCCAATTCCGTTTCCTCTTTTTAATTTTGTGCATTCTAATGAATGACAACATCACGCACTGACTTTAAAACACGAATGAATACAATAACCTTTCAGCGATTTCTTTGGCTAATACTGTGTTCAACGTTCAACGTTCTATTTTTTTATCATAGTCAGCAGACACCCATTCGGTGTTTACAATTATCAAATTACGAAAATCGTTCTGCCAAATCCTACATTGCTGGGTATAGATTATTTATTCATTTTCTGAAAGTTTTACATGAAAAATAGCGAGCGAATAGAGATTTTTTATGACAATGGAAATGTTTTTGGTGCTTTTATTTAGCAAATGTTGAATAGCACTAATATTAGAATGATTCCACGATTTCAAAACGTTTATATCATTTGCATGAGATTTGATTATTGCGCAAAGCAGTGAAACTCATGTGTCAATACTAGGACTTCTTCCCGAGGCAAGAGAGTTAACTGAATGTAACAGCTCAGTTTCCACCCTTGCTGGAATTTCTGGGTTCGGTCGTAGCGCCACAAGTGGCTATTACGAGTTATATCCCTTCTACGTCCCTCCTTCTGACCAATCAGATTCCACTCTGATATCACCCTTTTTCTTGAAACAAAATGCCACCGCCCTGTCTTGACGGGAGGACGCCAAGGACCACTTCGTGACAAGACCCGGAATGGCGAATGTTCTTTATCGAACAGCAAGGATAACCAACGAAGATTGTGTCGTCCTTCTATGAAGGATCACGTTTTTTTGTCATTACAGTGAATTGTATATTGAGAATCTTGGACCATCATATTGGTAACAGTTTCCTATCAAGCGATCATGTGTCCCTAAAATTCATTTGTGTGTGTGTTAATCTATACATCTGCATACCATACCTCTTTTGATCTAAGGTCGTACACAATAGCTTATTATTTGTTCTCTTTCTAGAAGCTAAATTCTATGTATTATCATCAAACTGCTGTACCTAATCATTGCATAGATTACTAAATTCAAAATTGAAATTTGTTCTTATGTATTACATGTAAATGAGACTAAACATGATCAGTTAATAAACATATTCTTTTACATAATTTGTTAAGTCATCTTTTACATACAGTACGTTGATATAAATTCTTATTTTAAAGTGTCCTCTCATTGATGTTACATATACTCCATATGTATTTACTTTCTTGTACGTATGTATACACAAATACATAAACATTCTTCGTCAGGTAATGGTGTTACACTTAGTGACCTCGTTCTACAGACAAAGACACTTCTGTGTTGAGTCCAACTCCTCCCTGTCTGATGAGAAACTCTACCTGGCCCACGAGGCTATACAGACGGGACTGCGACAGGAGAGGCCTGTGTCGGCTATAGAACTCCCTGCGATGCTTGGGCTGACGTGTGTGTTGTTGACACTTGAAGAGTCTGACTTTGCACATATTGCACTTTTAAACAAAACAATATCCTATTCAGCACAAAGACTAATTATGTCCACACAGGTCGCATAATAATATCTTAAGTATATATACCACAGAGAAGCAGTTGTCTTGTTGAAGGTAACACCAACTGTAATATTCGTGTACATAAACAGTTAAAGAGGTATATATGCACGCACGCACGCGCACACACACACACACACAGACACACACGCACACACACACAATCACATAGATGTACCCTAGGTACAATGGCATATTCAGTAGAAGACCAAAACCCCTTTGCTTCACAGGACATACTACAACACATGATGTTATAGACACAGGTAAGGTGAAGGATTGACACAGGTAAGGTGAAGGGCTGACACAGGTAAGGTGAAGGGCTGACACAGGTAAGATGAAGGATTAACACAGGTAAGGTGAAGGATTGACACAGGTAAGGTGCAGGATTGACACAGGTAAGGTGAAGGATTGACACAGGTAAGGTGAAGGCTTGACACAGGTAAGGTGAAGGCTTGACACAGGTAAGGTGAAGGACTGACACAGGTAAGGTGAAGAATTGACACAGGTAAGGTGAAGGATTGACACAGGTAAGGTGAAGGATTGACACAGGTAAGGGGAAGGATTGAGGCACGGTGTTCCTGAATGATTCCATGTTGAGTATTCGACTCTTTCTCCTTCTTCCACACTTCTGAGGATACGTAGAATGAATGGTGCGAGGGATTTCGTAGCGTTATTAACTTTGACTTCAACTATTGGAAATGTTACTCGAAATAACTCCTACAGGTGACATGTATAATGCATGATCACATGTGGTTGGTGACCCTTATTTATGCAAGATCCTTGACACCACCTGTAAAATAACTTTAGTTGCCTAAGTCAACTAGTATGATTACGTCCTTTAGAGAAATGCATTTCCACATACAATGTTTCAGTTTTTGAGGAGGTTTCTAGAACAAATATTCCAATGATACGTAACACGAAAAAAACACACTTATGCATGTACATGCCTGTCGGTGAAAAAATGCTATTACTCGAGTGTGTTTCCATAATTTCAAATATCTGGAATATGCAACAAAATTATATTTAAATGTGCTGTTGAAGATTGAAGGACACGAGTGTAGCAATGTCTATTTATGATTATTAAAACATATGTATTAGTTTTTTGTATAGACAAATGTTGGCAGATATTAAATTTACAGTGTTATTCAGCACCCCCATGAAAGGGAGATAACTCTGCCACACGCACTCCCAAATAGTCATGAAAGATTCGTGGACGAGTATTACACATGACACAGTTTAAAACTGCTGATAAGATAACAGATACCTGTGTAACTATGCGTCTGCGCTTAAAACAAGGAAGTCATCACGTTCCTTGCATGTATTTGTTTGTGTGTCAGCTATTTGATGTGAAGTTGGATGTTGTTGGATCATCAGCCAAAATAATCAGAGGTAGGACAGGTTGTTACATTAAGATGACACTGCAAAACAATGATTACAACGTACCACGTGAACTACCAAGGGATGCAGGGGGGCGGTAGTGAGGTACGTTGGACATCTACATGTATTTGGAACCGTCTTCGGTCCAATGTTAACCCTCAGATACACCTTCACAGGGTTTCATGTACAGGTCCCAAAAGGGTGGTTTCTATTTGCTGATTTCCTGCCGGGTTACATCAGAAACTAAACTTTTAAGGTTTGACACTCCCCGGATAAAGAGGTTTCCATCTACCGGATTCCTTGCGAATAACAAGGTTTGCTGCCAAATAGTACCGATGAAATGCAAAACAGATATAAATATAAGCAACACTTCGCCTTAAATGGCATGAAAGTTATTTATTTGTCCACACCAACCAGTCACCATACTTTCAGACATTGCCATGGAGGGTAGCAAAGGTTGTTTAACAAACTCTCATGTAATTGTTGGTGTTTTAATGCCTGTTGTTACAAGGGGGTCTGCACTGTAAACTGAACAGCCTTACATTCGCACGTGAAATTCGCACGTGTCACGATAACCTACTTAAGTCTTTTCTATAATAAAAAATGTCTTAATCAGAAGCGTATCTTTATGTAGTAATTATTTAACGGAATGTACAATGAGAATCTGTAAACTATTCCCAAAGCTATGTTAGTGGTGTTCTTGGTATTGCTATTCAGCTAAATTTCAAATGCAAATAATAAAATCAACAGAACGAGCTCATATCGTTACAATACATGATGAAATTAACAGGTGATCTGAAAACCTTGGTATTTCATGTTTATGATTATTGCAAGTCGGAGGGGCTGCATAGATAAAGTTGAGACCGGACTTAAAGCTTCATATTCAAAAGAGATGGTTTAGATCATGCAACTGTCGGTCAAATTATTATTTCAGTTGATAGTGACAATGAAATATTTCAGAATAGACGTTTTGAGACTACCCCTGTGTTCCTCGACCCCATTGTAACACCAGGCATTGAAACAATTACAATTACATGACCGTGTGTTAAACAACTGTTTTGCTTCATGACATTGTCTGAAATTATGGTGACGAGTTGGTATCATTTAATAAATAACTTAAATGCAATTATTGATAAATTGTTGCTTTCGGATGTATATTTAATTTGCATTCCATCGGTAAGATTTTGCAGCAAACGGACTATACCTAAAGTGTACATGTATGCGTCAGTGAATATGTTTTTGTTTTATGTTTTGCGATATGGGGTCATGACTAAGTTTTAGGCGTCCATCTATAGTTTTCACAGCAATTTTGCTCTTTACTCCAACTGGAATCTGTTTCTGAGGGTAATTTAGACTGGTCGTTCTTGCATATACAATTTTTTTACAGGAAAACAGTTTTGATAATTTATTACCATTTGACTCATGTGACTTTTCCGAGTGTTGATGTGTAATCTAGACCGGCACGTGACATATAATAGAATGTGAAACCCCGATATACGTTTTAAAATTTGGATGAAACATAATTCCAGCAGCTTTTGTATTCTACTGAACAGAGCCAGTGTATCATGCAACTAAATTATAAACTTCGGCGTTGTCACTCTCAATATTTGTGTGTGTTTTTAGCGGCGTTATTAAAGTCAATGTTTTTTATGATCGTATAGACCCTGATACCGACCTAGACCACACCAACATGTGGAGGAAGCGGCAAGGATCCATCTTTCTGCTGACATGGATTATACTTCAAGGTACCTTGTGGTAATGTTTATGAAGGAATCATGGAATCTATTGTGTACGAAGTCAGTGCTCTAAACGTTGAGATGATTGGTTGACGGAGTTTATCAAAATGTTACATTTATCACGTTCATCCTGAATAAGATGACAGTCTTATGTAAAGCTAAATGTAGATTGAACTTGTAGATAGAACACTGGATATTAAACATGGGCAGATATTAACAACCGAATGAAATATATAAAGGGTTGCCCAGTTGGAGTTTCTGGGATATAAAGTAATTTTTGGTAGGAAATGGTTGGCATTTGGAGATACAATGATACAATGCAATAGATGGTAAATAACATAGTTTGCAAAATGCATCTTCTATGTCCTTTATGGATGTCATTTACCTGTATAAGAATCAGAGATGTCGGCAGAAGGAAACACTTCTCAAATATCTAGAGCTGTTGTAAATGTTGGTGGTATTATCCTGTGCGACATTTTTCGAACTGGTAAACATGATGATGTTTTTAAGCAACTTCCTGTAAAGTTGTAAGGCATATGGCCCAAAAGGCAACAGGGACATGTCGACGCTTTACATTTGTCAGCCATGGTTAGATGTGAGAATTATCCATTTTGATAAATGTTGTGGTAAGATAGGCAACATATTCATAAAAAAAGCTCCGATTAGGTTGTGGTATTAATCTGTGAAGTGCATAAGGTGACGCGAGTGAAGTAAATTGCTATAAAAAGAAACGTGTTTGTGTAGCAAATACAGCTCCACACTATATTTTATGATTATTTTCGGTGTTTACTTAATTCAAATCGACAGCCATGTCAGGGCATTGTCGACCCAAACCAATTCAATCCTTTTTGTCAGGATGAATGTACGTTCGGATCCAAATGCAGTAGCACCTTCTAATCTACATGTTACATGGCACTGCATGGTATGTGTATCTCCCAAATAGCTAGCAACTGCACTAGCCTACTCCGGACATTGGTTCCGGACACAAATCGACAATGACTTTGGTTTCTGCACGGCTGACATACACGTTGATCTCATTGGTGCTGGGGTCACCGGACAATGTCCTTAGCTATGTTCTGGCTTAACAGGGAAGGGCAGCTGATAAACCACAACAATTTTAGTTTTTCATGTCTTCGATAGGAGCTCTCATCAAGTTCTGTACTGACATGATTATTGAGATCTATATTCAAGATGCGATTCATTTACAAGCATAATTCCGTATTTGGCTCAAACCATATAAAATTTAGGTTAGAAGATGTCGATACTGTGTTAAAAACAACTTACCCCTCGAAAGACGTGGTGAGTTTCACACTATAATTATGGATATTTAAAAAAAAATGAAATACCATAGTGGAAAATCAATTACAGGTTGATATCAGAGAGTTATTTGAAATTCGTAAAATCGATATTTATTAATATCCCCTGCATATACTAAATAAACTATCTAAAACATTTCATTATTACATTAGTCAGGATGTACACGCCTCGTGGGGACCTGGGTCAGAATAAGTCCCTAGGACTCACTGCGTGCTGTTAGAGGCGACGGAGATGTAACGGTGGTGAGGATTCGTGGTTTGGTTTGTCTGCATGTCATCGTGCTCCGACAAAGTGGAATGTAGCAAATAATCTCAGCCACTTGATTATTTACAGACCGCCGGGCGAAAGCTTGACTATTCCAGATTGTGGCATTTAAAAAAACTCACTCACTCATTTAGAAACAGACATAAAGAGCATCCTCGTTAACTCTATGTCTATGAGGGGGTGGGGCAGGGGTGACACCGTACCTTGCCGTTGTGTCCCTTACCCGTTTGTCGGGGACTTGAATCCCAAGATTATTATCCTTGGCCTTTCCACTGCAAAGTTAATTTGTTTTAGCAGACACTGATGCCATGAGTGTCACGGTATAGCCAATTACAAGTGAGTGAATGTTACAGTCATCAATATCGAGTTGCAAGTAACATTTCTGTGAATGAATTATGCTATGGTACAAGTTACGGAAATTGCAACCTACAATTCTTTGAATGTACCAAGTTTGCGTTTTCTCAATTGGGATAAACATAATGTAAAACGATAAACATAAAAGGTATATGGTTTTGCAAACTTTGTTGTCAGAGTGTATGTGCAGTTTCTGCTCCATGGGGCTAGGTATAGTGAGTTGACGAGGTATGGATGCAGCAAACGTTATTCGGTTGTCTAGATCTCTTATTGTATGTAACGATCCACTACCGTAAATGCCATCTTAATGAGCAGGCACTGAGTTGACGATGGATGGATGTGCCAAACGATCCACTACCGCAAACTAGTCTTCAGTCTCAATCTTTCTCTCGTCACTGCATGGCTGAAATATTGTCAACGTGACGTTAAGTTTTAATTCACTCACACTTTAGCCTCAATCAATTTGCATTCGCAGTTCTATGTACAGCTGTCTCTGGCCTGAGACACAAGACTGCCTGTTACAACTTCATGTTGATGGTCGATCCTCCGTGTGCCGCCACAGAGATGCTTCTTCCTACCATGTTTACACTCGGGGTGTCCTCTGACGTCACATGTCACAGTGAAATAACTGGAACAAGCTTAAGACAGAAGGGAGTAGACGAAATCAGACGGTGCTGTCAACAGAGTGAGAATGATACAGTGACAGATTACTGCCTTCATGCCATGAAGAACCAACTCCCGGATCACTACTACCTGGACTTTGTGAATAGATGCACGGCTGCTACAAGATGTCAGCTGTCTTCACCTGGTGGAGGTTTGGTGAAGCATACTGCTGGAGAAGACTATGTAACATTCACGTTTGAATGTGTGCACAGTGAGTAGTGTCCATTATAAATTAATGTTTCAGCTACGCATATATATGTCATTTATAATTAGACAGGAAATAAGCCAACGCCGACTGAGTTCAGATATAACGACAGGACTTTTTATGAGCTTTACGTGCATGTTATGATAGCCCGTATAGCCTGTAAGTCAGTTGTTTGAACCCATTGTACATACACGTAGTGTTCGTGTAGTGTTTAACGCCGCACTCAGCAATATTTCAGCTATTTGATGGCGGCCTGTAAATAATCGAGTCTGGAACAGACCGTGCAGTGATCGAATTTGTGATCAACGATCCACGCCGTCAGAGTAGAGGACACACAATCAAACACGTCACCGAGCCAGATCATCCGCATCTCACGACCAGCTCAGGTTGCTGGGGACCTAATACTGACAGAGGCAAATCCCCCATCTTGTCATGCAGTACACATGCAGCCAGGCGAAAGTCTTATTGTCTGTTTGTTGCCAATTCTTTCATTGCTGCAAGTTCATGGACTATATTCAAATCTTACTCCTTATACATGTCACACGTCACGTATTTCAGGGTAGAGATGTTTGTGGCCAGTCATAACACAGATTGTTAATTTGCAACCTCAAACAACTACCACAAGTCTTTCATAAAGTGGTTTATCCATTTCACAGCTACTTTGAAGGAGATGGAGGCATGGCTATTTATATCTCCTAATGCGCTGTAAATGTAACCATGTTCGATTAACGTCCGATTAGAAACTTGAATTACTTTATCTTTAAACATAATTATTATGATATATTTTCGAATTCCACACATTTTCACATGTTAATGCTTTTAAACATTTTATTTCATAATGTCTTGAAACTCAGAGAAAGTCTAAACAGATCTACAAACATTTATTGACAACCGATTATTTCCTGACGAGTTCGTACCTTGTTAACTGAATCATATTGTTTGGTATTTTGCCGCCCTATAATTATACTAGTCCTTTCATTGATAAATAATCCAAGCTTCTGTCATCAGCAAACCCTGCAGTTATTAAAGGTGTATATATATATCTAAAAAGAAACATACCCAGATAGGCACCTTATTGTTCAGCGCACTTAACATATATCAGCGCGCTGTGTACATGTTTGTATATGCAGCACTATGTGGCCTCAAATGCAAATATGATAAACTTGTCATAAAACTTGTCAAACTTGTCACTTTGGTATCAACTAACTCCCCGCTGAAGTTAATACGTGCTAAATATTGACAAATAATTGAAGGCGACCATGTCATCAATCTCTCTAAAATAACAACAACGATCCTATGTCCACTGTTTGGTGATCGAAAAGTGAACTCGCGAAGTAACAGAGATCAGTGAAGCTCCGGATTTCTTTTTTTATTATTTCCATGGAATGCTGAGAGTTTTAGGGCGCCTCTTTCTGAATTGTTCAGTTCCGATTGATGTTTATTGTATTTCTGACCGTCACAAGCAACAGCGATTTTTATTTGGTAGTCGTGTGCTCGCTCGCTGTCCACTCCACACTGCGACTTATGCTATGTCTATATCCAATCAGCTGCTTGGCGCATGTCATTTCCACTGACTTAGCTGACTCGCCGGGATTTTACTGAAATACTGTTTAAAGCTGCCTTACACTCACTCACTCAGGCTTGAAAGGGAAGAGGAATATAAATATATTGTTCCATATATTGCATTGTGTAAGAAACATCATCCGTTCCTTTCTTTCTTTGATGTGTTTTTTAAATCATGTGGACAATGGATATTGTTTTGAATACCAATTTACATCGAATACTAGTACACGACGGTCGTGTAAGAAGTATACCCAACTTTAATGACTTGGCCAACCTTTTCAGAGGACACTGTGCTGCACATCCAACATGATTCTACACTCACAGGACAGGAGGTGTACCTGTACAACGACCAACATGATGGGATGGCCCATGCTAACTGTCTTGCATACTCTCATGAGTGTGACTCCCATGTCATAATACAACTTGCTGCAACCCGAGTTGTGTCTGCCGCCTGCAGTGTGGACTTCACTGATGGGGATGTGTCAACCAGGGTGGAATGTAAGAACCCACCTGCATCAAGAAACTGTTCCAGCGTAATGTTTGAGAGCAAGTCGAACTATGTTAACATGTCAATATTCATTACAGTCGATCCTGGACGTCAAGAAAAAGAATTTCTGTGGATACGAGCAAAAGGTAAGAGGCAAATTAATGAAAAACACCTTGATTATTTGTAAGATATGTGCTAAAAATATTAAAATGTTGCGACTATTTCTTTTAAAATAAGTGTACACTGCTGTGAAAATGTTTCTTCTGACACTTATGCGTCATATCCATAAATAAGTATCATATCAGTGGCAAAATACTTGTGGGGTGTATTCTGAATCCTCGTACACCATATATCAAAATGTCGCAGGGTCGGCTTCCAGTCGTCCCAGACAAGTATTCGAAGACGGAGTTTCAATAAAATGTCTTTATTGCCTGTTACATGCAACAGAAATGTTTTTATTGCTGTCGGCCATCCTACAAGGGTGACAACTGACAGTTCATATTTTGATTGGAAAGAATGTCATCAGCTGTCTAATAATTCAAATTTTCTCAAAGTTGTTTTAAAGTCAGATGGATGAAAACAAGCCTTGTGTTGGACTTGTATCACGTCTTCTTCAACGATGAAACTATGCCTGGACACCGAAGATCATTTAACTCGATCGAATGCTAATGTATTTACAAAAGCCCCATGAGCCCTTTTCATCACAGGAAAAAATACCCTTATCAATGACAGTTGGTGCGCACATATAAACGTACATGGTTACTGCATGAGGGGCTGAATATTGTACATGATCCCAGGTATTGTCACAATGTCATAAACTCAAATCCCTTATTTGTAGCGGATACAGGTGAGAATGTTACCGTCGTCTGTGGAGCCAACATACCTTCAGATGTGTCACTGAACTGCCCAACGTCTGTATCAAATACTCTATCAACTACTTCAATGTTAACACCAACTACTTTAACGTCTTCATCAACTACTACAACGTCTGCATCAACTACTACGACATCAACTACCTCAACTACAACTACTAATGTTGCTGCTACCACTGCCACTACTACTACACAGACCTCCAATAATGCCTCCAGGAAACACACACCGGTAGCGGTTACATGTATGTTCCCCTTAGAATCCTAATTTCGTGACCCTGAACACAGCCAATAATTCTTGGACATAACCAGAACATTAGTCCATAAGCACGAACCTACGAAGTTGATATACTCGATTAAATATTCCTGCCAGTTGTATTCAGAGTCAGAAACTGTTATTGTTTTTATCATTTATCTGATATTGCTTGACATTCAGGTAACATCATTTGTAATTTGTGCTTGTCGTGAAAGGCGAGTGTTTATTTGTTTGACATGTGTACAACTCATGAACACAGGTGAACACGGCAGGTGACTGGTTGTTTGCAAGCCAGTGGTTCGGCAGTCATACAATTCAAACTCTCCCCTGACACTACAGCTGCAGAGTGACTCCAGAAACCCAACAACTATACCAAACAACAACAATAACCCATTATCGTTGTCATATTGAGAGATCCGTGAAGATACGGGTTCGAATCGGTCTTCAGCAACCCATGCTTGCCGTAAAAGACTCGCTGACTTGGTTGATGATGCAGGGCATCGTATCCCATTTGCGTGGATTGATGCTCATGATGTCAATCAGTGGTTTGTCTGGTCCAGACTCAATTACTTTCCGACGGCTGCCATATAGCTAGAATATTGCTGGGTACGGCGTTAAACAACAAACAGACACATATATTGGAAGATAATGATATGGTGTTTTTTTATCTTCTTGTACAGGTGTGCCCATAGCACTAGGCGTATCCGTGGCTGTTCTGATCGTTGGCTTTGTTTCGGGTTGGATAATGTCGAGGTAAATTCTGTTATTTCTTTTATTTGGTATATCAGAAAATGACATCAGTATCCAACATAATATAAATATTTATTGAATTCTGTTTTTTATTCTGGGTATAAGCAACAATTTACAAACGTTTCAACTTATATATATTACGATTAATTTTGTTAACGTTGCTCTACCTGACCAGCCTTGTGCTTACGATGTTGAATATATAGCTATAGTGGAAACCTTTATTTCACAGGTGTTTCTATCAACGGAAGACAAGGAAGAATGGTGCAGATGTTTACAACACAACCTCTACTATGGAAGAAGAACATACGTACACTACAGTCCGACCTACCAGCGCGCCAACATATGCTAACACCTCCTATGAATATTACAATCAATAAAATATGAGCATAATATTACAGATACATATTCCTGTTCCTTTTGGTTGGTGTTTTCACTTCTGAATGACGATTGTATAGCTTAGTTGCTGATATTGATTTACAGAGTTGCAGAAGTAAATTCATTGAGTTACCCGTAATGTCAATTTATCATCCAAAACTGGCTCCCACAGGAGATATCGCTTGGGTGAGATCAAGCGATATCTACACTGTAGATATCGCTGCAATGAAATTGCATCACAATGCTTTCCAGACCATTGTGACTTCATTGGTTACCATGACGTCACAATCAAATGACATCACTAATGGCTCTGCTACTGAAGCTGTTAGCAGGACTTTTTACACTTAAGACACTGCTTATTACTGTCTACAAACTGAAAACGTTGGAAGAATGATGTTGGATGATAAATAAAATCTCACCCTCGTGTCTTTTGATATCAAATATACCAACACTCGTTGATAAAAGTGGAAAAAATCCTCGGCAAGCCCCGGAGTTTTCCCACTTTTATCAACTCGTGTCGATATGTTTGATATCAAAAGACACTCGGGTGAGATTCTCTATATCCCCACCGTATGGACACAAGAGCGGACCCACATTCAAGTAAATAACGTCAGAAATTTTAGAGCTTCTTCGAATTTGGTTGTTAGTTTTGATTAGGTACTCTTTAAATTAAAATATCGTGATATATATTCTCTTAAACTGCATGTAAGAACTCTTTCGTACATCATTCAAACTGACGGCAAACTCTGTACCAAGCTGAAGGACAAGAGGCATTCTTTCGGTTTTCCCATCGTGAATTTCCCCTTCGGTTTTAAGGAAGACATTCAGAAGAATTTACTTAATAACACATTGCTTGTCAACATGGTGCGCGATGCTATCCCATACTGCGGCCTTTACAGAGAGTTGTCACACCTCCCTACTCACTGGCACTTACTTCAATGGATCGGGTGGTGACTTGTTTGACAGCCTGGCATCACTTCATGTCATCACTGATCCATTCATATACATGTACCCAATGGAATCTGTTTCGGTAGATAATCGAGACTGGTTATTCTCTGGCGTAGACATTTTGAAACTAGAGAAATAGAAATAAATTTACTCAACCTACACTCTTCGTGTATGTCTTCACTATATCTGCATACAATCGTCATGATGTTTGAGGAATGTTGGTTGAGCGTTTCTGACCAGCCGTATGATGCTTGGGCTGTCCCACAATCACGACGTGCACCTACAACTATATATCGCTAGGCTGTTGATTGTCAGCGTAGATTGTTACGAAACCCGAAGAGTCGACACAGGATTTCAATATGTTATTAGGGCCATTTACTCTTGTATGTACACGTCACTCACCTAAGAGCAAGTTAGGTAAGGACAAGATATATGGATAAACAACTTCGTTATCATCACTAGCTTGATAACGGTGTTAGAACCTAAATCGAAACGTCGCTCCTAATTGTAATAGACTCGTGAAGATTCCGGGGTAGCGACTAACGGGATCGGGTGGTCAGGCTCGCTGACTTGGTTGATGCATGTCATCAATCCCAATTGCGTGGATCGATGCTCATGATATTAATCACTGGATTGTCCAGACTCGATTATTTACAGACCGCCGTCATATAGCTGGAATATTGCTGAGTGCGGCGTTAAACAACAAACCAACCATAATTGTAATAAAGAAGTTGTTCATCTATATATCGTTTCCTTACTTAGTACTCCAACTTCTAAATGCCTCTGAGAGAAGTTAAGAGCAAGTTGTGTCTAATGACAGAATCGGCCTATATATAGTCTTCCATCCCTTACGCTATCAGTATACTGTGTCTGAGTGGGGTATTCATGTTAAACTGCGGCATGGTATCTCAGTGTGCTAGCACTATAAATCGGCATCAGTCCGGACTAGTACAAGGAGCCATACAAACACACACTCGCATATGCACGTCGCTATATAAGTGCAATAATCTTGGACGCGACGTTAACCCCAATTTCACCTCGCCTCACCCCCCTTCTCTTACATTTATCTAAACGATGCACAAATAACTCTCGTCGTTGTACAGATGCGTTGTCTGATGCGGGGTCGGTATCAAATGTCCGATACTGGCTACAAAAACCAACAAAGTATATTAGTAACATTCTACAAGACCAGTGTCTGCTGCAATTTCGTGCCCTCCCAAAAAGTTTAATAAATTCGTGAAGAGATTGATGTCCACGGATATTTAGGATATGTAAAAACAAATGTACATAAAAGTACAGAAGGTAATGGAGGAGAAAAGTTGAATTAGTTGTTAATCGGGACTGATTGTTCTCAACAGGTGGCCTGTGCACAGGCTGTGCCCGTCGTTAAGATATTGCATATATAATACGAACTTGCGTCACTGATTGTATTTTAGTGAGGTACTGTAAACTGAAGAATATCAAATGTTGTCATATAATGCGTATACTTCCATATACCCACCTAATTCAAATGTAGGTCCTGTCAGTGTGAAGCGTTATACAGTTGAAAACCTACCGCCAAGTATTGATAATGAATAGCATGAGCTCAAATAATACCTGCCAAAACACATATTTTGTGAAATATTGTTGAAGACTTGCGCTTTAGTGTATTATGGCGTGTCAGCTTGATGTTGGAAGGGATGCATGTCTTTGGCGTTTACCACCCTGTGAAACCCACGAGTACGGGTATGATGCTGACAAACTCGCAAACCAAGGAACATAATCTGTACAAAACTGGGAGTCGAACCCAGGATCATAGGTTCCAGGCATAACTAAGGGACGCAACCTTGCACAGCGATTTATGGCGGCTTAGACCACTCGGTCATCCTTGCTCCCAGGCCCGTAAACAAGTTAACAAATCTTGATGAAATATTAGTTAATAAGATTTGAAATTTATACTTATATGACGGTTAGCACTGGACGTGAATTTGTAGTCTCATGCAGTAAACATGATTGATTGACATCAATTAAAGTTTATTTGTATAATTACGCCGCTACATGAACTAGTTGCTGAGCCTGACCACCCGATCCATTTAGTATATTCTTAACATAGGTTGCTCAAATACCTGTACCTGTGCATTCCCTCAGCACATGTAGAACAAATAGCATGTATTCCAATGACACGAAACTCGGAAAAAATCACTGTCCACATAAAAGGCATTTATACAAGCCTGATGGTGAAACATTACTTGAATGTACTTCCGTAATGTTAAATCTCTGGAGTGTAAAAATGCTATTTAAATGTGCTGTTGAAGATTGAAAGTCTTGAATGTAATATTATCTATTTTATGATTATTAAGACATGTATTAGTATCAGTGTTATTATTAAACTTACTTTAGTATTTGGCACACCTTAAACTGAGACAACTGGGCCCCACCACAAGATAGCTTAACAATTAAAATTGACACAGTTTAGAGCTGCTGATAAGATAACAGCTGCATGTGCAACGCCTTCTGCGCTTTTAACAAGGATGTAATGGCGTTCACTGCATGACATTGTCTGTGTGTCAGCTATTTATGGTGAAGTTGGACATATGTGGCTCATCTGGTAATACATTCAGAGGTAGGTACGTTGTTACATTCAGACACTGCCAAAACAATGATTGAAACATGTCATGTGAACTCATCAATAGGCAGTCGGTAGTGAGTTACGTTGGACATATGTTGGGTGTCCTCAGCTCACGTTACCTCACAGACACACCTTAGTATTTCATGGATTAAATGCACCCATCAGGTCCCCAAAAGGGTGGTTTCCATCAGCTGTATATCGGGTACTTACTTTTGACCAAAAATACACCCGGGTATGCGTCAGTGAACATGTTTGTTTTATGTACACACACGTGACGGTATTGTTCGTCATGTTTTGTGATATATCTCATCCGACGTTTCCTTGACCTAATGTGTTTTCCAGAAAGGTACATGTCATGTAAAGATTGTCATCATTAAAGATGTTTTATAATTTGGTGAAACATAATCCCAACTGCTATTAAACAACTCTGTTGTAAATCTTGATCAAAGTTAGCACTGCAATTGCTATACCCTATATACTTGTGCATTCTACAAAGCAGAGCCAGTGTATCATGCAACTTAATTAAAATGTAAAGAGTTGTAATCACATCTCACTCTATATGTTTGTATCACAGAATTTTATGATCAGTAACGTGTTACCAAAGTCAATGTTTTAACCATCCTGTAGTCCCCAATAACGAACACCTGAACGAATGTTTCTCCAGACCTAAACCACAACAGCATGTGGACGAAGTGGCACGCATCACACTCTCTGCTGATATGGATAACGCTGCAAGGTATGTTGTGATTATTTTATGACAAATGATAGCATCTTTGTGTCTGAGTGCAGTGTTATAAGAATGATATGTCTACAGTGTCATCAGTGCTATACTGTGACAGTTACATTAATTTATACAAACACCGTCTAAAGCTGGTGGTGTTTCGTTGAAGAGGTTCATCAAACTGTTACATTGATCAGGTTCAGATTCATTTATCCTCTGTAAGATGGCAGCAATATGAACAGCTAATGGTGGATTGAACTTGTAAAAATTAAAAGTAACGAAAATAATCAAAGTCCTATTAAAATATCAGGTTTGTGTTTGCATTTTCTGTTTGCAACTTACTTGAAAGTAAATATATATGGTTTTGACCTTATTATCAGTGTAGGTGCATAAGTATGCTTATTGCATGTTTCGGTGGATAATCTGCACTGGTTATTCTCCTGTATCGACAATTTTTATTTAGTGAGTTCAAGAGGTATATCGGTTGTCCAGATACCTTATTGTAGGTAACGATCCACTATCGTAAAAAACATTTATACAAGTCTTCAATAACAATTTTGCCTTCGCAGTTCTATGTCCAGCTGTATGTATGTAATCATATCATCATTTGACTTGTCGATGTGACGTTAAGTTTTAATTCACTCACTCTTTAGTCTCAATTAATTTGCATTCACAGTTCTATGTACAGCTGTCTCTGGCCTGAGACACAAGACTGCCTGTTACAATTTCCTGTTGATGGTCGATCCTCCGTGTGCCACTACAGAGATGCTTCTTCCTACCATGTTTACACTCGGGGTGTCTTCTGACGTCACATGTCACAGTGAAATAACTGGAACCAGCTTAAGACAGAAGGGTCCAGACGAAATCAGACGTTGCTGTCAACAGCGTGAGAATGATACCGTGACAGATTACTGCCTCCCTGCCATGAAGAACCAACTCCCGGGTCACAACTACCTGGACTTTGTGAACACGTGCACTGCCGCTACAAAATGTCAGCTGTCAACACCTGGTGGTACGGTGCAGCATACTGATGGTGAAGACTATGTAACATTCACGTTTGAATGTGTGCACAGTGAGTTGTGTCCGTCATAAACTTAATGTTATCAGCTTCCTATATGTCCCACAGGACACACTTTACCATTTTAGCCTACACCTGGTGTCATCACTAGTTTCAGTGATCCGTTCACATAATGTTCATCGGTACTTTGCCTATAAATATCAGTGGAACCTGGGGAGATAATCGAGACTGGTTATTCTCTGGCGTTGACGTCTCATAATTACTTGCCACTCGTGTAATGGCGTCCAGGCACTTCTACTATTCTATCTGTTGCCCATTCTTTCATTGTTGCAAGCTTTTGGACTAAATTATAACATGCCTGGTTATAATTTCATGCTTTGCGTTTCTTTATTTTGTAATTGTACAATACAGTTGTTTATACACAATAAGTCATTTCAGGGAGAGATATTTGCGGTCAGTCGTGACTCTGTTAATTTGCAACAAGAAACAACTACTATGTGGTTTATAATGTGTTCACGGTTAATTTGAAAGAGATGGAGGCATGACCCGCTCACCCTCCCGAGGCGTTGTGACTGTAACTTTCTATGTTGCATCCCTCATCCCTCTCTTGATCGATAATCATGGTTCTGATTCTCAATTTCGTCCTAGTAAGAGCCTTGTTTTGTCAGTGTCACTGAAGTAAATGTCTGTGACGTGCAGCTTGTCCTTGGGCTTCTCGCGGCTCTGATTCCATATTCGTCCTGTAATGAACCTTGTTTTGTCAGCACCACTGGCGTGTATATGAGTTTCACTGAAGAAAATGTCTGTGACGTGCATCATGTCTTTAGACTCCCTGGCCGAGTTGGCCCAGTCGTCCAAGACGCCGCAGTCAACACTGCAGAGTCGCGTCAACGAGACGTACCAGAGCCCTATAATCATGTGTAGGAATCCAAGATTGTCCTGATGGGCACGCCAGTAACCTGTGATTGTGGGTTCGAATTCCGGTTCGCCCCGATTATATTTCTAGGTTTGTCAGCACCATAACCGTTGTCGTGGGTTTCACCAAAGTGGTAAACGTCTGAGACCTGCATCATTTTGGTCTTTCCTCCGAAGTTACCGAAGTTCAGCTGACACACCGTGATATAACTTGAATACTGTTAAAAGCGGCATTATACCCAACTCACTCACTCGCTCACTCACTTATGTGTCTTGGTTTCTGTCAGCATCATACCAGTGGTCGTGTGTTCTACCAATGTGGTAGAAGTCTTTGACGTACATCAGTTTTGGTTTCCTCACAAACTAAGCTGACAAGCAATGGTTTAGTCAAATATTGTACAAAGCTGCTTTAAACTCGCCCACTCGCACTTGGAAATTGGAAAGGAAAAATAGATATATTATTCAATATATTACATCATGTTAAAAGCTTCATTTGGTCTTTATTATGTTTGATGCTATTAAAAGCATGTGGTTAATGGATATTGTATTAAATACCTATTTACATCGAATACTTGTACATCTACCATCGTGTTAGAAGTATACATAACTTTAATTTCTTGGCCAATCTTTTCAGAGGACACGGTGCTGCACATCCAACATGATTCTCCACACACAGGACAGGAGGTGTACCTGTACAACGACCAACATGACGGGATGGCCCATGCTAAATGTCTAGCATACTCTCACGAGTGTAACTCCCATGTCATAATACAACTTGCTGCAACCCGAGTTGTGTCTCCCGCCTGCAGTGTGGACTTCACTGATGGGGATGTGTCAACCAAGGTGGACTGTAAGAACCCACCTGCATCAAGAAACTGTTCCAGCGCAATGTTTGAGAGCAAGTCCAACTATGTTAACATGTCAATATTCATGACAGTCGATCCTGGGCGTCAAGAAAAAGAATTTCTGTGGCTGCTGGCGAAAGGTAAGTGATTAATAATTATATTTGTCCCTATGTGTTGCTAAACTTGGAAATGTGACTAAAATTCTTGCGGAAAATGTTCCTTGATGGCAATTTGACGTCTGACGTCTGCTCTGTCGTCGTGCCATGTTGCATTTTTATTATATCTTGAGTGTTAAACTAGGCATTATGGACAAACACAATTACAATTACTAGGATATATTGTTTGTGATCTTTATTCATATACCAAGGAGTAAAACCTACCTGTAACTTTCACCAAGTCAAAATACTTAAGCTTGAGTTGCCGAGTATCGTTTTGTTGAAGAACAGCATTATAATCATAAAAGTGCTACCTTTTCTATCGTCACACCTCTCCCTCAGAGCATTCAGTATTTCAGTGAACAAATGCATGCAGTCGACACGTGTGACTCGGTCTCAGAGTGAACGTTACTTTGCAACTGCTGCTGGATGAACCTGCTGTCAACATGGCTTCACTCGTCACAAACATATAAATACGGATCATATTAATCATAAAGTGGTCCGCCAAAATGTAAAATAATTAATAAAATAACACTTAGTGCTTTCAATTTCCCCCAATGGTACCTACCGGTTCTTTTGCTTAGGTTTATTCCTTTGAAAAATTGTCAGATAATTGTACCATTGCAAAAATATTTATTTCAATGTTTTGTGTAAAGAATCTTTTGAAAAAGAAATATGTTTCCATACTTATTCACTGCTGCATCTCCCTCTCACTCCTGGTGCTTTTACATAGATAAAGAGGGGTATGTTTCAAGAAAAAACACGCCAAACTTCTTTGTTCAGCACCGGAACCCACATTATGTTTATCTCCGTCCTGCAGAGTGAACGCGAACATGTTTGTGATAGCAGTATGGATACCAATTTGTTGTGTGGGCTAAACGGGGGAACGGGTGGCCCAGACGTCTAAGGCGCCGCGATTTGCTGAGCAGTGTTGCGTACCTTTGGGCACGCCAGAAACCTATGATTGTGGGTTCGAATCCCGGTTCGCCCCGATGAGGTTTCTAGGTTTGTCAGCACCATACCTGTACTCGTGGGTTTCATCGAAGTGGTAAACGTCTGAGACCTGCGGGCTTTCCTTCCACATTAAGCTGACTCGCCGCGATATAACTGTAATACTGTTAAAAGCGGTGTTTCACTCAACTCACTCAGTTACTGTGTAGGCTAAAAGTTCCAATGGATCAGTGACAGTCCGCAGGTGTCTCCGCATATATATATTCACGGTGTACTTCTCAATAAAATAGTTCAATTTCTCCTATGAGAGGTAGTAGAACCAGCCAAAAGCCTAGCGGAAATATCAAGTAAACATTATTTAACCACCTCCCAGAGCAGTGAATCGATCCTTGCAGTGTGGAGTTCTAAAGTACACGCCACTATTATGACGTCATAATGTTCAAGAGACAGGAAGTAAAAGCATCTCAGCGCAGGAAGTTTACAGAAACACAAAATGATGTCAATGTTTCCAACTTTTCAGTCGTTTGTCGTTTCGTTTCGTACATAAACTGACGCTGGTGGCGATACTCCGTGTGTTAGTGTTAACACTGTCTGTCTGATTTATTTCATGAACTGGTGTGGATGTGCATGAGTATATGTGGTATTATTCAATAATCATTTTGTTGCAGCGGATACAGGTAAGAATGTTACCGTCGTCTGTGGAGCCACCATTCCTGCAGATGTGTCACTGAACTGCCCAACGCCTGCATCAATTACTACGACATCAACTACTTCAACTACAACTACACAAACAGTGACGTCCAATAACGCCTCCAGCAACCACGCACAGATAGCGGTGACATCATCACCTGGTCAACCACAGACACAACCTTCAAAATCAACGGCAGCAGGGACAACGATGCACAGCAATGACTCTACCACGCTATCGTTGTCCAGTGTGAACGGCTTTTCCTCCGTCATCACTCCCCGCCATCCCGATCCAAACTCTCCCACAACACTCGCGCAGCAGAGTGGAGTCACAGAAACGACGTCAGGTACACACAGTAAATAAACTTAGAAATTCTCTCTTTTCATGAGGTTCGCTCACGTTTTCGCTAACACCTGGTGTCATAACATTTTGATAGTGATTCATAAACACATGCTTGTGATGTAGTCGGAATCGTACAATGGACGCTATTTTAGGCAAATATTTGTTAGGATAAAGGAAATGGTTTTGTCGCTTTATGTATGTATACAACTCGTCATAAATATCGCACCACACATTTTAAAGTAAAAGTAGAAAAGATAATTTTCGGTTTTTTAAACTACAAGTACATATTTCATATACTACACCATCTGTGAACATAATATCACAAACACACCCTGTTCCAAGCTGCACGTGCATGCTTGCGTTGAGCATGCTTGTACCGGGGGTCCGTTTGCTAAAAATGCAGTATGCACACAGCCTCTTTTGGCGTATGTTATGTTGGCAGACACAGCTAAAATTTGGTTTTAGGCATAAATTAAGCTTTATTTTGACCAACCAGTGAAGTGCCCAAGCGTCCAGTGCCTCTGAACCAAAGATGGCAAATTATTGGTGTGCACCAGACTGGTATGTCATGTCGTGCTATTGGAGCACAACTGAACATTCATCACACTGTCATCAGCTGGCTAATACGTAAGAATACTGCTTCCGGTGTAGTGAAGGATGCACCGAGGTCTTGACGTCCCAGAAAAACCAATGACAAGGAAGATCGTGCTCTCGTACGCCAAGCCAGACGAAGCCCAAAGTCTACTTGTACACAGCTGCGACATTGATGGCATCCATACAACAGAGTGTCCATCAGCACCATCAGACGACGCCTTAATTCTGCAGGATTAAGAGCAAGACGACCAATCAGACGTCCACTCCTCACAAATCAGCACCGCCATGCACATGCTCGCTGGAACCTGAGGACATGGAGAAGGATCCACTGGTCCGATGAAAGCAGATTTTTGCTGCATCATACAGAAGGGAGGGCACGAGTTTGGAGGCAGAGAGACACAGCATATGATCAGAGGAACATTCAAGCTGATGTTCCATTTGGGGGTGGATCCGTCATGGTGTGGGGGTGTTGTTCCTATGATTGTTAACTTGACCTCATCACAGTTCCCGGAACACTGAATGGGTAGAGGTACCAGAACTTGATCCTGGACGGTGCTGTTGTGCCTCATTTCGATAATCACGCTCTCGCCACACGTCCAGTCTTTATGGACGATAATGCCAGACCACATCGTGCTCGAGCTGTTTTCAGCATCTCCAACACTACGCCATTGAGACACTACCCTGGCCTGCCAGAAGTCCAGACATTAATCCTATTGAGCAATTGTGGGACATTTTGAGACGTAGGGTGAGAGCAAGGGATCCTCCAGTTCATAACCTTCAGGAATTGACCCATGCATTGCATGATGAGTGGCAGCAGATCCCCCAACAGAGATTCAGACGTCTGGTGACCAGTATATGACGGCGTGTCGAAATTGTTATCCAAGTGCGAGGCGGTTACACCAGATACTGAGTTAGCCAGTCATTGTGGACCTTACTAGTGTGTTTGACATTAATGAAATGTGAACTGTGTTGTGTGGCTGTTGTAACGACTTCGGCAGCCATACTTATTTCACCTTATTTCACGGTGATTTCAGTGAACTTTGGTTTGCTACAATCAAACCCTCAATTAGTGCTCAAATTCGGTCTTGTGTTGTCAATTTTCTGACTGAACGCTCACATGAGGCCATATAAACAGTTTAATGTGCATTTTTAAGCACCATTTTTATGAGGTTGAAGATCCAGTTTTACTCAGTGAAAAAAAGTGGGTGGTGCGATATTTATGACGAGGTTTATATAATACATTCCAACATATTTTCGCACGTCAAGTTTTAGTGTCCGTTCCCCCACGTGCACATGGTTACGACTGTTTGGTTGTCAGCTGTACACGAATGTATATATATATATATATATGTGTGTGTGTGTGTGTGTGTGTGTGTGTGTGTGTGTGTATGTGTGGCTTTCTGTCTGCTGCTCAGGACCAGTAACTTCCTATTTTGCATCAAAATGTGGCTATGAAATGTAGATTGTGTAGTAGATGCCTAGCTTTGGCACAAACACAGTGTCTTAAGTGACATGATGGAGTGGCTTGATCCTTTTGTCTTCGTCATGCTTGTGGTTTTGACACAGAAGTCCATCCAGTACGACCAAAAATATGTAGAGGGCGTTATGGAAAATGATAAATACAAATATTCTTTGGCATAGGCCCGTATACAGCCTCAGACGTATCCAGGCCAACAGACATGATCTTGTCCTTTTTGATGAATCCAAGGAAATCATTTATATTATTGAATTGTCTGTCCCTTTTAACACTGATGTGATTGTGAAGGTTCAGGAAAAACATGGCAGTTATCCGGACTTCGCTTTCGAAATGTGATTTAAACAATATCTATTTCCAAAAACGGAATGGGATTGGTGAACAGACAAAGCCTATTTAAATACTTCTCCCTATAAAGGACATTTAACAAGGTAAACCGTACATAAAATAATAAATTTAGATTATTTGTACCTACTGTTACAAATATTATGATGCGAATATACAAGTCACACACAAATACATAAATACGAAAATACACAAATACACACATAGACACAAACCTATATCGGTACATGACCAATTCGGTGCATCCATGTACACACATGCTTGTACATCTATACCTCTACATACCTCACATACAGACAGCTATTTGATTGATGTAATCGTAAAGTAGACACATTTTAAATCTTTTAGATTTTGCAATGCACAAATGAACAGAATGTACAATAGCAAGGTTAGTATCAGAAGATGTTGTAGTATTTCCATATTAGACTGAATCCAAGTCGTATCCTATTATATAATAGTACATATTGTTCCGAAGATTGCAGTAGTTGCAACATGAAAAGAGGTCATGTCTAGGATGTTCATAATGATATCCACAGGAACAGGTAGTAGAATCATGAATATGTCTATGATATTTGTGTGCATTTAAATCACTGCATCTTAACCTGAGGCGGCAATGGAGAATTTGACAGAAACGGGTACCATAGTCTAAGTTAAAGTCAAATATTTGAGCATTTTCTGTTGTGATGATACATTTTGTGAAGCCATATACAGTACATTTTGATTGAACATTATCCGGTAATTCATTCGACATTCGCACTGTGTTGGGTAAAAATTATTTGTAGTGATTAACTGTTCTGGCATTTACAGTCTGTAGCTGTGAAGGAGTTCTTAAATTGAAACATGCGCCCACTGAGACATTCGGAGGATCAAGATTACATAGATATTCAGGGGCCAACTTATGAACCACTTTGTAAAATGTTTTTAACGTATGAGATTGCCGTCGTTTGGATAAGGGTGTAAGGTTGGTTTCAGGGTATAGAGACTCGTGACTGGTACCACGAGTAGCTCCACATATTGTTCTCAGTTTGTCTAAATTTAGCCTTTCCAATACCAACGCTTGATCTTCAGAACGGTTATCCCATACCTTGTCACAATAGTCGAATATTGGTAAAATAAATGATCAGTATAATTTCTCTAACTTTTCTGGACAGGCGGCATTGGAAAGTTCTGGAGCAGTTAATCATCGGGCTAACTTTATCGACTATATTGTCTATATGATTTGGCTAGTAGCCATCTTGCTGTTAAGTTAGACCTAGGTGTTTGTGCGATGTGACCTCTGTTATTGGAGTACTTTTCTTTTTACGAACAGGTTTTGAACTTGGATTAATTTTTGTTGAAAACATTATGTTTTCAGTGTGTGTGTCTTTCGAAATGTAGCAAGTTGTTCGACTGCCCATTGTTTTCGGTGCTTTAGATTTGGTACCGCCCACAATCTGTCGTCTTACATTGGGAGAGTATTTTAAGTGTTTAAGGTTTTATGTACGAATCACGTGTGGACAATATATGTAAACACTTGGCAGTTCATACTACTCCTGCTTGGTTGTGTGTGACATTGTTGGCCATGTTGACACTTCATTGACTTTCTTAATCTGCCTCTAGTAGTTACAAGTTACAATTTGCTACCTATTGCTGAAACAATGTCACATAGCCACATCCACTTATTGTAAGACCTCGTGGGAGACCTCTGAAGATCCGGGGTAGATCTTTAGCAACCCATGCTTGCCATAAAAGGCTACTTTGCTTATCGTAACGGGATCGGGTGGCCAGGCTCGCTGACTTGGTTGATGCATGTCAATGTATTCCAATTACGTGGATCGATGCTCATGATGTCAATCACTGGATTGTCTGGCCCAGACTCGATTATTTACAGCCTGCCGTCATATAGCTGGAATATTGCTTGGAGCAGCGTTAAAGAACAAACAAACAAACACGGTCTCCGGGGAATCCGGGTGAGAAAGGTTCAATGGAACCCGGTTGGTTGTATGAGGCGACCACGTGCGATCAGCAGGTGCGTTTTGGCTGGTTGCATGTCATACTGTACCCATGACTTTGATCGGTGCTCATGTTTTCTTTCACATATTTGTCAGGTCAAGATTTGATTATATCTCACCTGAATATGGCTGACTGCAGTGATAATCAACAGTTACACACCCACTCTAAAGATATTATATGTATCGTGTTGTCAGAGGCCACTTCACCAATGGATAAAGACATATCAACTCCAGCTGCAACAACAGAAACTGTTCCTTCAACATCAAGTAAAGGTATTCAAAGTTGGAAGTTTGATGTGAAGCTAATGCAATATTCAATACTTGCCCCCTGAGGTGATGTCCCTTGTGTGGGATCAAACATCATATCAGGAGATAACAATAACAATAGCAATAATAATGCATGCTCAAACCGCACAAAGTGATGGTGATAATACAAAATAGTACTTTCCTGACCACCCCCCGCGCTAACTTTCAGTCAGTTGCAATTGCACCAATCGCTGGCTGACGTCGGTTCCGTCTCAAACTAGAATGGCGGCTTACGGAAAGTTTGACAGGGAAAAAATAATTTCTTCACTCACGTAAATACAATAATGAGGAATTATTTTCTTATAGATGTTGTACCATTGATCAACCAGGCATAAATTTGATATTGACATTGTACTTGTGCTAGGTATTGCGCCTTTCTTACAAGATGATCATAAACGTCAACATGGTCATCTTATCAACGACTGCCTCTGTGGTCTAGTGGTAGAGCGTCCGCCCGGAGAGCGGGAGGTTTGGAGTTCGATCCCCGGCCGCGTTAAAAGATGGTACTTGTTGTTATCCTGTCGACATTAAAGGGCGAAAACAAGGACTGGTCGGCTCGGAGTCAGTATACTGTGTCTGAGTGGGGTATTCATGTTAAACTGCGGCATGGTATCTCAGTGTGTTAGCACTATAAATCGGCACCAGTCCGGGCTAGTACAAGCAGCCACACACGCACACGCACACGCACACACACACACACACACACACTGCACGACGCTATATAAGTGCAATAATCTTCGACGCGACGTGTAACTCCATTTCACCTCACCTCACATCTAATCAACAGTGTATAGGTACTTGAGAATGATATTAGATGAATAAAATGTCACTACAGCTAATTGCAAGGTGGATGAAAAAGGATCACAAAAAGTTTGACTCGTGACTCACAACGACACACATTCTAATGTAAAACTGTATGTATCTAATACTACGACATATGTTAACAGAAGCGGTTATCATCGGCAGCAGTGTGGGAGGAGTCATCATGATAGCAATCATAGTGACAATCACGGTCTGTGTCCGACGAAAGAAAAGGTAAAAGCTTTTACAATTAGAATTACCATATCGGGGAAATAACATATCCAAACATTCACTCTACATGGAGTGAGTCATGCATGAATCGTCGTGTTCTTAGATAGACATTGCCTCGCAATTCAAGTGAGTGAGTGAGTATGGTTTTACGCCACTTTTAGCAATATTCCAGCAATATCACGGCGGGGGACACCAGAAATGGGCTTCACACATTGTACCCATGTCGGGAATCGAACCCGTGTCTTCGGCGTGACGAGCGAACGCTTTAACCACTTGGCTACCCGACCGCCCCCGCAATTCAAGAGTATGTTTGTAATTGATCTTTCATCTATCGTTGATAAAATCATCATACATGGTTACTGAGATTATGCATATCAGTGAAAACACTTCTTATTTCCTATACTTCCGTTAAAAACATGATATAAAATAAGTTCAGGACGATTGTTTGTGGGTGTCAACTTCGGTATTATGAGGAACTCAACATTTCAGAGTATATGCTAACTCCCTCATCCGGTGATATGAATTTGCTACATCCTTTCACCGGATGAAGTAAGCCTATACACGTAAATGTTGTGTTCCTCAGAATAAAGTAGTTGACATCCATAAATTCTCTTTCTCATGTATATCACTTTTATGCCATTCAAAGACTTGATATATTATGTTGATATCGAATGTGTATTAGTTGTGTTTCTCAGTTTCGACATATTGCATACAACTGTCCTTGAGGCAATGAACACTCCATCATTGGTCTTTCTGGTGCCTGAATACAATCATGGTGCAATTATGGTATATTGATCGGTATGAAGTTAAATAATATATCAATCGGTTCCAAGATGAAGTATTCCAAAATTAAGGCTATGCACACGTGCTTATACAACAAGCGGAGCAATATATGTATTGCACATAAAAAGCCATCATTATACCTACTGAATTTATATTTTCTAGAAACAGTTTAGAGAAACAAATCCAACACGTGGACACAATGAAGAAAACCACTAGGATGTGAACGGTCAAACGGTGCCCGGAACTCTGTAAGTGATGGATACGTGCCTAACCCAATCTATGAAGGAACTGATGACTACAAGCTGGAGCAATTGCACAGAAAGACTAGCAGTGACATTAAAGATGGCTATGAACCAGACACGGAGTCACCTTGTGGCTTCACGCGATCAGGACCAGAACGTTTAGGCCTCAGTCTTGACAAAACCTCCCTGGTGACGCAAGGACACCTTGACTATTTTGACGACATAGTTTTTAATACAGAGCCAACTGGGGGACATTCAGAAGCGAAGAGCGATGGTAGAGTTTCAGATCTCTATGCCAAGGGGAACAAAGCACATCATGTGCATCTACACATGGGCGTATTGTCATGCATTTTTAAATTACACATGACAATGAATTAAAAAAATATGTTCTCACTGGATCTCCACAAATTGGGATGCTATTGTGCTTAAAAGCAAGGTTACAATCAACATAGGTAATTCTTTCACATCTATTATTTAATTGCTATTAAAGGTATGTTCTCCAAATATGTCGCACTTGTAAAACGTCTTATAGATTTTAGCTCAAGCTCGTATTTATCCTTTTCTGTCCACGTGTGTTGTTCATTCTGCAGTAACAGATGTTTACTTATTAGTGCATATAGTTGTCTATTGCTTGTGTTTATTGATTTTTGAGTGAAACATTTTTGCGCATTTTCCCAAACTTTGCTATTTGTGAGCTATGTTCCATTAACTATGTTGTTCATACATATCCAAAGTGCGGGTGTAATTCTTTGTGTTTTTCCCTACCATGTTAATTGTTCACCTGGAAAAAACATCGGACATCGGACATCATGTTTGTGACTGAGGCATCAAATTTGGAAATGTCCTCCACATGTCTACCATAAAAACTTTTTGGAAGCTTTACTGAGGCCTTGAATGTTGTCACCTTAATCCAGCAACTTCTGAGCAAGAGTCGTGTGACGCTCTTTGAAATCTTGGGTTGAAAGAGCATGCTCGATCGTATCTCAAGAGTTGTGAAACGTCAACACCAAAGGCTGGAGCAGCTGGAATATTGCTCAACTTGTAGGGAAAGTTGACTATTGGAAAGTTGAACTCATCACTCTTGTCATGCAGTCTGGTGGAGAGTGTTTTGTCACTCTGAATCTTTATGCATAGATCTAAACATAAAACAGATGAGGCGGTCTCACTGGTCTCCTTTTTTCTAGTTCAGGTGGGTAACTCAGTAGAAGGGAATTGGCTATTCGATTGTTATTGAACAATATGAGATCATCGATATACCTGAAGCTTAAGTTACACTTAAATATGAATAAAGTAACAGATCTACAAGAAGGGGAGCACAACTGGTGCCCATGGGCATGCCTACTTCTTGCCTAAATGTCTTACCCCCAAATTTTACGTAGATGTTATCAATGAGGACGTCCAGCATTTCACATATTGTTTTATCAGTAAACATCAGATGGCATTTGCTTTCATATTTCATAAAGTGTCCTGAACCTCTGAATATTGTTACGTAACTGTATCTGTGTTCACCACATTTTGTAACAAGAGCCCCATGGATTAAGGAATGAAGTTTTCCCTTAAGTGTGTCATGTTAGATAGTGGTATACAAAGTTGAAAAATCAAATGTTCTGAGATTGCAGAACGTCAAGCAAACCCTTTGAGTTTTTGAGAAACCACATGGTATAAATTCCACTTGTCTCAAATACTTTCTGTGAATATAAATTAAGCCCTTCCTTGTTTGTATTAAGGATTATGGTCAGTCTTTGAGGCAGGGATTTGGTGGTACATTTGCTGGACCCAGCCATATGTCTATCTTTTGTACGGACATCACGCACTGACTTTAAAACACGAACGAATAAAACAACCTTTCAGCGATTTCTTTGGCGAATACTGTGTTCAACGTTCAAGGTAGAGACTTAAATGCAACTGTCAGATCTTACTCTATTTTCATCACAGTCAGCAGACACTCATTCGGTGTTTACAATTATTAAATTATGAAAATCGTTCTGCCAAATCTTATATTGCTTGATATAGATTATTTATTCATTTTCTGAAAGTTTTACATGAAAAATAGCGAGCGAAAAGAGATTTCTTATGACAATGGAAATGTTTTTGTTTCTGTTATTTAGCAAATGTTGAATAGCACTAATATAAGAATAAGATCCAACGATTTCAAAACGTTTATGTCATTTGCATGAGATTTGATTATTGCGCAAAGCAGTGAAACTCATGTGTTATTACTAGGACATCTTCCCGAGGCAAGAGAGTTAACTGAATGTAACAGCCAAGTTTCCATCCTGCCTGGAATTTCTGGGTTCGGTCGTAGCGCCACCAGTGGCTATTACGAGTTATGTCCCTTCTACGTCCCTCCTTCTGACCAATCAGATTCCACTCTGATATCACTTGCATTTGCTTTAAACAAAATTGCACCGCCCTATCTAGACGGGAGGACGCCAAGGACCGCTTTGTGACAAGACCCGGAATGGCGAATGTTGTTAATTGAACAGCAAGGATAACTAACCCAGATTTTGTCGTCCTTCTTTGAAGGATCACGTTTTTGGTCATTACAGTGAATTGTATACTGAGAAACTTGGACAATCATATTGGTAACAGTATCCTATCAAGCGATCATACGTCCCTAAAATACAATTGTGTGTCTGGTAATCTATACATCTGCATACCATACCACTTTTGATCTAAGGTCGTACACAATAGCTTATTATTTGTTCTCTTTCTAGAAGCTAAATTCTATGTATTATCATCTTACTGCTGTACTTAATCATTGCATGGATTATTAAATTCAAAATTGAAATTTGTTCTTATGTATTACATGTAAATGAGACTAATCGTGATCAGTTAATAAACATATTCCTTTATATAAGTTGTTAAATCATCTTTTATGTACAGTACGTTGGTATAAATTATTATAAAGTGTCCTCTCATTGATGTTACATATACTCAATATGTATTAACTTTCTTGTACGTATATACACTCTTCAAAGAAAGAAATGCACAGGTAGATTTTGCGTAAATTTATTGTACCTAATAAAGTAGATAAATTTAATTTAATATCATAGATACAAATATAATATTTGGGAGCTCGATAGTCGACTGCTGTCGTTTTTCAAATGCATTGAAAACTGTTCATTGTCATGTTACGTAAGTCCACAAGGTTGCACTGAACTCAGTATCTCATGTGACTGCCCCGGGCAGCAATCACGGCTCTGCATCTCATCGGCACTGACTGGATAAGTGTATGAAATCTGTCCTGCGGAATTCTGCGCCATTCTGCTTGTAACGCGTTGGTCAGTTGTGGGAGTGTCTTCGGCGTGTTCATTTCGACGACGACAAACACGTTGTCTTCCATCTCGCCGGTGAAGAAGAAATCATTATTCGTTGCTAAACCACACTCGTCTCCAGTTTCTCGAATTCCAAGGCTGTAAGGTATGGGACCAACGCAAGCGTCGCTGTCGATGGATCTGTTGGAAAACAGGGACGCTAACTGGTCACCAGGGTTGGTCTCCAGCCTCGCGAAGATGGTTCCTGACACTGGTCCTGACACTGAAGATGGTCCGATATCCTCCTCAAATCAGGGATGCGTCCTGCAGTATTCGTAGCTGTTGCATTGCAGGGGTGGTAACTCTTGGTCGGCCGGTTCTCGGACTGTCTGCAGTGGAATTGAACGGTGTGTATCGGTCCCAAATGGTGAAAATGTTGCAGTGGTGGACGTTGAAGTGGCGTGCAACAGAAGACTGCGATTCCCTCTTTGAATACGTCCAATTGCGATGTTCCGATCGGCAGCGCTGGGTCTTGGCATTTTCGAACTTGAAAAATGTTGACAACTGAATGACAAATTATTGGCTTATGCTTGCCTTTCTATAGCCACTACCACGAGTTACGAATGCCAGAACTTGCACGTGCATTTTGCTTTACTGTTTTCCTCCATGACATTTTTTTAACAAGTGTGAAAACAATACCATTTGAGACATTAAATCGACAATGGCTGCGTTTTGACACACCGTGTGTCGAATATCAGGCCATCAACATTTTCCAACAACATATATCCAATTTATATACCGATGTTTTTGTGTAGTCAGGTTCAATGAACCACATACTACCTGTGCGTTTCTTTTTGTGAAGAGTATATACACATACATATATGATGTTTCACTTAGTGACCTCGTTCTACAGACAAAGACACTTCTGCGTTGAGTCCAACTCCTCCCTGTCTGATGAGAAACTCTACCTGTCCCACGAGGCTATACAGACGGGCATGTGTCGCCTATAGAACACCCTGCGATGCTTGGGCTGACGTTTGTGTCGTTGACACTTGAAGAGTCTGACTTCGCACAAACTGCACTTTTCAACGAAACAATATACTATTCAGCACAAAGTCTAATTATGTCCACACAGGTCTCATAATAATATTTCAACTATAGAAGCAGTTCGTCTTGTTGAAGGTTACACCGACTGTAATATTCTTGTATATAAACAGTTAAAGAGGTATATATTTATGCGCGCACACACACACACACACACACACACACACACACACACACACACACACACACACACACACACAGGCACACACACACACACACACACACAGGCACACACACAGGCACACACACAGGCACACACAGGCACACACACACACACAGGCACACACACACACACAGGCACACACACACACACACACACACACACACACACACACACACACACACACACACAGGCACACACACACACACAGGCACACACACACACACACACAGGCGCACACACACACACGCACACACAGGCACACACACACACACACACACACACACACACACACACACACACACACAGGCACACACACACACACACACACACACACACACACACACACACACACACATGGATGTACCCTAGGTACAATGGCATATTGAGAAGAAGACCAAAACCTCTTTGCTTTGCAGGACGGACTAATACACATGATGTTATAGACACAGGTAAGGTGAAGGATTGACACAGGTAAGGTGTAGGATTGACACACTGTGTTCCTGAATGATTCCATACAAATATTCCAATGATACGTAACACGAAAAAACCAACTTATACATGTACATGCCTGTCGGTGAAAAAATACTAATACTCGAGTTTGTTTCTGTAATTTCAAATATCTGGAATATTCAACAAAGATTGCAGGACACGAGTGTAGCAATGCCAAATTATGATTATTAAAACATATGTATTAGTGTTTTGAATAGACAAATATTACAAATATTACACATGACACAGTAATTTATCTGCTGATAAGATAACTGTTATCTGTGTAACACAATGCGTCTACGCTTATAACAAGGAAGTAATGACGTTCCTTGCATCGATTTGTTTGTTTCAGCTTTAAGATGTGAAGTTGGAAGAAGTTGGATAAGCAGGCTATAGAACCCTAGGTAGGACAGGTTGTTACATTAGGACACTGCAAAACAATGTCTAGTGAGTGAGTGAGTATGGTTTTACGCCGCTTTAAGCAATATTCCAGCAATATCACGGCGTGGGACACGAGAAATGGGCTTCACGCATTGTACCCATGTGGGGAATCGAACCCGGGTATTTGGCGTGACGAGCAAACGCTTTAACCACTTGGCTACCCCACCGCCCCAAAACAAAGATTACAACATGCCACGTGAACTACCAAGTGATGCAGGGTGTCGGTACTGACGTACGTTGGACATCTACATATCTTCAGATCACGTTAACTCTCAGATACACCTTCACAGGATTTCAAAAACAGGTCCCAAAAGGGAGCACGGGTGGCCCAGTCGTCTAAGGCGCCGCAAATCGCTGTGCAGAGTTGCGTCCCTTGGACACGACAGAAACCTATGATTGTGGGTTCGAATCCCGGTTCGCCCCGATTATGTTCCTAGGTTTGTCAGCTCCATACCCGTGCTCGTGGGTTTCACCGAAGTGGTAAACGTCTGAGACCTGCATCACTTCGGGCTTTCCTCCCATATTAAGCTGACACGCCGCGATATAACTGGAATACTGTTTAAAGCGGCGTTAAACCCAACTCACTCACTCACTCACTCACTCAGGTCCCAAAAGGGTGGTTTCCATTTGGTGAATTCCTGGCGGATAACATCAGATACTAAACTTATAAGGTTTGATTGATAAGTTCTGAGCTTCACAAAGAATGAATTGTATTATAGTGAAATATGTTTTTTTGTGGACATTGCATGATGCCACAGCGGTATATTCACAATTCAGCTTATTGTTGAGTCAGTAAAATTAGGAGGAGACTGATCTTTGGAAAATGGACACACTTGAGCAACGTGCAGTGGTCAAGTATTCTCAGAAAAAGGGTTTAACACCAAACGTTATCCATGAAGATGTGAGTACAACACTAGGGAAGGATGCCCCTTTCTATGCAAACGTAAAGAGGCTGACAGCAGAGTGTAAACGTGGTAGGGAGACCCTTGAAGACGATTCCTTCCTGGTAGGCCTGTCACATCAACAACACCAGAAATGACCCAGAGAATCCAGGATATGGTGATGACCGACCGGCGAATGGCTGAGCGTCATGCTGCTTGTTCAGTAGGCATTTCCCAGGAGAGAGAGACGCACGACATATCTTGTAATATTCTAGCTTTGTTTGAAGCCCATCCAGAAAGATTATTATGACGATTTGTAATTATGGACATGACCTAAGTTTACCACGTACAGTCCAAACAAGGATCAAAACAGTTGTAGTATTTGAGATCACCACCAAGGAAGGCAAATACTGTATCATCAGCTTGAAAGGTTTTTGGATGTCATCATTTTGGACCATCCTCCAAAAGCTCAGACTGCATACGAAGCATATTAATCCACATTGGAGGCAATTACAGAATGAAATTAAGAGGTGGAAAGCTGAGAAAGTATATGCTCTTCTATCAGGACTATTTGCTTGTCGAAAAACTGTCATTGCCATAGTCAGGGATGTCGATTTGATCTCCTTTAGCACTCACATTATTGTCCTGATCTGGTCCCGTGAGTTTGCCATCTGTTGCCAAACATGCCGAACGATGACGTCACAGCAGCGGTGGAGAACTCTTTTGGACAACCAACCGAACTTCTACGAAACTGGGATAAAACCCCTCCAACATCGCTGTTCGAAGAGGATTCTGGTGAAAAATAAATCATTTTAATATCTGTCTGTCAAGTCTTTGTGAGGCTCAGAACACCCCTCGTACCCAGGAAAGGTGGCTTCCATCCATCTGATTCCTTGTGGGTAGCATCAGATACATACTTACCTAAAAGGCACACGGGTATATGTATACGTCAGTGAACATTTTTGTTTTATGTAGACACAAGTTTTTGCTTCATGTTTTGTGATATGGTGTCATGACTGATTTTCAGTGGTCCATTCATATAAATTTCACAGATGTTTTGCCCTTTACTCCAAATGAAATGTGTTTTTTACATAGTTTTGTATATTTGTAACCCTTTGACTCATTTGCCTTTTTTCCAAGTGTTCATGTCTAATCTAGAACCGTGTCATATAATACTATGTTTTGAGATCCCGATATACGTTTTAAAACTCGTATTAGAAATAATTCCGGCTGCTTTTGAAAAAACTTAAATAGATGAGAGTATAAGTATTATACCCAATATACTTGTGTTTTCTACAGAACAGAGACAGTGCATCATGGAACTGTATAAAAAAAATAAAGAGGTGTCACTCTCTATGTTTGTGGGTGTTTATTTACTGTGTTAAACTGTCAAAATACCCTCTCCTATAGACCCTGATATCGAACATCTGAATGGGTGTTTCTCCAGACCTAGACCACACCAACATGTGGAGGAAGTGGCGAGGATCCCTCTTTCTGCTGACATGGATTACGCTTCAAGGTATCTTGTGATCTCGTTTATGATGGAATCATAGAGTCTTTTGAGCATGCATTGAGTGTTATAAATGTTGAGATGATGGGTCGAATTAGTTTATCAAACTGTTTTATTCATCACATTCATCCTCTGTAAGATGAGACCCTTATGTAAACCTAATGTAGATTGATCTTGTAGATAGAACACTGGATATTAAACATAGGAAGAGCCTAACAACCGCATGAAATATAAAAAGGCTTGCCCAGTTGGAGTTTCTTGGATATACATTTTTGGTAGGAAATGGCTGGCATTTGAAAATACAATGATACAATGCAATCGATGGTGAATAACATAGTTTGCAAAATGCATCTTCTACCTCCTTTATGGATGCCATTTACCTGTATAAGAATAAGAGATTTGGACAGGAGGAAACGCTTCACAAATATCTAGAGCTGTTGTAAATGTTGGTGGTAGTTTCTTGTGCAAGATTTTCAGAACTGGTAAATATGATGATGTTGAAACAGCTGTATGTTTATTTAACGGGTGATCTCTTCACGGGTAAGTAATAAAGAGCATGCTCGTTTATTCCAGGGTAAGGGACAGGGGTGACACCGTATCTTGAATCCCAAGATTATCATCCAAGGTCTTTCCACTGCAAAGTTTGATTTAGTTCTAAATGAGCAGTCACTGGTGCAATGAGTGTCACGGTATAGCAAATTACAAGTGAGAGAATGTTAAAGTCAGCAATATCTAATTGCAAGTAACATTTCTGTGAATGAATTATTCTACCGTACGGTAACGGTAAGTAACGAAAATTGCAACGAAAATACTCCGAATCCGATGAATGTACCACGTTTTTGTTTTCTCGATTGGGGTAAACATAATGTAAAACGATAATAATAAAAGGTATATGGTTTTGCAAACCTTGTCGTCAGAGTGTATGTGCAGTTTCTGCTCCAGACAGTGCCTTGACGATGGATGGATGTAGCAAACGTTATTCAGCTGTCTAGATCTCTTATTGTAGGTAACGACCCATTACCGTAAATGTCATTTTAATGAGCAGGCACTGAGTTGACAATGGATGTGCCAAACGATCCACTACCGTAAATACCAGTTTAAACTAGTCTTCAGTCACAATCTCTCTCTCGGCACGGTATGACTGAAATATTGTCAATGTGAGGTTAAGTTTTAATTCAGTCACACTTTAGTCTCAATCAATTTGCATTCACAGTTCTATGTCCAGCTGTCTCTGGCCTGAGACACAAGACTGCCTGTTACAACTTCACGCTGATAGTGGATCCTCCGTGTCCCACTACAGAGATGCTTCTTCCTACCATGTTTACACTCGGGGTGTCCTCTGATGTCACATGTCACAGTGAAATAAGTGGAACAAGCTTAAGACAGAAGGTAGTAGAGGAAATCAGACGTTGCTGTCAACAGAGTGAGAATGATGCAGTTACAGATTACTGCTTTCCTGCTATGAAGCACCAACTCAAGGATCACTACTACCTGGACTTTGTGAACACGTGCACGGCCGCCACAAAATGTATGCTGTCTACACCTCTTGGTAAAGTGCAGCACACTGATGGTAAAGACTATGTAACATTTACGTTTGAATGTGTGCACAGTGAGTAGTGTCCATTATAAATAAATGTTTCAGCTATGTATATATGTCATTGACCATAGACAGGAAGTAAGGAAACGCTAAGCCCAACGCCGACTGTGTTCAGATATAACGTGACAGGACTTCTTATGAGCTTTACGTGCATGTTATGAAAGCCCATATAGCATGTGATGTAGTTAGTCATTGGAACCCATTGTACATGTAAGTAGTGTTTGGTCGTTTGTTGTTTAACGCCGCACTCAGCAATATGTCAGTTATATCATGGCGGCCTGTAAATAATCGAGTCTGGAACAGACCGTGCAGTGATCGAATTTGTGATCAACGATCCACGCCGTCGGAGTAGATGACACACAGACAAACAGGTCACCGAGCCAGACAAGCCGCCTCTCCCGACCAGCTCAAGTTGCTGGGGACCTAATACTGACAGAGGCAAATCCCCCTCCTTGTCATGCAACCAGGCGAAAGTTATGTATGCTATTTGTTGCCAATTCTTTCATTGCTGCAAGTTCATAAACCATATTAAAACCTAACTGGTTATACATGCTACACGTCACTTACTACAGGGTAGACATGTTTGTGGACCGTCATAACGCAGAATGTTAATTTTCAACCTCAAACAACTACCACAAGTCTTTCAAAAAGTGGTGTATCCATTTCACGCAGATGGAGGCATGGTTATTTAAACTTTTAAGGCGCAATAAATGTAACCATGTAAAATATAAATACAGCAAGTTCGCCCAACGGTTTCAGCAAAGAAACGTTGGCCCAACGTTCGATTAACGTCCGATTAGAAACTTGTATTAATTTATGTTTAAACATAATTATTATAATATATTTTCGAATTCCACACATTTCCACATGTTAATGCTTTTAAACATTATATTTCATAATATCTTGAAACTCAGAGAAAGTCTAAGCAGATCTGTAAATATTTATTGACAACCCAATATTTCCTGACGAGTTCGTCGTACCTTGTTAACTGAACCCAAGTCATTGATATTTTGCCGCCCTATTATTATAGGGCCTTTATAATCCTTTCAATGATAAATAATCCAAGCTTCTGTCATCAGCAAACCCTGCAGTTATTAAAGGTGTATATATATATCTAAAAAGAAACATACCCAGATAGGCACCTTATTGTTCAGCGCACTTAACATATATCAGCGCGCTGTGTACATGTTTGTATATGAAGCACTATGGGCCATGTGGCCTCAAATGCAAATATGATAAACTTGTCATAAAACTTGTCAAACTTGCCACTTTGGTATTAACTAACTCCCCGCTGAAGTTAATACGTGCTAAATATTGACAAATAATTGAAGGCGACCATGTCATCAGTCTCTCTAAAAGAACAACAACGATCCTATCTCCACTGTTTGGTGATCGAAAAGTGAACTCGCGAGGTAACGGACATCAGTGAAGCTCCGGATTTTATTTGTTATCATTTACACGGAATGCTGAGAGTTTCAGCTAGCCTCTTTCTGAATTGTTCAGTTCCGATTGATGTATATTTTATTTCTGACTGTCACAAGAAAAAGCGATTTTTGTTTGGTACTTCGTGTTTTATTAGGTAGTCGTGTGCTCGCTCGCTGTCCACTCTATACTGCGTTGGTTGGTTGCTTTGTTGTTTTACGCCGCACTCAGCAATATTCCAGCTATATGACGGCAGTCTGTTTAAAGCTGCGTTAAACTCACTCACTCAGGCTTGAAAGGGATGAGGAAATTAGATTTATTATTCCATATATTACATTGTGTAAGAAACGTCATCCGTTCCTTATTATCTTTGATGTGTTTTTTTAAATCATGCGGACAATGGAAATTACTTTGGATACCCATTTACAAGGAATATTAGTACACGACGGTCAGAAGAATAACTTTAATGACTTGGCCATCCTTTTCAGAGGACACGGTGCTGCACATCCAACGTGACTCTACACTCACAGGACAGGAGGTGTACCTGTACAACGACCAACATGACGGGATGGCCCATGCTAACTGTCTAGCATACTCTCATGAGTGTGACTCCCATGTCATAATACAACTTGCTGCAGCCCGAGTTGTGTCTGCCGCCTGCAGTGTGAACTTCACTGATGGGGATGTGTCAACCATGGTGGACTGTAAGAACCCACCTGCATCAAGAAACTGTTCCAGCGCAATGTTTGAGAGCAAGTCCAACTATGTTAACATGTCAATATTCATGACAGTCGATCCTGGACGTCAAGAAAAAGAGTAAAGGTAAGAGGCAAATTATTGATAAACACCTTTACTGTTTATAAGATATGTGCTAAAAAGATTAAAATCTCATTTCCAATAAGTGTACACTGCTGTAAAAATGTTTCTTCTGACACTTATGCGTCAAATCCATAAATAATGATCACATCAGTGGCAAAATACTTGTTGGGTGTCATTATGAGTGAGGAATATATTTGGAAAATGAAGCTTTGTCCCCGTAAAGCTTGTATTCTGAATCCTCGAACACCATATATCAATATATAGGACAATTTTATGGTTTGTTAAAAGCTGTCAGATTATTCAGTTTTCTCAATGTTGTATTAAAGTCAGATGGATGAAAACAGGTCATGAGTTGGACTTGTATCACGTCTTCTTCCACTATGAATCTATGCCTGGAGACCGAATATCATTGAACTCGATCGAATGCTTAAGTATTGACGAAAACCACCATGAGCCTTTTTATCACAGGAAATAATACCCCTATCAATGACAGTTGGTGCGCACATACAAACGTACATCGTTACTGCACGAGGGCCTGAATATTATACATGATCTCAGGTATTGTCACAATGTCATTAACTCAAAACCTTTACTTGTAGCGGATACAGGTGAGAATGTTACCGTCGTCTGTGAAGCCAACATACCTTCAGATGTGTCACTGAACTGCCCAACGTCTGCATCAACTACTCCATCAACTACGTCAACGTTAACACCAACTACTTCAACGTCTGCATCAATAACTACATCAACTACTTCAACGTTAACACCAACTGCTTCAAACGCCTGCATCAACTACTACGTCAACTACTTCAACGTCTGCATCAACTACGTCAACGTCTGCATCAACTACTACGACATCAACTACCTCAACTACAAGTACTAATGTTGCTGCTACCACTGCTACTACAGAGACCTCCAATAATGCCTCCAGCAAACACACATTGTTAGCGGTAACATGTATGTTCCCCTTAGAATTCGAGGATCCGAATTTCGTGACCCTGAACAAGCCAATAAATCTTGGACATAAAACATGTGTCCATAAGTACGAACCTACGAAGTTGATATGCTCGATTAAATATTCCTGCCAGTTGTATTCAGAGTCAGAAACTGTTATTGTTTTTATCATTCATCTGATATTGCTTGACATTCAAGTAACATCACATGTGAATTGCGCTTGTTGTGAAAGGCGAGTGTTTATTTGTTTGAAATGTGTACGACTCATGAACACAGGTGAACACGTCAGGTGACTGGTTGTTTGCAAGCCACTGGTTCGGCAGTCTTACAATTCAAACAACAAAGCCAACAACTATACCAAACAACAACAATACCCCATTATCGTGTTGTTATATTGAGAGACCCGTGAAGATACGGGTTAGAATCGGTCTTCAGCGACCCATGCTTGCCGTCAAAGCGACTATGCTTGTCGTAAGAGGCTCGCTGACTTGGTTGATGCATGTCATCGTATCCCAATTGCGTGGATCGATGCTCATGATGTCAATCACTGGGTTGTCTGGTCCAGACTCAGTTATTTTCAGACCGCCGCCATATAGCTAGAATATTGCTGAATGCGGCGTTAAACAACAAACAAACATACAAATATATTGCAGGATAATGATATGGTGTTTTTTTGTCTTCTTGTTCAGGTGAGCCATGCAACACACTACCCATAGCACTAGGCGTATCCGTGGCTGTTCTGTTCGTTGGCTTTGTTTCAGGTTGGATAATGTCGAGGTAAATCCTATTATTACTTTTATTTGGTATCTCAGAAAATGTCAGTGTCCAACACAAAATAAATATGCATTGAATTATGTTTTATTCTGTGTATGAGCAACAACTTACAAACGTTAATCTTATATATATATTACGATTAATTTTGTTTCCCTACCTGACCAGCCTTGTGCTTACGATGTTGACTATACAGTAATCTACGGTTATAAAGAACACGCTTATAACTTTTTAGTCCCGACTACATGCTGTAGTTATGCTGTATATATGCTTATAACGAATTGCGGTTATAACCAACTAAAACTAGCAGTCCCTTTGAGTTCGTAATAACCGTAGTTTACTGTATAGCTATTGTGGAAACCTCTATTTCCCAGGTTTTTCTATCAACGCAAGACAAGGAAGAATGGTGCAGATGTTTACAACACGACCTCAGCTATGGAAGAAGAACATACGTACACTACAGTCCAACCTACCAGCACGGCAACATATGCCAACACCTCCTATGAATCATCTTACAATCAATAAAAAATGGGCATAATATTAAAAATAAATATTTCCTTTCCTTTTGGTGTGTATTTACATTTTCGAAGCACTAGGGTGTCGTTTAGTTGCTGATATTATTTTACAGTGTTGCAGAAGTAAATCAATTTCATTGAGTTACTCAGTGACTAAGACTGCTTTCGTTTTGTCAATATCCCAATCAAAAGTGGACTTCACACTTGGTTCCCGTATTCATGTAAATAACTGCAGAAGGTTTTAATGCTTCTTCTAATTACGTTGTAATGACGTCAGTATTGATATCGTTACTTTTTAAAATTAAATTACATGATATAAATTCCCTGAAACTTCATATAAAATCTATTTAGGACATGATTCTGGTTCTGTGCATAAACAGTCAAAATTGTTTGCAAACTCTGTACCAAGCTGTAGGACATTTGTTGTAGGATATTTCTTATTGGCAAATACTTTGCTTGTATATATTTTTGTAGATATGACAAGATCTCGTTAATTCCTAATGGAAAGGAAAGGAATTCACAGAAAGTTTATGACAGATGGAATGGTGCCGTCATTTTCAACAAAAACGAATGTTCTTCACCCCCCACAATTCTGATGTGTATCGTCGTTTATTGATTCATTCGATTAAAGTTGAAGACGAGATCAATGGCGCTGCATCTGACAGTGCCGTCCGTGAACAAACACACACCCACCCCATCCCCACCCACCCCAACAACCCCAACCCCAACCCCCACCCCCTCACTTCCCCAGCCCTTAGAAATATCTAAACGATGCACAAATAACTCTCACATGTCAAGTACTGGCCACAAAAACAAAGTATAGTAACATTCTACAGGTCTTCACAGCACTCCTTGTGTGCCGTAAAAGGCGACTATGCTTGTCGCAAGAGGCGACTAACGTTATCGGGTGGTCAAGCTCGCTGACTTGGTTGATGCATGTCATCGATCCCAGTTGCGTGGATCGATGCTCATGATATTAATCACAGGATTGTCTGGTCCAGACTCGATTATTTACAGAGTGCGGCGTTAAACAACAAACCAACCAAACCAACAACAAGGTCAGTGCCGTTCAGATACCCTTGACATGCAACTCACGTTAATAACGGCTTTCGATCTTCCTGCTGCAATTACGTGTCCTCACAAAAGTGTTATAAAATCGTCAGGAGTTTGATGTACACGTATAGTGTTTTATTAATTTACTTCTTTTTTGATATTATGGATATTACCGACAGATAATGATCTGGAAGAGCTACTGGCTGTAAAATATTCTTTCTCCATATCGGCTAAACGGCCCTGTTTGTGGATAGGTAATAGACTAATATACACGTATAAGACGAAATGAAATATGTCTTGGCATCATATGTTGTGTATTAGATGATGGTTATGCCCTGAATTGTCAGAATGTTAGATCACGAGGACTGAACGGTAGAGCGTTTCATGATACACTAGGGTTTTGGACACTTGCTGGTAACACCAAACACTGATATGAGAAATTAGGATATGCAAATACAAATGTACATAAGTATGGAAGGTAGTGGAGGAAACAAATCGAATTAGTTGTTAATCGGGTCTGATTGTTCTCAACATGTTACGATATTGCATAGACAATACGAATTTGCATCATTGATTCGAGTTATTGTAAACTGAAGAATACCAAATATTTCCATATAATGCGTATACTTCCACATACCCACCAAATTCAAATATACTTCCTGTGTGAAGCATTATACAGTTGAAAACTTACCGCCAAGTATTGCTAATAAATAACGTTAACTCAATAATCAGACTCGGGTGCCTGCCGAAACACATATTTGGCGACATAAAGTTGAAAACGTTTGTGTTGTAGTGTATGTCATGTCAGCTCGATGTTGGAAGGGATGCATGTCTTACACATTTACCAACCTGGTGAAACCCACGACTACGGTTATGATGCTGACAAACTCACAAACCAAGGAACATAATCTGTACAAAACTGGGATTCGAACCAACGATCATAGGTTCCTGACGCAATCCTGCAAATCAAGTGACGGCGACTTAGACGACTCGGTCATCCTTGTTCGAGGTCCGTAAACAAGTAAATACATCTTGATGAAATAGAAGTTTATTAGATTTCAAATTTAAACTTACGTAACTTAAAGTTTGTATAAATACGCCTCATGAACTAGTCGCTGAGCCTGACCACGCGATCCACTTAGTCACCTTTCATTCTCAAACCGAACCCCACGGGTTAAGTATTCATAAAAAAGGCACTTTCCTTCTCACCCCAATTTTTAGTCCTATATTATCACATTAACACAACCATTACACAATGCAATTGGTGCCACATTAATTTTGTATATGTGAAATAATGATCTAATTCCGCACGTGTATTAAGCATGATTGCTCATGAAATGCAAAATCCATATCATGACTATACCGCCATTAAAGTTGCTGTACAATATTATACTCACTTGTGAAGAGATAACACTAGAAGGAGAATTTCACCAAGTGCTTCTCATTGTAGAGGAGTTCCGATCAAATACCGCTACAGATGTCCACCATTCATTCAGCACATGTTTGAACAAATGACATGTATTCAAATGACACGAAACACGGAAAAAATCACTGTCCACATAAAAGGCATTTATACACGCCTGATGGTGTAACATTACTTGAATGTACTTCTGTAATGTTAAATCTCTGGAGTATAAAAACGCTTTTCAATTGTGCTGTTGAAGATTGGAAGTCTTGAATGTAATAGTATCTACCTTATTATGTACATGTATTAGTATCAGTGTTTATATTAAACTTACTTTAGTATCTGGCACACCTTGAACTGAGGCAACTGGGCCAACAGGGACCCACCACACGATAGCCGTTAACTATTACACGTGACAAAGTTTAAAGCGGCTGATAAGATAACAGCTACATGTGCAACACTGCGTCTGCGCTTATAACAAGGAAGTAATGACGTTCACTGCATGGCATTGTCTGTGTGTCAGCTTTTCATGGTGAAGTTGGACATAGGTGGATCTTTGGGTAATACACTCAGAGGTAGGTACGTTGTTACATTCAAACACTGCAAAACAATGATTGAAACTTGTCATGTGAACTGATCAATGTTGCAGGCAGTCGGTAGTGAGGTACGTTTGACTTACATGTATGTTGGGCGTCTTCGGTACATGTTAACCCTCAGATACATCTTGACAGTATTTCTTATATTATATGTACCCAACAGGTCCCAAAAATAGGTGGTTTCCATCCGCCGGATTCCTGGCGGATACCATCGAATACTTTCCTAAATTACACCTGTGAAGTCGTTAGTGAACATGTTTGTTTTATGTACATACACGTGACAGATTTTGTGCGGTATGTTTTGAAATATTTAATCTCTTACTGGTATAAAGTTTGGTTTGATTTCTTAAATACATTCCACTTTTTCTGGAGCTAATCTGTAATCTAGGTACGCACGTACCATGTTATATCTAATAAAATCCTGATATATGATTCAAAATTTGGATTAAACTTTATTCAAGCTGCCATGAAAGACTTTCTGAGTGAGTGAGTGAGTTTGCTGTTTAACGCCGCACTCAGCAATATTCCAGCTATATGACGGCGGTCTGTAAATAATCGAGTCTGGACCAGACAATCCAGTGATTGATATCATGAGCATCGATCCACGCAATTGGGATAGATGGCATGCATGAACCAAGTCAGCGAGCCTGACCACCCGATCCCATTAGTCGCCTTTTACGACAAGCATAGTCACCTTTTACGGCAAGCATTGGTTGCTGAAGACCTATTCTACCCCGGAATCTTCACGGGGAGAAAGACTTTCTGTCATAAATCTGGAACAAAGACACTATATTTTCTACACCCTATATACATGTGTTCTCTACAAAGCAGAGCCAGTGTGTCATATGTTACTTGATTACAAAGTAAATAGTTGATACCACTCTATAGTTGTGTATGACAGAACTGCATGATGACTAACGGTACTATCACACTCATTGTGTTTACTCCCCTATAGTCTCTGACACCGAGCTCTGAATGAGTGTTTCTCCAGGCCTACACCAAAACAACATGTGGAGGAAGTGGCGGGGGTCCCTCTCTCTGCTGACATGGATTATACTTCAAGGTATCTTGTGATCATTTTTATGAAAGTATCGTAGCATCGTTTGTGTATGAATTCAGTGTTATAAGAATGATATGTTTATGATAATATCAGTGTTACATGTACTGTAACAGTGACATCAATGTATATAATCATGGTTTAAACTCAGCGCTGTTTAGTTGAAGAAGTGCATATCACTGGTACATTGATCAGATTCGGACTCATTCATCCTATGTTAGATGACAGCCTCGTGTACATCTAATTGTATATTGAACTTGAAGATTGAACACTGAATTTTGAACATGTGAAGGTAAAATGTTGTTCATTATGTACCTATTGATAGAGATAATGAAGGCAGCCCAACACTTTATACGGATATTGAACACAAGCTTAACAACCGACTGAAATTTATTAAGGCTGGTCAGTTCCCATTTCTGGGATATGCAGTGATCTTTTGTAGAAAAAAGATGACATCTGAAGATTTTATGACGTAATGTAATAGTTCGCGAATTATAAGTTTGCAAATTGCATCTTCGCTGCATCTCGCCATGAAGACCCCCCTTGGTCGGGGATTCGAATCCAAAGAGCATATTCCTTGGTCTTTCCATTGCAACAACTGCAAAGTTAGTTTGTTCCGGCTCCAAATGAGCAGGCTCTGATGCAGTGTGTTACAAGGCACAGCCCATATCAACCGAGTGAGTGAATGTTACAGGCATCAATAACGAATTGCAAGTAACATTTCTATCATAATGAATACATGATGCTACAGACATTATACGCAAATTGCAACGAAATTAATCATAGTCCAATGAAAAACTACCAGGTTTGCGTTTTGATTACATGGGATAAACATAGCTTACTTAGAAGTAACGATATATGGTTTCACAAACCTTGTTATCAGTGTTTATGTGAAATGTCATAAGGTTTAGTGCGTTGATGAGGTACTGATGTGCAAACGTTATTTGGCTATCTAGATATATTGTTGTAGGTAACAATTCATTTCCGTAAATACCAGTTTATACAATTTAAATCAGTTTATATTAACAATGTACAGCTATCTCTGGCCTGAGACACAAGACTGCCTGTTACAACTTCCCGTTGATAGTCGATCCTCCGTGTGCCTCTACAGAGATGCTTCTTCCTACCATGTTTACACTCGGGGTGTCCTCTGACGTCACATGTCACAGTGAAATAAGTGGAGAAAGCTTAAGATACAAGGGAGTAGATGAAATCAGACGTTGCTGTCAACAGCGTGAGAATGATACCGTGAGAGATTACTGCCTCCCTGCTATGAAGAACCAACTCCCGGGACACTACTTCCCCGACTTTGTGAGCACGTGCACGGCCTCTACAAAATGTCAGTTGTCAACTTCTGAAAGTCGGTTGCTCAATACTGATGGTGCAGACTATGTAACATTCACGTTTGAATGTGTGCACAGTGAGTAGTTTCCATTATCAATTCATGTAATCGGCTTTTTAAATATCAGCTACCCCACCCCAACTTACCCCCATCCCAAATAGTGTTGCAAAACGAACATGTGTTTCTCTGCACGCAGCAGCAGAACCTCTGCACGTATTCGCAGCAGACGTAATTTAAATTAAGAGATGGGTTTTTTTTCAACAAAATTAATAAACGCGTTATTGGGTTACTGGATTGTCTTGTTCATTGTCATGATACAGTTGCTCACCGTCGTATGACACGAGTTCTGCTGTGCGGTGTCAAGCAATAAACAAATGCTTATTTTTATATGTAACTTGAGAGTGGGTGAATGTGGTTTAACACAACTTTGAACAGTATTCCAGTTATATCACGGTGTGTCAGCTTAATGTGGGAGGAAAGCCCGAAGTGATGCAGCTCTCTGACTTTTACAACTTTGATGAAACCCATGAACACTCAATTTGGGGCGAGTAAGAGGCCACAAACGACATCGGATGTCAGGCTCGCTGACTTGGTTGATGCATGTCATCATATACCAATTTCGTGGATCGATGATAATGATGTCAATCACTGGATTGTCTGGTCCAGAATCGATTATTTACAGACCGCCGTCAGATAGCTGGGATATTGCTGAGAGCGGCGTTAAACAAAAAAAACCACACACATAATTTTGGGCGAACTGGTTTTTGAACCCACAATCACAATCACTGTTAAAAGCGGCGTTGAACCCAAATGACGCACTTACGTGTATTTGTTCTTGTCAGCATCATACCAGTGGTCATGTGTTCTACCAATGTGATAAAAGTCTTGACCTACATCAGTTCTGGTTTCCTCCCAAACTAAGCCGACACGCCATGATATAGTGAAATACTGTTCAAAGCTACGTTAAACTCGCTCTCGCACACTTGAATGGGAAAGGATAAAAAGATATAATATTCTATGTATTACATCGTATAAAGTACTTCATTTGTTGTTTATTATGTTTGAAGTTATTTACAGCAAGTAGCCAATGGATATTGTTTTCAATACCTGTTTACAACGAATACAAGTACATCTACCGTCGTGTTAGAAGTATACACAACTTTAATGACTTGGCCATCCTTTTCAGAGGACACGGTGCTGCATATCCAACGTAATTCTACACAAACAGGACAGGAGGTGTACCTGTACAACGACCAACATGACGGGTTGGCACGTGCTTACTGTCTAGCATACTCTCACGAGTGTAACTCCCATGTCATAATACAACTTGCTGCAACCCGAGTTGTGTCTGCCGCCTGCATTGTGGACTTCACTGATGGGGATGTGTCAACCAAGGTGGACTGTAAAAATACATCTGCATCAAGAAACTGTTCCAGCGCAATGTTTGAGAGCAAGCTCAACTATGTTAACATGTCAATATTCATGACAGTCGATCCTGGAGGTAAAGAAAAAGAATTTCTTTGGTTGCGGGCGAAAGGTAAGTGATTAATAATTATATCTGCCCTGATGTGTTGGTAAACCTGGAAATGGGACTAAAGGTCTTGCGGAAAAAGTTCCTTGATGGCAATCTGACGTCGGCTCTGACGTCGTGCCTTTTTACATTGTTATCATAATGTATGTGTTAAACTAGGCTTAAGGATAAACACAATGACTATTAGGATATGTTGTTTGAGATCTTTATTCATGTATCAAGGAGCAAAACCTACCTGTAACTTTCACTCAAATCAAATTGCTTAAGGGCAAGTATCGATATGATTAAGAATAGCATTATAATCATAAAAATTGCTACCTTTTGTACAGACACACCTCCCTCTGACCATTCAGTGTTTCAGTGAATAAATACACGCAGTCTACACGTGTGACACGGTCTCAGAGTGAACGTTACTGTGCAACTGCTGCTGTATGTACCTGGCATATCGTCAACATGGCCTCACTCGTCACAAAGATATTGACACTGAACATATTAATCATAAACCGGTCCGCCGAAATGTAAAAAAATGAATACAAAAGACTTAGTGCTTTCATCTTTTCCCCAATGTTTCCTGCCGATTTTTATGCTTTGGTTGATTCCTTTGGTTAATTGTCAGATAATTGTATCATTGCAAAAATATTTATTTTCAATAAATGTTTGCGCAAAGACATAATGGGAAAAGGAAGTTTTACATATTTATTCACTGCTGCATCTCCCTCTCACTCCCTGGTGCCTTTACATAGAGTGAGAGGGGGATGTTTCATGTAAAAACACGTCAAACTTCTTTGTTCAGCACCGGAACACACGGTATGTTTATCTCCGCCCTACAGAGTGAACGCGAATATGTTTGTGATAGCAGTATGGATACCAATGTGTTGTGTAGGCTGAACGGGGGCACGGGTGAGCAGTGCTGAGTCCCTTTGGGCACGCCAAAACCTATGACTGTGGGTTCGAATCCCGGTTCGCCCCGATTTTGTTTCTAGGTTTGTCAGCACCATACCCGTGCTCGTGGGTTTCACCAAAGTGGTAAACGTCTGAGACCCTCGGGCTTTCCTCCCACATTAAGCTGACACGCCGTGATATAACTGGAACTCTGTTAAAGCGGCGTTTCACTCAACTCACTCACTCACTCACTGTGTAGGCTAAATGTTCCAATGGATCAGTGACAGTCCGCAGTCGTCTCCGCATATATATTCAAGGTTTAATTCTCAGTAAAATAGTTCAATCCCTCCTATGAGAGGTAATAGAACCAGGAAGAAGCCTACCGGGAATACCAAGTAAACATTATTCTACCACCTCCGAGAGCAGTGAATCGATCCTTGCAGTTGGGAGTGCTGAAGTACACGCCACTATTTTGACGTCATAATGTTCCAGAGACAGGAAGTAAAAGCATCTCAGCGCAGGAAGTTTACAGCAACACAAAATGATGTCAATGTTTCCAACTTTTCAGTCGTTTGTCGTTTCGTCCCCTTTAAAAAACTAAGGATCCGCGGTATTACACAATGTTTCGTGTTTTTGCATGAAATATTCTACCATTAGGGCTGTAGATGTCGAAAGAAGTCATATTAGGTAGATGTTTCGGTGATGCGGTTGTCAACATGATGATGGTCGAGCGAATACTAGTACATAATGTCATGGCAGAACACACAAACAAGTGCACATGGTGAATGCACATGCACATGTATTATTCATTTGTCTGCAGTATCAATAACCTCTTTCATATTTACCTACCACATCGGTAATAACCTACCGCGCATGTAGTGTTTAACAAAATAATATAAGGCGTGGTAGCCAGTACATAATTTGAAATTAATAAAAGTACATAAACTGACGCTGGTGGCGATACTCCGTGTGTTAGTGTAAACACTGTCTGTCTGATTTATTTCGTGAATTGGTGTGGATGTGCACGAGTATATGTGGTATTATTCAATAATCATTTTGTTGCAGCGGATACAGGTGAAAATGTTACCGTCGTCTGTGGAGCCAACATTCCTGCAGATGTGTCACTGAACTGCCCAACGTCTGCATCAACAACTACGACATCAACTACTTCAACTACAACTACTGCTGCTGCCACTGCCACTGCCACTGCTACTACACAAACAGTAACGTCCAATAATGCCTCCAGCAACCACGCACAGGTAGCGGTGACATCATCACCTGGTAAGCCACAAGCACAACTAATAACAACGTCAGCAGGGACAACGATGCACAGCAATGCCTCTACCACGCTATCGTTGTCCAGTGTGAACGGCTTTTCCTCCAACATCACTCCCCGCCATCCCGATCCAAACTCTCCCACAACACTCCCTCAGCAGAGTGGAGTCACAGAAACGACGTCAGGTACACGCAGTATATAAACTTAGAACCTTTCTCTCTTTTCACGAGGTTCGCTCACGGTTTCGCTTACACCTGGTGTCATAACTTTTTGATAGTGATTCATAAACACATGCTTGTGCTATAGTTGGAATCGTACAATGGACGCTGATTTAAGCAAATGTTTCTTCTGATCAAGGTGGTGGGTGAGTTTGGTTTAACGCCTCTTTTAACAGTATTACAGTTATATCGCGGCGTGTCAGCTTAATGTGGGAGGAAAGCCCGAAGTTTACCACTTCCGTGAAACCCACGAGTATGTATGTATGTATGTATGTATGTATGTGTGTATGTGTGCGTATGTGTGTGTGTGTGTGTGTGTGTGTGTGTTTGTGTGTGTTTGTATGTATGTATGTATGTATGTATGTATGTATGTATGTATGTATGTATGTATGTTTGCATGTTTGTTTGTTTGTTTGTTTGTTTGTTTGTTACTGAACACAAGCGATAGTTATTGAAGATACAATTAATAATACTAACACTAATACTCCCAGATTCAAGGTGAGGCAATCTGAACAACCACTGCATCGAGTTTATGTGCAGTGTGTTGAGAGGATCAGCAACCCTGTGGATGAAATCGGCTGGCCCGAAAAGTGAAACAGATGGCTTTCTGTTTGCTTCTCAGGGTCAGTTACCGCCAATTCGAAAGTGATTTTGCATCAAAATGCCCATCCATGGTACGGCCCATAATATGTAGAGGGCGTCATGGAAAATGATAAATACAAAATTATTTTGAATAGGCCCATATACAGCCTCAGACCTATCCAGGCCAACAAACCTGATCTTGTTCTTTTTGATAAATCCAGTGAAATTACTTATGTAATTGAATTATCTGTCCTTTTTGACACTAATGTGTTTGACACTATTAAGGAGAAACATGGCAGATATGCGGACTTTCATACAAAGGACATTTAACAATTAATAAGGGTAAACTGTACATAACATAATTTAGATTAATTGTACCTACTATTGCAATTATTATGTTGCGAATATACAAGTCATACACAAATACACAGATACAGATATTGGTATATGACCAAACCGGTGCATCCATGCACATGTATGTATACACATATATGCATGTACAGCTGTACCTCTACATATCATCATGTCACGCATACAAACAACAATTTGATTTACGTAATCGTAAATAAGACACATATCTAAATTTTAAATCTTTTAGATTTTGTAATGTACAAATGAACAGATTCTACAAGAAGATGTTATAGCATTTCCATATAATACTGTCATAAAAGTCATATCCTTTCTTATAGTAGTACATATTGTTCCGAAATTTGCAGTATTTGCGACATGAAAAGAGGTAATGAGTTGGATCCTCATAATGGTATCCACGGCAGCAGGTAGTAGACGCGTATGTCTATGATATCTGTGTTCAGTTAAATCTGAGGCGGGAATAGATACTTTGACAGAAACGGGTACCATAGTCTTAATTTAAGCCAAATATTAAAGGATTTTCTGTTGTGGTGATACATTTAGTGAAGTCATTTACAGTATATTTTAACTGAACATTATCCGGTTATTCATTCCACATTCGCACTGTGTCGGGTAAAAATGATTTGTGGTAGTTAACTGTTCTAGCATTTACAGTCTGTAGCTGTGAAGAAGTTCTTAAATTGAAACGTGCGCCCGCTGAGACATTAGGAGGAACAATCTAGGAACACGGTTACATAGATATTCAGGGGCCAACTTGTTAACCATTTTGTAAAATGTTTTTAATGTATGAGATTGCCGTCTTTTGGATAAGGTGTAAGGTTAGTTTTAGAATATAGAGACTCGTGACTGGTACCACGAGTAGCTCCACATATTGTTCTCAGTGCGTCGAAACACAAGCCTTTCCAATACCAGTTATCCCATACCTGGTCACAATAGTCGAATATTGGTAAAATGAATTATCGGTATATATTCTATGACGTTTTTCTGGACAGGCGGCATTTGAAATTTCTAAAGCAGTTAATCAATCATAGGGCTTACTTTATCTACTACATTATCTATGTGATTTGACCAGTAGCCAAACTTGCTGTCAAATTAGATTAGTGTTTGTACGATGAGACCTTTTGTATTGGAACACCTTTCGTTTTACGAACAGGTTTTTGGCTTGTTTTTTTTTTTCTTGAAAACATGATGGTTTCAGTGAATTAAACGAAATGTCTTTCGAAATGTCATGCTTGCTTCCCAAGTTCCAACTTGTCGTACTTCCCATTCTTCACGGTGCCTAAGACCTAGTACCTTTCAATCTGTTGACTGACATTGGGAGAATATTTTGAAGTGTATACTTGCTTTTATGTACGAATCACGTGTGGACAATATATGTAAACACTTGGCAGTTCATAGCACTCCTGCTTGGTTTTGTGTGGCATTGTATCCCAATGTGGCCATGTTGACACTTCATTGACTTTTTTTTATCTGCCTCTAGTAGTTACAAGTTCCAATTTGCTACCTATTGCTGAAACCATGTTACATATCGTCATTCACTTATTTTAATACCTCGGGGGAGACCCGTGAAGATCCGTGGTAGAACAAGTCTTTAGAAACAACCCATGCTTGCCATAAAAGGCGACTTTGCTTGTCGTAAGAGGCGACTAACGGGATCGGGTGGTCAGACTCGCTGACATGGTTGATGCATGTCAAAGTATCCCAATTACGTGGATCGATGCTCATGATGTCAATCACTGGATTGTCTGGTCGAGACTCAATTATTTACAGACCGCCGTCATATAGCTGGATTATTGCTGAGTGCGGCGTTAAACAAACAAACAAAACCGCGTGGAAATCCGGGTGAGAAAGGTTTCATGGCACCCAGTTGGTTGTTGTATGAGGCCACCAGATGAGATCAGCAGGTGCGACTTGGCTGGTTTCATGTCATGCTGCACCCATGACTTTGATCGGTGCTCATGTTTTCCTTCACGTGTTTGTCAGGTCAAGATTTGATTATATCTCGCCTGAATATAGCTGACTGCAGTGATACACACCCACTCTAAAGATATGATATGTATCGTGTTGCCAGAGGCCACTCCACCAATGGATAATGACACATCGACTCCAGCTGCAACAGAAACTCTTCCTTCAACACCAAGCAAAGGTACTCAAAGTTTGAAGTTTAATGTGAAGCGAATGCAATATTCAATACTTGCCCCCTGAGGTGATGTCCCTTCTGTGGGATCAACCTTATCTCAGGAGATAACAATAACAATCATAATGCCTGCTCAAACTGCACAAAGTGATGGAGATAATATAAGATAGTACTTTCCCGATCACAACTGATCGATTTCAGGTTTACATAAATAAATCTGACACGAGTGATTCTATTTAAAAATATACTTCTTTTCACTTAGTGATCACTCCCTTAATGCCCCCGTTAAACATACCGAAATGTGTGGTAATTGACAGATGCGACCGAGGGAAAGGAGGTCACATTCCGAAGTCAAACCTGAACGTCACCATGGGTGCGTTGCGAAAAGCCAATCGCTTGCAAACGATGTACAGTAGGGCGCTAACTTTCAGTCAGTTGCAATCGCACCAATCGCTGGCTGACGTCGGTTCCGTCTCAAACCAGAATGGCGGCTGACGGAAATTTTGACAGGGAAAAAATAATTTCTTTACTGGGAAATGGACAAAGGCATCCACAATCTGTTCCATATCTTCAAAGTGGTCATGACTAGTCATAAATTCATGGGCACGTCATCGAGCCTCATCTATTACGTTCTTCATTTGGGCAAGACAACCAAGCGGTAGCTTACCGCCATTTTGAAGAGTGCAACCGCTTCGACCAGTTGCAGACCCTGGGCTGAGCGATTAATACTGTGTCTGAGTGGGGTATTCATGTTAAACTGCTGCATGGTATCTCAGTGTGCTAGCACTATAAATCGGCATCAGTCCGGGCTAGTACAAGCAGCCACACACACACGTGCATGCACGGCGCTATATAAGTGCAATAATCCTGGACGCGACGTGTAACTCCATTTCACCTCACCTCACATCTAATCAACAGTGTATAGGCACTTGAGAATGATAATAGATGAATAAAATGTCACTACAAGGGGGATGAAAAAGGATCACAAAAGGTTTGACTCGTGACTCACAACAACACATATTCCAATGTAAAACTGTATGTATCTAATACTACGGCATATGTTAACAGAGGTGGTTATAATCGGCTGCAGTGTGGGAGGAGTCATCATGATAGCAATCATTGTGACAATCACGGTCTGCGTCCGACGAAAGAAAAGGTAAAAGCTTTTACAATTAGTATTACCATATCGGGGAATAACATACCCACACATTCTCTGAAAGAACATTCACTCTACATGGAATTAGTCATGCATGAATCGCTGTGTTCTTAAATATACATCGCAATTCAAGAGTATGTTTGTAATTGATCTTTCATCTATCGTTGATAAAATCATCATGCATGGTTACTGAGATTATGCATATCAGTGAAACACTTCTCATATCCTATACTTCCGTTAAAAACATGATATAAAATGAGTTCAGGACGAGAGTTTGTGGGTGTCAACTTCGGTATTATGAGGAACACAACATTAAGGAGTATTTGCTTACTCCTTCATCCGGTGATATGAATTTACTTCCTCCTCCTACCTGAGAAAGCCTATACTCCTAAATGTGTTCCTCATAATAAAGTAGTTGACATCCATAAATTCTCTTCCTCACTTCCTCATGTGTATCACTTCAAAATGCCATTCAAAGACTTGACATATTACGTTGATATCGAATCTGTCTTAGTTGTGCTTCTCATTTTCGATGTAAAATTGTCCTTGAGGCACTGAACACATCTTCTTCGGTCTTACTGACGATCATGGTGCAATAATGGTATATTAATCGGTATGAAGTTAAATAATATATCAATCGGTTCCAAGAAGTATTCCAAAATTAAGCCAATGCATACGAGCTTATACAACAAGCAAAGCAATATATTTATTTCATATATAAAGCCTTCATTATACCTACTGAATTAATATTATCTTGAAACAGTTCAGAGAATACTAATCCAAAACGTTTACTCATGGAGGAAAACCACGAGGATCGGAACGAGCCAAACGGTACCCGGAACTCTGTAAGTGATGGAAACGTGCCTAACCCAATCTATGAAGGAACTGATGACTACAAGCTGGGGCAATTGGACAGGAAGACTAGCGATGACGTTAAAGATGGCTACGAACCCGAACTGGAGTCACCTTACGCGTATGGCTTCACGCGATCACGGCCAGCACCTTCAGGCCTCAGTCTGGGCAAAAACTTCTGGGTGACACAAGGACACCTTGAGTATTATAACGACACAGTTGTCAATACAGAGGCAAGTGGGGGACATTCAGAGGAGAAAAGGGATGATAGAGTTTCAGATCTCTATGCCAAGGTGAACAAAGCACGGGGCACTGATCAGGTGACGGATGTGTATACTCAAGTAGACAAACCAAGGAAGCCTGCTCGTGGAACATCCGGGCAGTACTCTGCTGGAGAGAACCCAGGGCAGGATGAGGACATTGATGCCATGTACGCAAAGGTTCAGAAGAAGTGACTCGACATGTGAAGGTCATCTGTATTAGGACATCATTATGTGAATGCATGTAGCTGTAAACTATGCTTAAAGAAGTGAATCGCGTTTGTGTGCTTTATAACGTAAAGTGTTACTTTATTCTATGAAACCCTGTATCATGTGCATCTACACATGGGCGTATAATCATGCTATTTTAAATTACACATGGCTTTGAATAACAAAAATATGTTAACACTGGACTTACACATATGCGATGCTATTGTGCTTAACACATCATTACAATCAACTTAGGTAATTCTTTCTCATCTATTATTTAATTGCTATTTAAGGTGTGTCGTTATGTATGTTCTCACCTGTTAAAAATCTTATAGATTACAGCTCAAGCACGTATATATCTTTTTCTGTCCACGTGTGATGTTCATTCTGCAGTAACAAATGTTTCCCTATTAGAGCATATAGTTGTCTATTGCTTGTGTTTTTTTATATGTAATTGAGACTTTTTTGCGCATCGATGGGATAGGATGACATACATGAACCAAGTCAGCTCGTGTGGACAGTTAATCTTGACGTCAGAGCCTCCTCCGGAGATGTCTGTCTGAAAGGCTTAACCTCGGTCTCTTCAGCACTGGCACTTCTTTAACACCGCTAGACTCCGCGATAGTGACGAAGACAATGACGTGACGTAACCGGCAACTTGTGAACATAGTTAATGACGAATATATACTCTTACAGGATCTACACATAATGCGATGCTATTGTGCTTAAAACATCATTGCAATCCACTTGGGTAATTCTTTCTCATCTTTTATTTTATTTGCTATTAAAGGTTTGTTCTCAAGTATGTTTTCTTCTGTTACAGCTCAAGCGCGTATATATCTTTTTATGTCCACGTGTGATGTTCATTCTGCAGTAACAAATATTTCCTTATTAGAGCATAAAGTTGTCTATTGCTTGTGTTTATTGATTTTAGAGTGAGACATTTTGCGCATTTTCCCAAACTTTGCTATTTATGAGTCGGATTACACTATGTTCATATTAATTCCACGCCTTATGCTGTTCGTACGTGGACAAAGGGAAGATGCAATGCACAGCCAATAAAATAAATAATTCACAGTATTCTTCTTGTCATCCCAACATCCAAGCATTCGTCGTCATGTGGAAGAATCTAACTAACAAACCCCTCGGCCATGATGATACGTTGTTGATGGAGAGGGGGTACAGTGTCTGATAACATTGTCGTCATACAGTCGACAAGAGTCCTTGCCCACACCCCGAGTATGAAGTTGAACTTGTCAAAGGTAGTGACCAAAACAAAATCAGTAATCTACAGAAACAAACACAATCTTGTTCACATATCTGACTTCTACTTTCCTAATGCAATACTCTGTTCCTATATACATAACAGCAACACAACCCAAGCCATGGCCATATGAAATTTCTGCTAAAAGCATAAATGTTATACTGTGACCACAAGGTTGTTATCATTCAGACTCCTTGTCAATCGTGGGCCCCAAATGTAAATATACATGTATCCTACCAGTCTTCATTTACATGATGATGGACGATATCCAAGAATGTCGGTTCACAGTATTTCACATTTATGGGTCAGCTCCGCGTCACTCCGTCCAACTGACACGCCTATTTCTGTGTGTTTTTCACTACCATGTTACCGCAAATTTCGTAGGGGCGATGGGTAAGCCTAGTGGTTAAAGCGTTGGCTCGTCACGCCAGGTTCCATTGCGCACATGGGTATTTAGTGTAAAGTCCATTTTCCGGTCCCCCCTCATGATATTGCTAGAGTATTGCTAAAACCGGCGTAAAACCATACTCACTCACTCAAATTTCATAACTGAACCCAAATAAATGTGACCTCCAATTTGACTGTAGACACGAACCGGCGTCACGAAGGGCCCGTCACACGATCGTTACCATGGCAGCTGCCACTTGGAACTTGGTTGTATACATGGCTCTGCATAATTATTGATATTAGGACTTAGGATTACTTTGTTCTCAATGACAATGCAACTGAAACCATTTGAAAATTAAGTTATCACTCTTGTTATACAGTATTGTGGAGATTGTTTTGTCACTCTGAATCTTCATGCATAGATCTAAATATGAAACGGATGAGTCGGTCTCACTGGTCTCCTATATTTCTAGTTCAGGTGGGTAAATCAGTGGAAGGGAATTGGCTATTTAATTGCTATTGAACGATAGCAGATCATCGACATACCTGAAGCTTAAGCTAAACTTCTTGGCCCAATTACCTCGTTTTGACTTTGCCAATCCGAATAGAAATTCTTATTCATATGGATAAAGAAACAGATCCACAAGAAGGGGAGCACAATTGGCGCCTATGGGGATCCCTACTGCTTCCCTAAATGTCCTACCCCCCAACTTTACGTAGGTGTTATCAATGAGGATGTCCAGCATTTCACATACTGTTTTCTCAGTAAACTTCAGATGGTATTTGCTTTCATTTTTCACAAATTCTCCTGAACCTCTGAATATAGATATGTAACTGTGTCTGTGTACACCACGTTTTGTAACAAAAAACCCATGAAGTTTTTCGTTAAGTTTGTCATGTGGGATAGTAAGTTTTTGAATTTCTTCCTCAGGCCTTATATGTGGCATTATTTGATATATCATTTATACCCAGTTCTTTGATCATACAATTTATGTAGTGATGCTTACATATGATGGTTATGTTATTTGATGCCTTGTCAGTGGGAACAACTACAGACTTTTCATGTTGGGCAGCCAGACTTAGGATAACAGCTGGCTGGGACAGAATGGTTTTATTTCTATTCCGTTTCCTCTTTTTAAGTTTGTGGGTTCTAAAACTGACAACAGCACGCACTGACTTAAAAACACGAACGAATGCAATAACCTTTCAGCGATTTCTTTGGATAACACTGTGTTCGATTCACTTTAACGTTCAAGGAAGAGAACTAAATGTAAGTGTCAGATCTGTATTTTTATCACAGTCAGTAGACTGTCGTTCGGTGTTCAACGAAGTATTAACAATTATTTTGTAAGTTACAAAAAATCGTTCTGCCAAATCTTTCATTACTGGGGTATCTATTATTTATTCATTTTCGGAAAGCTTCACATGGTTGAAATATGTTCCTTGTGCTTTTAGTACATACGTCTCCGGTTATGAAATGGAAATGGAAATGGAAAAACAGCGAGGGAGTGGAGATTTTTGAAAGACGATGAAAGAGACTATGGAAATGCTTTTTGTTGCTTTTATTTAGAGAATGTGGAGTCAGACATTTTCCAGCAATCAGTACATCTCATTGGTCTTTGGATAAATGACATGTATGCGTTGCAGGAAATGCTATGTGTCAAGCAATGGCGTCATTACGTAAACGCTCCACACGAAATGATATTGGCAGTCTGGTATTATCTGTGACACAAATAATTGCCATCGATAAGATAACGTATCGGCGTGCAAGGAAATGATATAAGAGCGTAGGTGTGTGTGCCTTGGACTTTAAGTATCATTATCAGCGGAGAAACACTTCGTGTACACAGATGTAAAGCACATGGAAGGCCACTGCGTTAATTTAATTTAAGAGCTGTGTATGTGTATGTGTGCGTGTATGTGTTTTTAAATATATTGTTTCAATCACACTTACAACTACGCACACATTACTTTAATTAGATCCCACGATATCAAAACGTTTATGAGATTTGCATGAGATTTGCTTATTGCGCAAAGTAATGATAGTACTAAGACATCTTCCTGAGGCAAGGGAGTTCAGTGACTGTAATGGCCCAGCTTCCACCCTTGCCGAACTATGTTGGCATTTCTGAGTTCGATCGTAGCGCCACCAGCGGCTATTGCGAGTTATGTCCCTTCTACGTCCCTCCTACTGACCAATCAGATTCCACTCTGATATCACTTGCTTTTGGTTAAAACAAAATGGCGCGGTCCTGTCTAGAAGATCTGATCGATAATCAAGATCTATATTGTAATGAAACGGGTCTTACTTCGCGAAGTGTATCAAATCACGCGAGCTACTTGATTAAAAAGTTTTTTTTAAATATCTGTTGACACTAAGCTGACGGTACACATGCATTGCACATTTTGCAATCGACCGAAATCTGCACGTCAATTTATGATTGACAATGAATAGACTCCTTAGTCCAGCCAAAATTCTGTAACTCTGTAATTCGAGACTAGTTTGGCAAGGGTTGAAACTGGACTTTTATAGTAGGCTAACTCCCTTGCCTCGGGAAGATGATAGTAACAGTATTTGCATTATTTATGAACAACAACAATTTAGCAAAACAGTGACGATTATAGTGATGTCAGTTGTCTCAGAGATGCTGCGGGAGGACACCAAGGCCCACTTCGTGACAACACCCGGAATGTCGAATGTCGTTAATTGAACAGCAAGGATAACCAACGCATATTTTGTCGTCCTTCTATGAAGGACGTTTTTTTGTCATTACAGTGACGTGTATTAATATTCTGAGAACCTTGAAGCATCCTATTGATAACAGTTGCCTATCAGGCGATTATATGTCCCTCCAGTACAATTGTGTGTGTGGTAATCTATACATCTGCATACCACTTTTAATCTAGGTCTACAATCGAATTAGGTCTTCAGCAACCCATTTCGTGGATCGATGCTCATGATGTCAATCACTGGATTGACTGGTCCAGACACGATTATTTCCAGACAACCGTCGTAAGGCTGGAATATTGCCGAGTGCGGCGTTAAACAACAAACAAACAAACCTAAGATTTGATTAAATGATATTGTGTGTTATTCTCATATCTCATGTCTTGACAGCTATCACATTGATACTAATGGTACTTCCTGCCTTGGAATGTTATTCTGCAAACACAACTGTCACACCAGAGGTTGTGGTCGTCCTCCTATCACCTACGATGTCAAGGGTCCAGGTGCAAGCTTGCAGATGATACTCCGGTTTACCTCACCTGTCATAACTATCAGTCAAAATGCAGATAACATGAATATCTTGCTGAAATAAACACCCTGTTAATGATATATGGCAGGAAAAAAGATGTCCAGTCAGAGTAGGGAGATAACGCTGCCTCAGATAAATACCTCATCGCAGCCCAAGGAGTGTCACATTCGATGTATGCACGTTCCCGCTCAACCGGTGGTCCCATGCTCCAAGACTGATATCTCCCTAATCAGTGTTGTCTTGTTGACAAAAAAGTGCGCTTTTCAAGAAATGTCTAATTTCTGGGCGATAAACTTCATGGCTACAATCCAAATGAGGATCGGCAGTTTGGTGACTCGCAGGGATTATATGTAGCCGTGACTTTGGCCAACAGCGTTTTAAATACTACATCTGCACGTATTTTTCTTTCAGACCGTGCTGGTAATGTACGTAAGCTGCACATACTGCTAAATATAGCCGCTCGCAATCACCTGACTGCCGACCCTCGCTCGTTATCCTATCTTCGTAAATTACTCATTGTGATATGGTGTGATTCTATTTCAAGTGGCGAGGACTAGAGTGAAAAATAAATGAATTAAAATCATTGGTGACACCAGGTGTTCTCTACCAATAGCACCCGACACATTCAGTGTGGAATATTCACTGTGGTCCACCCATTACTATTGTCTTACTGTTAAGGGCCCTACCGAGCTATACACATAAAACAAAACGCACTGGGCAAGTAGGACGTAAATTTTATTGTATATACCTCATCAGTATACAGTAATTACATCGGCTTCGTCGTCTTCAAGAATCACCTGGCTGCGTCACTGCTAACTGGCATGTTAATGATAAACGCGTGTCATAGAACTTCAGGGGCGGTCGGATAGCCTACTGGTTAAAACGTTCGCTCGTCACGCCGAAGACCCGGGTTCGATTCCCGACATGGGTACAATGTGTGAAGCCCATTTCTGGCGTCCCCCGCCGTGATATTGCTGGAATATTGCTAAAAGCGGGGTAAAACCATACTCACTCACTCATAGGACTTCATTATGAAGTTTCAATTATGTATGTATTCTAATTTTAAATTAAGTAGACAAGTTAAGTTATTTCTATACAATACTGAATTGATCTGTATGCCAAATGTTACGATATAGCCAGGGACGTGTTCTGATGTATGAATAATATGATGACACAGCCTAGAGGTCAGTTGATAGTGCGATGGGAAAGACGCCCTGTAACAATGAATACAAAAATTAATATACAAACATAACTCCGCAACGGCTGTGTTCATGCACAAAATGCACCAAAAACCTAAACAGTAGTTTTAAATAACAATCTACTACACCTATAGGATATTCATGGTATGATATTCTACAATCATAAGCTTAAGGTGATATACTAGTACTTAGATATAACATTCACACACATAAAAAATAAATAGAACAATAACATAACTATAATATATCAAAGTCGTACGTTTAGGTTGCACAATATATATATTTGGTGAAACCCACTAGGGTGCATCGTAGAGGTAGAGTGGATAACTGCCCACGATATACCTGTCCATGATATACCTGTCCGTGATATACCTGTCCATGATATACCTGTCCATGATATACCTGTCCATGATATACCTGTCCGTGATATACCTGCCCACGATATACCTGCCTACGATATACCTGTCCATGATATACCTGTCCATGATATACCTGTCCGTGATATACCTGTCCATGATATACCTGTCCGTGATATACCTGTCCATGATATACCTGCCCACGATATACCTGCCCACGATATACCTGCCCACGATATACCTGTCCATGATATACCTGTCCATGATATACCTGTCCATGATATACCTGTCCGTGATATACCTGTCCATGATATACCTGCCCACGATATACCTGTCCGTGATATACCTGCCCACGATATACCTGTCCATGATATACCTGTCCATGATATACCTGTCCATGATATACCTGCCCACCATATACCTGCCTACGATATACCTGTCCATGATATACAACACATAAACACGTTCCTATTTACAGACATATGTAAATTACATCTCGATTATCTTTAAATCATGAGTACACTACACAAGTTACTGAATACACACATTATTCCACCTCGACCAAAACACAAATAAAATGAAATATATCTAGTAAACATCCACTATCTACACACAAACACAAGTATATGTAGTATGCTAAAATGGTATTAATGAGATTTAGACATTTAGGTATGGAATGGAATAAAAATACATAGAACACAATAATAACGTTAAATGCGAACATTCCAATTACATTAAACCCATCCCAGTGCCAAGTGAAGTGTGAGAGGGGTGCAGTGGGGAGGATAAATGAGGTAAAATGAGGACACACAACAACAAAACAAAAGACCATGAGTTTACTGATAGTGCTTAGCTGACGACTACTTAAGCAGCAGCCTGAAATGAAAAGTACAATTGTATGTCAATCAATGAGGAGAGTTACTTGATAAATCTGAAATAAATACAATAAATATGTGTTAGTAAATGCATTATCTGAAATATCCAGAATTTGTTGATTAACATACCAAACCAAATAGCTTATTCACAATTCATGATCAATATACACAGAAACTATACCATACTACAACTACAATATATTATTTCACGTAAACAAGGCATGGTGAGTGCGAATAATCAATATAATCTACAGAAATAGTGGTAGTATTGCAAATGGATATTCCTGTGTTATGTAATACGACATTGGTAATACTGCTCTATCATATTTGTACCACCTAAAGCTCAACTTTGGCGAAGGAACATCGGTAACATATTTGTGATCACTTCGATTGACACATAACGTTATAAATTTAAAGGAAAATGCCCAGAATGCATGATATCTTTTAATGCGACATTGACAACTCCTCAACAATCGTGTCAACTCAACTGTTGGAGTCCCGCGTATCTAACTTCACTGATGTTCTACTGTCAGCTCGACACTATGGTCAGACTTGAGCTTAGTGGAATTGATCAGAGATATGGCCCAGTAACTGAACTTCTAGGCAGTTGTGTATTGTCGGGTATCATTTGAAGATGATGAGCATCTTTGGCTGGTTGGTTGGTTTGTTGTTTGACGCCGCACTCAGCAATATTCCAGCTATATGACGGCGGTCTGTAAATAATCGAGTCTGGACCAGACAATCCAGTGATTGATATCATGAGCATCGATACACGCAATTTGGATCGATGACATGTATCAACCAAGTCAGCGAGCCTGACCACCCGATCCCGTTAGTCGCCTTTTACGACAAGCATAGTCACCTTTTACGGCATGGGTTGCCGAAGACCTATTCTACCCCGGAATCTTCACGGGGCGTGAGCATCTTTGAAGCAAATACCCAACTATAACGTGATGGTTGAGGGATGAGGTACACAAACTTTCTAGGAGTGATAACGAAGCGAAAAGAAGCATATTATTAAACAGAATCACTTGTGTTAGATTTGTTCATGTAAACCTGAAGTCAATGTTAATGTCAATCGATCAGTTGGTGATAACGAAAGCACAATATTATCTCCATCACTTTGTGCGATTTGAGCATGTATTATTATTGTTATTGTTATCTCCTGAGATACTGAAGGATCCCACACAAGGGACATCACCTAAGGGAGCCAGTATTAAATATTACATTAGCTTCACATCAAACTTCAAACTTTGAATATCTTTCCTTGGAGTTTCTTCTGTTGAAGAAAGAGTTTCTTGTGTTGAAAGAAAAGTTTCTTCTGTTGAAGGAAGAGTTTCTTGTGTTGAAAGAAAAGTTTCTTGTGTTGAAAGAAGAGTTTTTGTTGTTGAAAGAAGAGTTTCTTGTGTTGAAAGAAGAGTTTCTGTTGTTGAAAGAAGAGTTTCTGTTGTTGAAGGAAGAATTTCTTGTGTTGAAGGAAGAGTTTCTGTTGTTGAAAGAAGAGTTTCTTGTGTTGAAAGAAGAGTTTCTGTTGTTGAAAGAAGAGTTTCTGTTGTTGAAGGAAGAGTTTCTTCTGTTGAAGGAAGAGTTTCTGTTGTTGCAGCTGGAGTTGATATGTCATTATCCATTGGTGAAGTGGCCTCTGACAACACGTTACATATAATGTCTTGAGAGTATTCAGATAGCGTTAAAAACAAGTGGGTGTGCAACTATTGATTCTCACTGCAGTAGGCGATATTCAGGAGAGATAAAGTCAATTCTGACCTCACAAACATGTGACAGAAAACATGAACACCCATCGCAGTCCTCGGTGCACGATTACAAGCAATCAGCCCAAGCCGCACCTGCTGATCACATTTAGTCGCCTCGTACAACAACCAACCGGGTGCCGTGGAACTTGTCTGACCCGGATTCCCACGAGGTATCAAAACAAGTGAATGTGGGTATATGACATGGTTTAAGCAATAGGTAGGGAATTGTGAATTCTTACTTGAGGCAGATTAAGAAAGACAATGAGGTGTCAACATGGTAACTATGTGCACATGGGGAAACAAACACTAAAACTTGCAAAGGATTGTGTGTGGTACGGCATTAAAAGAAAAAAATTCTAAAGTTGTTTTAGCATGTGATGTTTTTTATTAACTCTGTTACTATGGTTGTCCTTGCTGGCGTTACTGTTGCAGTTGCTGTGCTCGTGGCTTACCAGTTGATGGTGTTACCGCTACCGGTGTCGGTTCCGAAGCAGTTGATTTCGTAGTAGTTGATGTAGATGCTGGGCAGTTCAGTGACACATCTGCAGGAATGGTGGCTCCACAGACGACGGTAACATTCTCACCTGTATCCGCTACAAATAAATGATTATTGAATAAATACTACACATACTTATACATTTGTACATCAATTAGAGCAAACATTTAGACAGACAATGTTTACACTTATACACGCGTCTGTAGTATTGATAATATCTCTACCAGCTTATGTATTTGTATAAAAATGTTGTGGGTGCTCCCGAGGACCATTGTCGAATTACGTTACCTACCACGGACATGATAGGAATCAGTAGCTAGTGTGTGATCCCTAGAGCACGACACTGCCACACGAGAGATATTACAACCAATATTCTTGAGACGTCATCGCGTCAGGGATTCTTGGACACGTTAAACATATACTACTGTTGCGACACCATCGTGCAGTAATTTTATTGACGATATGACAAATTGAAAAATGCATACCGAGGTAGTATCACCGGACAATTCACGATTGCACAATGTATTCACTAATTACCTACATGATTTCAGAGAGAGGTTTGACTGTAGCAATGGTGTATACATCCATGTTCATTATACAATATTTTTCAATTTCAACTCATGCTTAGGCGTTTTGGTTTGAGTGAAATTTTCACGAACGTTTACCCCTTGATATATGAACAAAGATCACAAACAACATATCTTGAAAGTAATTATACTTATCCCTCCCTAATGCCTAGTTGAATACACATGATATCAAAATAATTAGTTATCCTAGCACGACTTCAGGGCAGACATCAGACGCCAATTGCCATCATGGAACAATTTCCACACGAAATTCGTTACATTTCAAGGTTGACCAATACATCAGGGGAAATATAATTATTAATCACTTACATTTCGCTCGCATCCACAGAAATTCTTTTTCTTGACGTCCAGGATCGACTGTCATGAATATTGACATGTTAACATAGTTGGACTTGCTCTCAAACATTGCGCTGGAACAGTTTCTTGATGCAGGTGGGTTCTTACATTCCACCTTGGTTGACACATCCCCATCAGTGAAGTTAACACTGCAGGCGGGAGACACAACTCTGGTTGCAGCAAGTTGTATTATGACATGGGAGTCACACTCATGAGAGTATGCTAGACAGTTAGCATGGGCCTCCCCGTCATGTTGGTCGTTGTACAGGTACACCTCCTGTCCTGTGTGTGTAGAATCATGTTGGATGTGCAGAACCGTGTCCTCTGAAAAGAATGGCCAAGTCATTAAAGATCAAATCTTGTGCACGTACGGGGCCATTTAACAGTAATTCGGTAAAGGGATATATCACATCACAATATTCCTCGTATTGACCGTCAGAAGGAAATGTTCCTGGTATTGACCGTCAGAAGGAAATGTTCCTGGTATTGGCCGTCAGAAAGAAATGTTCCTGGTATTGACCGTCAGAGGGAAATGTTCCTGGTATTGACCGTCAGAAGGAAATGTTCCTGGTATTGACCTTCAGAGGGAAATGTTTCTGGTATTGACCGTCAGAGGGAAATGTTTCTGGTATTGACCGTCAGAGGGAAATGTTTCTGGTATTGACCGTCAGAGGGAAATGTTTCTGGTATTGACCGTCAGAGGGAAATGTTTCTGGTATTGACCGTCAGAGGGAAATGTTCCTGGTATTGACCTTCAGAGGGAAATGTTTCTGGTATTGACCGTCAGAGGGAAATGTTTCTGGTATTGACCGTCAGAGGGAAATGTTTCTGGTATTGACCGTCAGAGGGAAATGTTTCTGGTATTGACCGTCAGAGGGAAATGTTTCTGGTATTGACCGTCAGAGGGAAATGTTTCTGGTATTGACCGTCAGAGGGAAATGTTTCTGGTATTGACCGTCAGAAGGAAATGTTTCTGGTATTGACCGTCAGAGGGAAATGTTCCTGGTATTGACCGTCAGGAGGAAATTTCCTGGTATTGACCGTCAGAGGGAAATGTTCCTGGTATTGACCGTCAGAGGGAAATGTTCCTGGTATTTACAGTCAGAGGGAAATGAACACAGTCGATTAAATATGAGTGTTGACTTATGCGTTTCCTTTTTGGAAAGTATATGTATAGGTAGCTTAAACATAAACTCATAATGGACACTACTCACTGTGCACACATTCAAACGTGAATGTTACGTAGTCTTCACCAGCAGTATCCATTACCCGACCTCCAGGTGAAGATAGCTGACATCTTGTAGCAGCCGTGCACGTGTTCACAAAGTCCAGGTAGTAGTGATCCGGGAGTTGGTTCTTCATGGCAGGGAGGCAGTAATCTGTCACTGTATCATTCTCACGCTGTTGACAGCAACGTCTGATTTCGTCTACTCCCTTCTGTCCTAAGCTTGTTCCAGTTATTTCACTGTGACATGTGACGTCAGAGGACACCCCGAGTGTAAACATGGTAGGAAGAAGCATCTCTGTAGCGGCACACGGAGGATCGACCATCAACAGGAAGTTGTAACAGGCAGTCTTGTGTCTCAGACCAGAGACAGCTGTACATAAAACTGTGAATGCAAATTGACTGAGACTAAAGACTTGTTTCAATTGTATTTAAGGTAGTGGATCGTTACCAACAATAAGAGATCTGGACACCATATACCTTGTCAACTCACTAAATATATGTCGCAGGTTAAATTTGTTGCTAAAAGGTGAATGCAATATTGATTGAGACTAAAGAATTGCTTAAATGCTATTTATGGGGTAATGGATCGTTACCTTAAAATAAGATCTCTAGATAGCCTAATACCGTTTTGCACATTCATACCTCATCAAGTCTTACGAAGCAGAACTTGCACACACACTGACAACAAGATTTACAAAGTCATACATGTTCAGTTAGAAGAATGTTATATTTATCCCAATTAATGGTAACGCAAACTCATAAGACTTTGATTATTTTCGTTGCAATTTCCCTACCATGTACTGTGGCATAATTCATTCATAGAAATGTTACTTGCTGACTGTAACACTCACTCACTCACTCACTCACTCACTCACTCACTCTAATCACTCACTCACTCATTCTACTCACTCTACTCACTCACTCACTCTAATCACTAATCACTCACTCACCCATTCTACTCACTCTACTCACTCACTCACTCACTCACTCTATTCACTCACTCACTCATTCTACTCACTCTACTCACTCACTCACTCACTCTAATCACTAATCACTCACTCACCCATTCTACTCACTCTACTCACTCACTCACTCACTCACTCTATTCACTCACTCACTCACTCACTCACTCACTCACTCACTTGTAATTGATACTCATTGCATCTGTACCTGCTTGTTTGTAGCCAAACCAAATTAACTTGCAGCGGATTGCAATTGGAAGACCAAGCATCATAATCGTGGGATGCGAATCCCGTCAAGCGGTTCCTTGCACAGTTAAGGAACTTAACGGCGAGATACGGTGTCTTAGAACATTTGGTCACCCGTTTCCCCACCCCCTCACACACCGATGGTCGACAATGTAGAGCATTTATTAATTCCTTTGATTTATAAATGCATGACACCTCAGAAATATTACAGGAAGTGGCTTATAAACAATAGATCATTTTTAACAGTTATGAAAAATTCCCAAAGTACACAACCATATGAAACAGCCCTACATATTTGAGAAGTGTTCAGCTTTGCCAAAACTAATCTCTTGTTCTTATACAGGCCAATGGAATTGTATCCGTAAAGAAGATAGAAGATGCAATTTGCAAACTTTGGTATTCACGAGTAAATGCATTGCATCATTACATCTACAAATGACAGCTATGTCCAACCAAAGTTCACTGTGTCTCTCAGAAACTCGTACTGGCCTGGCTACTCATGTATAGTGTTGGACTGTCTTAAATAAAGCTTCATTATCGGTAACAACGTGAACTGCGTAGCCGAATTTCAGTAAGTTTACATCAACAGGTATGTTGTGAGGTGGTGAGGTGAAATTGGGTTTAACGTCGTGTCCAAGATTATTGCACTTATATAGCGACGTGCATGCACGTGTATGTGTGTGTGTGGCTGCTTGTACTAGTCCGGACTGATGCCGATTTATAGTGCTAGCTCACTGAGAAACCATGCCGCAGTTTAACATGAATACCCCACTCAGACACAGTATACTGACTCCGAGCCGACCAGTCCTTGTTTTAGCCCCTTAATGCCGAGCGCCAGACAGGGTAACAAGTACAATCTTTTAACGTCTTTTTGTATGACGCGGCCCGGGATCGAACCCTGGACCTTCCGCTCTCCGGGCGGACGCTCTACCACAAGACCACGGAGGCGGTCAGGTATGTTGTGAACATATATAATCTTCATATGTTCACTTTCCAATGTTCAATCTTCAAGTTCAGTCTACGAATAGCTGTACACATTGCTGTCATCGAAATGAGTGAAAATAATCTGATAAATGTAACAGTTTGATACTACTTCAACCAAACACCTCTACGTTTAGCCTGTTCACATACATTTAGTACATTTAGCACAGTATATGCAACACTCACGTCACCATACACAAGATGTTGGCATGATTCCTTCATACAAATTATCACAACATACCTTGAAGTATAACCCATGTCAGCAGAAAGAGGGACCCTCGCCACTTCCTCCACATGTTGTTTTGGTGTAGGCTTGGAGGAACACTCATTCAGATGCTCGGTGTCAGAGACTATAGGGGAGTAAACACATTGAGTGTGATAGAACCGTTAGTCATCATACAGTTCTGTTATACACAACTGTAGAGTGGTATCAACTTTTAACAATTAGCAATTACACTGTCAACTTTGTTCCAGATTTATGACAGAAAAGTTAGTTAGTTTGTTTGTTTGTTTGCTGTTTAACGCCGCACTCAGCAATATTTCAGCTATATGACGGCGGTCTGTAAATAATCGAGTCTAGACCAGACAATTCAGTGATTGAAATCAAGAGCATCAATCCACGCAATTGGGATACGATTACATGCATCAATAGCAGCTGGAATAATCTTTAATCCAAATTGTAAAACATTTATTGGGATTTTTCATGACATTCTATGACACGACACGTTACACGTTAGCTCTGGAAAAAGTAGAATGATTTTAAAGGATCCTATTTATCCAAATGATAATAAATATAGAAAACTTTAATTATACCTGTAAATGACTAAATACCACAAAACACGACGCACAATACCGTCACGTGTGTGTACATAAAACAAACTTGTTCACTGACGCATAACCGGGTGTATTTTAGGTCAAAAGTAAGTACCCGATATCGAGCTGAAGGAAACCACGCTTTTGGGACCTGATGGGTGCATTTAATACATGAAATACTGAGGTGTGTCTGTGGGTTAACGTGGGTTAACACAAGGTGTCTAACGTAATAGTTCACATGGTACGTTGTTATCATTGTTTTGCAGTGTCCCTATGTAACAAGGTATCCTTACCTCTGATTGTATCGCCTGATGACGCAACAACATCCAACTACACAATGAAGAGCTGGCACACCAACAAATCCAGGCAAGGAACGTCAGTTCTTCCTTGTTATAAGCGCAGACGCAGTGAGGCACGGGCCTCTGTTATCGTATCGGACGGTCGGGTAGCCTAGTGGTTGAAGCATTCGCTCGTCACGCTGAAGACCCGAGTTCGATTCCCGACATGGGTACAATGTGTGAAGCCCACAGTATACTGTCTCTGAGCCGACCAGTCCTTGTTTTAGCCCCTTAATGCCGAGCGCCAGGCAGGGTAACAACAAGTACCATCTTTTAACGTCTTTTGGTATGACGCGGTCGGGGATCTAACTCCGGAGGCGGTCCCTATATATAGTAGTATGGATATGTTAATACCGTGTTTTCATACCATGTACACATGAATACGAGCAGCGTGGTTGCTGCGGACCTATTCTAACCCGGAACCCCCACGGGGTTATTAGTGTATGGTGTTTAAACTAGTGCTCTGCGTCCAGAGAGGTATCGAATCGGAGTTAAAGATCTGGTTTATTGATATGGACTAAGGCTAACCTGTGAGAGAGATTACGCATTACCTGAATAAGAAAGTCTATAGTGGTCATAGCGTCCCATGGCCACACCAAAGGCCATTCGTGACCAACTCCTGTTATTCCGGGACAAGCAGGTTACGGAAAGGGGCGAGTGGTGACGAATGACCATAGACCAATATCCGGGTCCGCATGTGGGCACAATGCCCATTCTTGCTATTGCTGCAGTACAAAAGTATTGACTGTGAATTGCCGAAATGGTTTATAGTAGAACAAATATGAATAATATCATTTTATTGTTATATCATCATACTTCGTAGTTCGCAGGTGGGGATCCTGGGGCAGAATATAGATACCAGAGTCCCCTCGTGTCTTCAATGGGTGAGTGAGTGTGGTTTTACGCCGCCTTTAACAATTTTCCCTCAATATCACGGCGGGGGACACCAGAAATGGGCTTCATACATTGTACCCATGTCAGGAATCGAACCCTTGTCTTCGGTGTGACGAGCGAACACTTCAAGCACGAGGCCACCGGTCGCCCCTCATGTCATCATCGTCAAGATATGGCTGAAATATTGCCGATTTGACGTTAAACTTTAACTCACTCATGTCCTCAGTCACAGTTTGTAACCTTGTTGATAATAGTGCATCGTATTCAGGCGGCGTGTTCATGCTGTCTATCACTGGTTTGACTCCTATGGCTTGGCTTACAGGTCGCCATGCAGAACATAGCTGGAATGTTGCGGAATTCACTCACTCATAATCAGTGTAGTACTAATTCCTTAAAATAGTCACCTGGTTGGCTGTACTAAATATAGATGTTTGATATTCCCCAGACTACTGATTTATAGCCCATGCAGCTATTGACAAACAGTTTATAGTATCAAGCTGCAGTGACACGCTGTCCTCTGCTGTAATCAGCCGGATAACCTGCCACGGCCACATGGCGAGCTGTCACGGGGGTACTGTACACGCACTCTGCAATCAGGCGGAATTGGGGGATAACATTTGACAAGGATATTTAACCACAAGATTGACTAGCACTATGTCCGTGGTTTTATGTTTCCCAAATAGTCGACTCAAAGGCTTTAGTAGCGCCGTTTATCTCGACGTCGATGTTGATTGTGCTTCTGAGGAGACGTGAGATCAATATATAGGACGTTTTATGTGGTGTATAATTGAGAAAGACAAATATTGATATTTTTCGTACTTGGTGTGGAAAGTAATGAAAGAATAGAGCGGAAAACGAATTCGAACCTGTAGGTTTAAGGGCACAATTTAACATACGTATTGTTGTATTGGGCACTACGATTAGTTTTTTTATTTCCAAAACACAGTTCATGCAGTCATAATTGCATGTGACATGTTAATATTCCTTGGAAGACTTCTGGTCGGAACACACACTTAATATTATTCATTTTCCGTTTCCTAGACATTCCAATTTTTACTCCTTCAATTTCCGGGTCCATGACCTTGACCTTTTGTAACCGGAAACAGGTAGATATCAAACTTTTAGTTTTGCGTACTTTATTCATGTTCTTTACTTGATAAAGATGCAGTTTTGATCATCGCGGTTGTTTGCAAGATTATAGGCAACAATGCAGTTTACCGGGCGCAGCCCGAGCTCTACCATCCGCTCAATTACCGCGCTATAGTGCCACCGCTGTCTCGTTATACGGTTACCGTGCCTCACGCTCTGGTGACTCTCGGTTCACGATCCAACACCCGTTTTCGGTCTTAGGGAAACTTACACATCTTTACAATCAAACACCCGTTCTCGGTCTTAGGGAAACTTACACATCTTTACGATCAAACACCCGTTCTAGGTCTTAGGGAAACTTACACAACTTTACGATCCAACACCCGTTTTTCGGTCTTAGGGAAACTTACACGTCTTTACGATCCAACACCCGTTTTCGGTCTTAGGGAAACTTACACGTCTTTACGATCCAAAACCCCTTTTCGGTCATTAGGGTCAGTGGGTTTGTGCAAGGGTTAGCCATAAATTCTTACCTTTTCAAGCGATAATCCAGTTAATCCCATTGGTCGGTCATGTTGACATAAACAATTGCGGGTGTGGTTTCAAGAAAAGATGAATGGGAGAGCGGGCAGTGACGTCACACGCATGCGCAATTCATTGTTTACTGAATTACGCATGCATGTCAATGGGGATTCTAATGACCTGTTAAACGAGCACTGATTACATGTGATAGCGCCTGTGGTCCAGTGGTAGAGCGTAGGCTAATTAACGCATTAGCGGTGAGCCGGCGAAGCGCGTTCGAGCCCCCACAGCGCTAATTGGATCTGAAAAAGTGCGCCCGGTAAAGTGCACTACTCCCAGATTATATATAAGTTTTGATTTGAACGTGGTGATGGATGTGTCCTGTCATCGATATCTTCCGTCGTGAGGTCACGAAAGCAGCTGTCTACTGTTGTGTAGAAACCTTGGAAGCTAAAATGATATCTGTATGGCCTTTTAAAAATCACCGTGATATAACACTGTGGGGAATGATGATGAACAGAAATATGTTCTGTTTTTACAAAAGCCAAAGAAAAACAACAGCATTTTTACAATGGATCGACATGTACCCATTTGTTTTCATTTTTGTTGCATAATATGTGATGAAATCTCTTAGACTAATTGGCACCTATATAACACTGTCAGTGTCTCACACAAGTCGGTGTAGCAAGAAGTTTCACAATCGGTAATTTGACTACTCATGTATTGTTATATGAAACACAAAACAACAATGTCTTTTTTGAAAACCTGTTTATCAGTGCAGAGACCATATACCAATCGGTATATCGTCTCTGATCAATGTTTTGTGGTTGAGCTGATACTTTTCAGAAGTGATTGGAAGTACTGAATGGATTTCCCGGAGTTTAAGCCTTTGTTGCATAATAACATCCCTGTCACCACTACATCTACGGTGTCAGATATCATGCACAGGTCTTTGCTATAGGTAACAATAGAAGCAAATAATGTTTAACAATGTTTAAAATCATATATGTCTTCTTTGTGTATGAAGACGATTTTTTTGGTATTAGTACTGCAAAGTTACCAGACCAGATAAAATGTTGCCAGTCCTGAATTTTCTAGACTAACGAACAAAAGTAACATAAGGGTAAACATAAGACTAGTACTGTTTAATGGTTTTACGGTTCCCACAAAATACCACCTGACCTTCCAAACATCTGATTTAACTAAAATCATAAAGATATCTTTCATTGTTACACAAACTCTAATATGTGGCGATCATGGTGATTGGTTCTGAAGACCTAAACACATAAAAGAAACTAGATTTTTTTCCGCACCTTCTCCATTTGATCCATTCAGAACATCCTCATCAACAAAGTTGATGTTAAATCTTTCTCATGTCCAAAATCCAGGGCCGATGACTTTGATATGTCATGAAGTTCACCACAATAAGTACTGTATGCTCTGAAAGTCACATGTACTAGTTCTAAACTCTATTTAGAAGTGGCATAAACATGATAATTAGATAAAGGGACTTGAACGTGACATGTGACTCAATTGCTATTTGCATATTCTGAAGTGAAGTGAAGTATGTTTGATTCAGTGGTAAACTCACATCTCTCTTCCCTGATCACGTGATGCATTCATTCTGTCATGATAGAAGCAAGACCTCAATCCATTCTAGAATGTTCTAAATTAAGTGTGAAAGTCAGGGGTTGCTTGCTATAACCTTCAAGCTTGCCACCAAGCGCACATTTACATCAGTGCTTAGTCCCCTCAAAAGCATAGGATAATTTATTGTGCTGTTGAACATAATTAAAACAGGATGGGGTTTTCTACTCTTGTTTTGTGAGATACATTCACTCAGATGTTGTGGTGGTTACAATAACACTGGTGTCATATGTGAAGGTATATGCTATGTGACGTATTTAAGTCATGTGTCGCTTTAGGCCTTCAAATACTATAGGAGCAAACCCCAAGGACCATCAGGACCCCCTTAAATTTTGAACCCATTTTGCTTCTATGAGTGTAACTACCGTATTCGAAGTAATAAGCGCCCTGCTTTATTAAGTGCCCATGGCGATATTTGCTTATACATTTTGTATTTTCAACTTTGTTTAACACTAAATATATGTACATGAAGGTGAGATTAAATTCCATAATTTGTGTTTTATTTTCCATAACCTGAGCTTGTATAACACATATCATGCAGATAAAATAGCATTTGAAATCTGAATTTTATTTGACAAGGTTACAAAGTTTATGAATTGATATTACATGTACTGTTATAAATGTTTGTATCCATGGTAATGAAGGTACTATTTTCCAGGTGAAATGTGACATATGGAACAATGCTGCGCCGGTCAGTGTCCCTCCCCCTGTGTCTGTGTGCGAGTCTCTTGAAAGGTCAACACTGGACGTTAGTCACTTCCTCGCTGCACAGACAGTGTAACCATGGTAACGTGGGCACAATCGTCTTCTGTGTCAGTACAAAATATGTCCGCCACTGTCAGTTTTCAACATCATCCGGTCTTGGAGTTGGGTACAAACTGAAAAACAACCTGAGCGACTGCTACTCCCTGCTGAATATTTCAGAAGATGCTGCATTAGCTGAAGTGAGAGAAGCGTACATAAAATGTGCCAAGCTGTACCATCCTGACAGTGGATCAACAACCGCAGATCCCAAGAAGTTTACACAAGTAAAGGAAGCTTACAAGACCATACTGGTAGGAGTTACCTCCCATTTCCTTACCAATTCCACAATAGGCTCTGTCTGATTTTTAGACACCGTCATTAACCTGCCTGGCATCATTGCATCAATGCCTTCTATAGTGTTCACCCGGTCACTACATGAATGAAAAAATTTACCCTCCAGTCTCAAATTTGGCGACATGACTGTATATTTTGCGTGTTTCTGTGTATGGGATCTGTACGTCCTCTTAACCTGTGAAGATTCTGGTCAGAATTGATCTTTGGCAACCCATGCTTGCCGTAAAAGGCGACTATGCTTGTCATAAGAGCTGACTAACAGGATCGGGTGGTCAGACTCACTGACTTGGTTGATGCATGTCATCATATCCCAAACTGCGTAGGTCGCTGCTCATGATGTCAATCACTGGTTTGTTTGGCATTGACTCGTTTATTTACAGACCGCCGTCATACAGCTGGAATATTGCTGAGTGTTGCATTAAGTAACAAACAAACATATGATTGGTTTCTCCAAAGGACTCAAAGCCTTTAATCGTAGGGTTTAATCCAGGGTTGTCCTTTGACTTACCAAAGTGGGGGTCCAGGAATAAACAACACCCCTTTTATTTACATTTAATTGATTTGTGGCCCACACATTTGTAAACCAAGTTTAGAAAAAGAGGTCTGGCCTAATAAACCAGTTAAAATATTTCAACAAAGGCCAGTAAAACGGTCAGCAATATCTTGTGGCTATTTATTTGCAAAATTGCCAGTGCTGAGTTAGATTTTAACACACAGTCATTTATTCACTTCAGGAACAGAGGAAGGAAGATGAAGATTGTGAGAAGGAAGAAACAGAGGAAGACATAGACAAAATCATCTTCGACATCAAACACACGGCACCACAGCATCGGCAGTATCTGAGTTTTGAAGGCATCGGATCAGGGACCCCCATACAGAGACAGAGAATATATCAGCAGTATCGTGTTGCCAAGGCAACAGACAACGTCCATGACTACCGTGTTCAGCGTCTCGCCAATGAGGAAGAGTCAGCCGTTGTAGTGAAGGACAAAATGGAAGCCAGGAAAGTGAAGATAAGGTCAGTATGATTTTAATAATGATGATGATGATGATGGTGATGATGACAGTCACAATACCATCTCATCCTACCGGGTACCCTTTCACTGCTGGGTGAACAGAGGGAGATGAGTGGATGTATTGTAGAACTCTACCAGCAATATATCGGCCATACTGCCGATCCTGTGTCCTGGATCCTCTTTGGGATTTCAGGGCAGAGAAGGATCCAGAATCCCAATGTTGTTGTTTGTTGTTTTACGCCGCACACAGCAATATTCCAGCTATATGATGGCGGTCTCTAAATACTTGAGTCTGGAACGGACAATCCAGTTATTGATATCATGAGCATCGATCCACGCCATTGGGATATGATCACATGCATCAACCAAGTCAGCGAACCTGACCACCCAATCCTGTTAGTTGCCTCTTACAACAAGCGTAGTCACCTTGCATGGGTTGCCGAAGACCTATCCTACCCCAGATCTTCACGGGTCTCCTAAGAGTGAACAGGTTGTCTGACTTGGTGATTTGGCTGCGTGTGTGTCATCATGCCTTGATGGAGTGATGCTCATTCTTTCAGTCACTGGTTTGTCAGGTCAGGACTTGAAGTATTTACAGGCCAAATCACATATCTGTACTTCTGCTGACTGTGGCATTAAACAACATTCAATCACTTAGAGTCCTAGTGCAGGCAGACAGATTTCTGGTATTGTTTTTTTAGATTGGACGTTAATTTACCAAAATATTTGTAAAACAATATGCTTGTCTTTTAATAAATTTTTGTATTCATCGATCAACAGAGAATGAAAGCTGTAGTTCAAGGTCTAATTCAATATTCAAAACATTGAGAATCATGCACAAGATTAATTATTTTCTTTGATTCTCACATATATAAGGCCAAAATATGCCTTTTATTCTATCAAACTTCCAGTGGCAACAATACAATTTCATACTTTGGAAAACTACACAATTCTGTTGCCGTTAGAGATATGCAGGTTGGCCTTAGTTCAACTGAGGTTAATTGTTTGTTTGTTTAATAAACTGAACCAAAAAATTCAGAATGATGAATATTTTGGGGGATATTTATTTTGTAGTGAAAACTGAGCACTCAAACTCATACAAATATCGTCAAGAATATTTATCATCAACTTTTTTTTCTTTTTTTGTTAAGTTGTCTTGGAAAAGTTTGTATTTATTTTTTTTATTCTGCCCTCAGCAATGCCATAGAACGCCTGGTAGAGGACATGATCACAGACTCGATGAACAAGGGGGACTTTGACAACCTGGCCCTGAAGGGGAAACCCCTGGTGTTCGAGAATCGCAATCCGCTACTGGATACAGACACACACAACCTGAACAAGATCCTCATCAACAACGGGTACGCCCCTGAGTGGATCACACTGCAGAGTGAGATCAGGTACTGCTTTCATAAATCTGTCAAACTTCAAGTTTTATCGTGAATTTGTGTCTCTGACGCTAAGTCGCTAAATGGCTGAAATAATGCCAATGCAACGTATTGTCCCACAAACACACGTCCTTAGGTCATTGGAAATAATATGTCTACAAATCTGTATTGAATTACACAAGTTAATCATATATTAAACTATAATAGTCACATGGCAAATTTTGTTTTCATAATTTGTTTCAGTTTTTAGTTGATTAATGGTGGATATTAGAGACTGTATGACTTTACAGATAAAATAAGAGCTCAATTGACATGATTTGATCTTCTGTATGCAGGAAAGATATCACAGACGCCAGAAACAAACTGGCAGTGTTGAGAAGCAGGATGGGTTGTCCGCCCTTTGATTCGGAGGATGCCAAGAAATGGAAGTCGCAAACATACAAGCACCAGTCCATCATTACAGATGTCAATATCAAGGTGGACAAATTCAACATGATTGTTCCCTTCCTGGACAAACAGCTGGTGCAGTACGACGCCGACCGCGACATCCGGCGTATCTATGACAACTGGCAGAAATATCTTCCAGACTCCCCGGAGGATACTGAAGTTATTTATGATTCAAATTTCAGATGGCACCACTCACACCATCAGGTGTCACACCAGAAGATTGACTGGGCGGAGGTCTGGAGTAACATTAGGGCTGTGTTTAAATGATCATTTGTTACCCGATTCATCTGGGTCAGAATCATCCGTAATCCAATTTTTTTATCATAATTTCTTTTCACCAGGTAACAAAAAATAAGATTGAATGTGAAAAATGATAAAATTATAAAGAAAATATCAGACTGCATGCTGCTCAACGTAAAGTGCCAAAAGTCAATAATGGCCAATTTTGGTAGTTGTGTGCCAAGAAATTTGGCAGATACTTTTGTAACTCACGACGTTTTTTTTTTAGGCAAATAAACTTCTGAAAGTTTTGATATTATGCAAGCTGGGCATTTCTGCATACCATACGTTACTTGAAATAAACGCAAAGCCTACTCATTATACAGTTATTGCAAGTTTCACTTGGGGGTGTCCTTCGACTATGCGTCTGTTGACTGGGTTCAACAGTAGAATTGAGAGCATTAAGAAAAAGGTATCCATTATTAAATTTTAGTGATATTCTTCTTGATCATATATTTGTATAATACCTTAAAGTTTCAGTGATTAGTTCCAAAGGGGTTATTGAATGGAAATGTTAAGGCCAGTCATTACTTTTGTTGAGGAAAGATGTAGAAAATTACAGGAAAATATGTGAATTAAAACATAACCCTATCCAAGTGTCCTTTCTGACTCGGATGAGGACTTCTGACGAGTGATGTTTTACGATTATGAACAGTTGGGTGAAATGAACAATGCTGTGAAGAAAGTGATCTCGGAGTACCACATGTCTTTAGTGACTGTTAAGAATTACTTCCCTTCCAATTTCGGATTTTTTATTGCTGCCAGAAGGTTATACTGGTAATATTTTGGTTGTCAAATTCATAAACATGGTAAACCAATACATGCAACAACAACACAAGACAAATTACGTGGGAAAAACTTGAAATAGGGTGCACTGCAATTGTTTGATATGTTGATGAGCGTACGCTGTGATAGAACATGATTGTGACTGGAGTATCGTATGTTTTATTGACACCAGTCTTCTAATGCTTGTTGATTTCTGTGTGAGGTATGCGTGTTAATATATACTACTCAAAAGAAGTTCAGGAACACCTGATCCTTTCGTAGTTAATCTGACATGACAGTATAACTGTAGTGATGTGAAAGAATCGGGCACTTCTTTTGAGAAGTATATATATTATTACATTATGTCATTGTTTCCTTGTACAAAGAAGAAAAATTATGAATATATTTAAAACACAAAAAATGATGTTTTTTGTTATTTTTTAGTCTGAGACTTCGGGCTTTCTGTTCACATTGCTCTGATATGCTGTTCAAAGTGGTGTTTTAGTCAATATTTTATTTAAGGAGACAAGTGGTTTCTTTAAGGTTTTGACTCATTTTGTTTCTGAAGCAACGCGGTGTGCGGACATCTCAGTGATAATGTATGAAATACTTGTGTATCTTATTCTAGATCTGCATATATCTATATAGCCAAGGGACGCCGTAATATAACTGGCATACAGTTCAAAGCCACCTTAAACCCAACTCACTCAAAGCCAAGGGATTGTTTTTAGAGTGTCCATTGGTCAAGGTCAATGCCATACCCTTCAAATTGGTTAAGGTTAAAAACTTTCAAAAATGTTTTATTGTTGACAATACATATTCCCGAGGCAAGGGAGTGAACTGACTATGAAAGTTGAGTTTCCGCCCTTTAGAAATAGGCATGGATTTCTGGGCTGGATTGTAGCGCCACCTTTGGATGTTACGAGTTGTGCCCCTTCTGTGTCCCTCCTATTGACCAAAAAGATTCCACTCCCATATCACTTGCATTTACATCAAACAAAATGGCAGCGCCCAGTCAAGATGATCTGGTTGATAATCAAAATCTATATTGTGATAAAACATCTTACTTTGTGAAATGAATCAATTCACTATCACTTAGAGTAAAAACATGAAAAGATTTGGAAGCTGTCTGTTGACGCCAAGTTGACGGTACATATGCTTTACAAATCCTGCAGTCGACCGAAATCTGCACAGCAGTTTTTAGACTGGATGTCGATTGATTGGACTGTGCATAGACTCGTTGGTGCAGCCAAAATATAACTCCATAATTCCAGCCTAGTTCAGCAAGGGTGGAAATTCGAATTTTACAGTCAGATATGTCCTTTGCCTCAGGAAGGCGCCAACTATACTACACAAAAGAAATGAAAGAACACCCATTTTTCCATACAAATATCGTTAATCTGTCATGTCATGTCTATAGGCATATATACACATACCACAGGGACAGAGAGGGGATCTATGGACATAAACATGATGAGGACAGATAGGCAGGTCTATGGACAAACATATTACAGGGACAAAGAGGCGATCTATGGACAAACACATGACAAGGACAGACAGGCAGGTCTATGGACAAACATATTACAGGGACAAAGAGGCGATCTATGGACATACATATATTTGAGGGACAGTTATAAGGATCTAAGGACATATATACAGATGTTTCAGTGATATATCACGTCTATGGACATGTAAACAGATGTTTCAGTGATATATCACGTCTATGGACATGTATACAGATGTTTCAGTGATATATCCGTGACATATATGGACATGTATACATATGTTTCAGTGATATATCAGTGATCTCTATGGATATGTATACAGATGTTTCAGTGATATCTATGGACATGTTTTCAGATGTTTCACTGATATATCAGTGACATCTATGGACATGTATACGGGTGTTTCAGTGATATATCCGTGACATCTATGGACATGTATACATATGTTTAGGTGATATATCCGTGACATCTATGGACATGTATACATATGTTTAGGTGATATATCCGTGACATCTATGGACATGTATACATATGTTTAGGTGATATATCCGTGACATCTATGGACATGTATACATATGTTTAGGTGATATATCCGTGACATCTATGGACATGTTTTCAGATGTTTAGGTGATATATCCGTGACATCTATGGACATGTATACATATGTTAGGTGATATATCCGTGACATCTATGGACATGTATACGGATGTTTAGGTGATATATCCGTGACATCTATGGACATGTATACAGATGTTTAGGTGATATATCCGTGACATCTATGGACATGTATACATATGTTTCAGTGATATATCCGTGACATCTATGGACATGTATACATATGTTTAGGTGATATATCCGTGACATCTATGGACATGTATACATATGTTTAGGTGATATATCCGTGACATCTATGGACATGTATACATATGTTTAGGTGGTATATCCGTGACATCTATGGACATGTATACATATGTTTAGGTGATATATCCGTGACATCTATGGACATGTATACATATGTTTAGGTGATATATCCGTGACATCTATGGACATGTATACATATGTTTAGGTGATATATCCGTGACATCTATGGACATGTATACATATGTTTAGGTGATATATCCGTGACATCTATGGACATGTATACATATGTTTAGGTGATATATCCGTGACATCTATGGACATGTATACATATGTTTAGGTGATATATCCGTGACATCTATGGACATGTTTTCAGATGTTTAGGTGATATATCCGTGACATCTATGGACATGTATACATATGTTTAGGTGATATATCCGTGACATATATGGACATGTATACATATGTTTCAGTGATATATCAGTGATCTCTATGGATATGTATACAGATGTTTCAGTGATATCTATGGACATGTATACAGATGTTTAGGTGATATATCCGTGACATCTATGGACATGTATACATATGTTTAGGTGATATATCCGTGACATCTATGGACATGTATACATATGTTTAGGTGATATATCCGTGACATCTATGGACATGTATACATATGTTTAGGTGATATATCCGTGACATCTATGGACATGTATACATATGTTTAGGTGATATATCCGTGACATCTATGGACATGTATACATATGTTTAGGTGATATATCCGTGACATCTATGGACATGTATACATATGTTTAGGTGATATATCCGTGACATCTATGGACATGTATACAGATGTTTAGGTGATATATCCGTGACATCTATGGACATGTTTTCAGATGTTTCAGTGATATATCCGTGACATCTATGGACATGTATACATATGTTTAGGTGATATATCCGTGACATCTATGGACATGTATACATATGTTTCAGTGATATCTATGGACATGTATACAGATGTTTAGGTGATATATCCATGACATATATGGACATGTATGCGGGTGTGTCAGTGATATATCAGTGACATCTATGGACATGTATGCGGGTGTTTCAGTGATATATCAGTGACATCTATGGACATGTATGCGGGTGTTTCAGTGATATATCAGTGACATCTATGGACATGTATGCGGGTGTTTCAGTGATATATCAGTGACATCTATGGACATGTATGCGGGTGTTTCAGTGATATATCAGTGACATCTATGGACATGTATGCGGGTGTTTCAGTGATATATAAGTGACATCTATGGACATATATACGGATTTTTGTGACAGATGGACAGAAATATGGACATATAGACGTTCCAGACTCTGATAGTCATATCTAAGGAGTGACAGATAGGTATATCTATGGACATCAGTAAACTACGTTTCAACGAACACGCTTATAACGAACTGACGGATACAACGAAATGGTCTTTTTGGGTCCCGGCCATTTGCTGTATATATGCTGAATATATGCTTTTAACAAACTACGGTTATAACAAACTAAAATAAGTGGTCAATTGGAGTTCGATATAACCGTAGTTTACTGTATATAGAGAGTCTACAGGGACAGATAGTGAACCAAACCTGTTTATTTTTCACAAATCAAGCTTCACCAAATTCTCGTTCCATTGTCAAAATGACCTTTGAGGTTTAAACGAAGTTTATCAGCCTACGATTGACGTGTTTCTTGGTCGTTGATCTTTTCATTTTATTAAGGAGGGGAAAGGAGACTCCTTGTCTGGACATGCAAAGACGTTAAACGTGAATCTGTCAACATTACGGACATTTACGCATAATTGGGCACTAACAAGGCAACCCTGGCCACTATAATCTGCTGAAGAAACATTGGGGAGATATTGATCAGATAGCAGACTTGAAGCAACAAATACATGTATGGTGGACAGTCCATGGTTATTCCCTGTGCGATGTGGAGCTGTGCCCGAATTACCAGCAGATCAAACAGCGCCAAGGCACTGACCCGTATTTAATGTTGTTGTTTTTTCTGTTGGATCTGTTTGTTTGTTTTATGAACGCCGCACTCAGCAATATACCAGCTATATGACGGCGGTCTCTAAATAATCGAGTCCCGACCAGTCAATCCAGTGATTGACATCATGAACATCGATCTACACAATTGCAATACGATGACATGCATCAACCACGTCAGCGAGTCTGACCACCCGAACACGTTTGTCGCCTCTAACAAGCGTGGGTTGCTGAAGAATTAACTCGGATGTTCAGATGTGTTTTTTTTAATTAGATGTAGCGAGTTAACCCTTCACGTCGCAGCAATAGTTTGTTCTTCAAATCAACAGTCAGCAATATTCCAGCTACACCACTACAGCATGTACGTAATTGAATCTGGACCAGACAAACCAGTGATTGACATGAGCAAATTCTCACACAGTCGGGGTACAAGACACCGAACCTGACCATTACGTCGCCTCTTGTGACAAACAGTGGCTGATGTGGACCGCTCCAACCTGGAATCACCACGGGGTTCTCTGCCAATAGTTGTTACTGGCAGATGTGTTTCAGTATAGTGTAGGGGCGGTCGGGTAGCCTAGTGGTTAAAGTGTTAGCTCGTCACGCCGAAGACCCGGGTTAGATTCCCAACATGAGTACAATTGTCCTCCATCGTGATGTTGCTGGAATATTGTTAAAAGCGGCGTAAAACCAAACTCACTCACTCCAGTAAATGGTCTCGGCCAGCATAGTGCCGATGTTAACAGTTAAATGCAGCAAACACCAGAATCCAATGAGTCACATGTTTGTAAGATTCCCTACTGAGGTAGATTCACACGAAAACTTAAAAAAAGGTTTGCTAATTTATGTTTACAAACAAATGTTTCTGAACATTGCGAAAACAGTTTGAAATCTAGTAAGTGAAGTTAGACGAACTGTTGGCGAGAAAGGAATCAGTTTCTTGTCTCATCAACATTTTAGCGTTATCAAACTTGATTTTGACATGTGAATGGTTTCACACGTCTTAAAATTTATTCCAGCTATATGACGGCGCTCTGTAAATAATCGAGTCTGGACCACACAATCCAGTGATTAACATTGTGAGCATCAATCTACGCAATAGGGATACGATGACATACATCAACCAAGTCAGTGAGCCTGACCACCTGAACCCGTTAGTCGCCTCTTTCGACAAGCATAGTCGCCTTTAGTCTGTCTTACAGACCCTGATACAAATATATCAACTACAGCCCATGCAAGTCTATAATGTTTGGCAAGTCTAGATTACTGCAGTATCAAAATAAAGAGAATCACTGGGCTCCCTTTTTATTATATTTTTATTAAGATAACTGAACAACTGTTTTTTCTGTACGATATGTTCATTTCAGAGACTATATGTTAGTCTAAGTCGCCTTTTACAGCAAGATTGGGTTGCTGAAGACCTATTCTTCCCCGGATCTTCACGGGTCGCCTCAATATGGCGTGTCTGGGGTGAGAAATATTGTGTTGCCTAATATGGCCATGCTATTTCATGTACTTACTGTTAGCTAGTAGTAGCAGTACATGTTAGTCTCCAGATCCGGAGAGGCCGTCATTTGTAACTGCTGCTAGCAGCTCACAGTTGCTAACAAAAATGTGTTAATAGAAGGTATTATTTCCTCGATCGGGTGGTCAGTTATAGAACATTAATCACTGAAGTAGCCCCTGTTTTATATTTAATTTAAAAAAATAATGTCTGATATACTGTTTCCCTCTTCTTTGGTGTTTTCCGAAACCTCTTGAAACACATAAACGTTTTTCGAACAATACTGAAAACTTAATATTTTTTAAATATTTTGTTTGCATATTTAAGGTTATTTAAATTTGTTGGTACTTTTTCACGTCAGTCATTTTTATTGGTAATAGAAAAAATAGATTCCCGCTTAGACTCGATGTTGTCAGTTATCGATGCTTGACAATTGACATTGTATATCAGATGGCCGAGTTCAAAATGTGCCCAGCTGTGATTGTTGCATGGCATTCTTGGTGGGAAAACATATAATATGTTACTCCCTCGTCACTTTTGTTTTAAATATACATAAATATCTAATATAATGTCCTATACCTTCCTCCTCGCTTTCGGAAAAAAATGTGCTCGATAAAAATATAAACAAAATTCTAAAAATAAAAGCAATATAGAGCCTTTTATGTGAAAGTTTAAAGTATAATATTTTTGTTGCACATCCGGTGATCGTTTCCCATATGTGAGACAGTTTTTCTGTGTACTTTGGATGACCACTAACTGCACTGATTTCCAGTTGGCATAAAATGAATGACTCGATTCAGTCTAACATGTACATACTGACAAGTGTGAAAACAATGCCGTTTAAGACATTGCAAATCGACAATGGCTGCGTTTTGACGCACCGTATGTCGAATATCAGGCCACCAACATTTTCCAATAACATATATCCAATTTATATTCCGTTTTCTGTGCAGTCAGGTTAAATGAACTACATACTACCTGTGCGTTTCTTTTTTTGAAGAGTATATACATGTATATATATAGATATATATTCTTCAGACAGCATTTACTTCAATTTCAAATAATTCAGTTCAAGTCTGAAAGAGAACAAGAATCAATAGAATTGTTTGATAGGCATTACTTAGAAGTTGACGGATGACAAAGCAGACACAATTTATGGATACCAGCTTCTTCATTTACTGTAAAGGCGACGTTTCGGTGTAGATCCGTATACCGTTGTCAAGCAAGGACAACAGTATAAGAATCTATACCGGAACGTCTTTACAGTAAATAAGAAGTAGTTATCCATAAATTGTGTCTGCTTTGTAAGAATCAATAGTTGTTTACATGTAGTCTCAACACAACTGGCAAACATGCATACACTATACACTATGCAACAGATTGTGCCTATTAATTTTCGATATTTTCACATTAGTAAGGATAAGCTTTATGGATGAACAACTTCTTTATTACAATTAGGAGCGACGTTTCGGTGTAGGTTCTAACACCGATATCAAACCTATACTGAAACTTTACTCCTAATTGTAATTAAAAAAAGTTGTTCATCCGTATATCTTATAATATATCCTTGCACTGATTATACTGATTGGTCAGTTAGAGGAATCCGACGTCACCTTCCTTCTTTGTAAAGAACAGTACGATATCAGATCATATCCTGACAACCAATGTTCATGGTGCCCCTATTTGATAACATCAAGACAACTGAATATTTGTCCGACTTCAGTAAAGGGTTTCTGTAGGGCTGATATTTCGTACATTTTTCTACATTTTCTTTCTTAAAATGACAATGAGTACTATATAAAAAAAAACTTCTCGAAACACAGAATTGCGGATTATCTATCCCTCGTGAATCTCGTATAAGTTAAGACCCGTGAACATCAGGGGTAGAATAGGTCTTCAGCAACCCATGTTTGCCGTAAAAGGCGACTATGCTTGTCGTAAGAGGCGACTAACGGGATCGGGTGGTCAGGCTCGCTGACTTGGTAATTACATGTCATCGTATCCCAATTGCGTGAAATCGATGCTCATGATGTCAATCACTGGATTGTCTGGTCAAGACTCGATTTTTTATAGCTGGAATATTGCTGAGTGCGGCGTAAAACAACAAACAAACAAAAAACAACAAATCTTTTGAGTTAAAATTGTTTCTAAATATATCCTACTCTTATTAGGGTAAAAACGGTACGTCTTATTTGGTGTAACATCAATGAAAGGACAGTTTAATACATATATTCACTGTTCGGTTCCGCGTGAATAGTTCGATATTTCACGGGATATCCCATCGTTACGCTCTGTTGCATTTCCTCAAGGGAATCCCCTCCTGTTGAATTTCGCGCATCTTGCCGCTGGAGAGAATTCCCCCGTTTCCTGTGACGTCATCAGTTACTGCGCTCGCCATATTTAGTCACTGTTGGGCTTGGTCTCCACTGAATCATTGAAATCGCCAACCATATAACTTTGTTCGAAGCTTTGTTAATCACACAAGGATTACCACAGAAGAGCTCTAAACAGGTAAGACGATTGTAAGTTTTCTTGTTGGCATATGAGGGTGGACTGACGCCCTGAACGATTACGTTCCACCGGGGAATAACAGATCTCCGACAGTCTCCGGCTCCATCCCAAGTTAGGGTCGGATTCTGTGACTTGGCGTGGCGAAGTCGAATAATCAGGCCGATCTTTCAAATCATTATCCACTTGTGCATAAGTGGTGAGCCAAATCTTATAAATTCAAGAGTTTTGATTTGGTTTTAAATTATGAAAATGAGCTTCGAATTAGTTTGGTCGGCACAAAAAAAATGACAGAAATGAAAATATTCAATGATGGGAGAAGTTTGTTAAAACCCACATGCAATGCTTCATCGGTCTGTTTCCGTTGAACTGTTGGATGACCGCTCAAATAATGTAGTTTAACTGGACATGCAGTCTCCGTGGCAAAGCGAAGTCAAAGATTAGTTGATTGTTTAGGTGGTCGGTGCAAATCAACAGCTGAGACTGAGAGCGGTGTCCGTGTATTGTGGCGATAATCACATTTGACAGGCAATCATGGAGTACCGGAAGCAGACACAGAGACGAAAGTGTCAGTTATCTGGGCAAGAAATTGCTTTTGGTAATTTTTTGGGTAGTTCTCATCACTTTTTTAAGTCGTTTATTTTGTAAATAAGCACTGTTTTGGGCGAAGGACATTTTGTTAGACAGTAACCATTATGGTTTTGTACATGGTGTAGGGTGGGTGATATTGAGACTGATGAGTTTATTAAGTGTATATAGGTTCTAGATCCATGTTTTAGATCTATCACCATTAGGCATGTACTATATTTTCATGAATCATACTGATTTTGACAAGATGTCATAACAGTAATTAGTTTTGACATGTTTCAGTGTGTTTAGGGGCCAAGTGAATTATGTCATGTTCATCATTGAACTTTGTTTGGTGGAATTTATGTGCCTGCTATTTGTAGTAACTCAAGGAAACATGATTCATTAATAAATGTGTCAGAGCACCTGAAACTTTGGTAGCTCATCCATGACCAATGAGCGAAGGTGTGAGCTTTAGCTGATGTAAGTCTGTTTGTTTACTCAGGCAGAAGAGGGAAGGTTTGCTGTTAAGGGATTATGCATGTGGTTTTGTTCGGGGAGGATTGTTCCTAATTCAAACCACAGTCATGACAATGACACAGACATTCCTTTTCATTGCACACACAATCATCAGGAAAACTCACCTAGCTGTAGGGATGGTACAATCGGAAATCGCAACGAATATTATATAATAAATCATCCTTTGAAATTCATACTCGTCCACCAGCCCGAGACTACTAAATTGTGCTAAGGACAAATAAGAATTTAATGATTTTAGCCTTCATTGACTAGTAGCATTTGAGGGCTATAAGTGTAGACCAGTTCTCAATTCTGAATTTTTTTTACAATTTGGAACTGAATAAAACTGACAAAATGTAAACATTGTAAATATTTTTGTCTTGTTCAGTAGTTTTCGCTACAAACTCAGAGAACGTCTTTATTTAGATTTACTATGATGATCTGGACTAGTCGATAAATAGATTTCTCAGGCTAAAAACTGAATATAATATTTTTGAGAATGACATTAGTAAAAAGAATATTTTAAAATGGAATAATTGCATCAACATGATCAATTTAACAACATTTGTGGATGTGGATTTTGTATGTTCTAAGTGTCGAGTTGTTAAAAATGTGTAAACATATATTTCCTTGGTATTAACTAATCATGTAGACTTACATCTAGTCTCTGAAATGAACATATTTTACTGAAAAAAAACAGTTGTTAAATTATGGTTATAAAATATAAGAAAAAGGAGCCGAGTGACTTTCTTCATTTTCAGTTATCAGCGGTAGAAACGAACAGTTTCAGCATGTTCAGTCCATGCTATCTGGCTATCCATCACAGAGATGGATTATCATTGACTAAATATTGATCAGTTATCAGCAAATATTGGAAAAGTAACTTTGAGCAAATATGCAAAAAGCCCATAGAGAAAACAGTATGTTTCACATCACGGTTGAGTGGTGACACAGGAATGCATGAATTACTTTGTGGATATTTAAGATATAACAAAATCATTGCTTTCCGTCTTCAGCCGTGGGCATTAACAAGGAACAATGTTCCGTTTCGGTTTATATCAACTTTATTTCATCACAATAGTTTATGTAAAATATTAACGATGACACATTTTTTCATATCGTTAATCGATAATATTTTTCCCATTGGCGATAATTCCCATTGTCTATCTTTTTAGCCAGCCATACCATAAATAGTGTCAATAAGCAAGATAATATTACATATCATCATAATCATACTGCGAACGAACAATTGAAGTTTCTATTGTTGGTTTTGACAAGTAATATATATATATACACTGTTGGGACATTTTATCTTTAACATGTTTAACATGATCAATGACCAAAGAAATTACTTTGAATGATTTTTTCATGCAAGTCTTCTGACTTTCTATTTTCCAGTAACCGTTTAAAAATTGAATTGATAAAAATGTTTAATCACATAGTCGTGATAGTGTTAATATTCCATTATGCTAACACTGTTTAATGATAAACTGTAGAGGCTGAGATCTGCCCTGTATTCAAATGTGTCTGTGAGGTTTCATATATTGTGGAGATCTATCGAAATATATGTGTCAGTTAGACACTTGAGACCTGGTCTATTGACATGATTGAGATGGTATGTGTTTATGTAGTATTACAAGGAGGGCAGATAAGCAGGTCCACCTTCATCCTTCAGTTGACACAAGTGACCTACAGCTGGAGTGAATGGACATTCACATTTCATGGATAGAGACTCTTTTGTTGTGAGTGGAGTGATGGTATAGACACTGTTAGGTGCCTTAAGAACAAATTGTTCAAAACATTAGATATCCGTGAAGATCCGGGGTAGAATTGGTCTTCAGCAACCCATACTTGCCATAAATGGCGACTATGTTTGTCGTAAGAGTCGACAAACGGAATCAGGTGGTCAGGCTCACTGACTTGGTTGATGCATGTCATCGATCCCAATTGCATGGATCGATGTTCATGATGTAAATCACTGGATTGTGTGGTTCAGACTCGATTATTTACATACCGCCATCATGTAAGTGGAATATTGCATAGTGCTGCGTTAAACAACAAATAAGCCAACAATAAACAAATGAAAGTATTAGATATCAATCATATATATTCATGAAGGAAACAGACAGAACATTAATGGGTGGTCAACATGGTCAAAGTGATTGGTACCATTGCTACCACTTTAGAAAATAAATAGATTGTAGTTTGCATGGTACCAAGTGTGGTATGATGAAGACTGTTGACTTTCCTTTTATCATGTTTATATAAGGGCTTGCACTATTATCGGTCTTTTCTCTAAGATCTAGGGGGCAATCTAGTTTATCACGATACATCTGACTCATGTATCGATACATATTGCGCCAGAGTCATGATCCAATGCATACAGTGATGCTGGACAGCGGTGGAAACTAACAGTTTTAGTCCACTAGTCCTTATAATGATAACATATAGCAAAACCCTTAAAAATGGCAAATTTCTACTTGTCCTTATGACACCTTAACTATTGGGCAGTTTGGCAAGGACTACAGAACTAGTGTCAATTTCTACTGCTGCTTAATTTGTGCTGTTTTGGCATGGAATTCTCATTGTTTTATATATTCAGGTGTAGGTTGTTGCTGTCAGACAGCACATTTGAATCACATAGGTTCATACATCATCGGGGGCATGGGTGGCCCAGTCATTGAAGACGCCGATATTAGCCGTGCAGAGTTGCGTACCTTTTTCACGCCAGAAATCTATGGTTGTGGGTTCAAATCCCGGTTTGCCCTGATTATGTTTTTAGGTTTGTCCGCACTATACCCGTGCTCGTGGGTTTCACAGAAGCGGTAAGACCTGCATCACTTTAGGCTTTCCTCCCACATCAAGCTGACACATTGTGATATAACTGAAATACTGTTAAAAGCAGCGTTAACCATGTGTTAACACACGTCACCCACTCACTCGATACATCATCAATATTATAAATACATTGATATCACAATGTAAGATGTCTTCCTACCAACTACTAAACATACAGCTTTTATGAGAAGAGACTGGCCAACCATACCACAGGATCACTGACCTATAAATAACAAAAGACCCTCTTCCATTTCTGCTGGCCATGGGCCAAAGGACCAGCAGTTTTGTTGATCCTCCCACACCCTTCATTGCCATGGTCATTTGTGACAGGGGGCGGTCGGGTAACCTAGTGGTTTAAGCGCTCGCTCGTCACGTCGAAGACCCGGGTTCGATTCCCGACATGGGTACAATGTGTGAAGCCCATATCCGGTGTCCCCCGCTGTGATATTGCTGGAATATTGCTAAAAGCAGTGAAAACTATACTGACACATCTTCTATTATACATTTGTAGTCTGATGACAGGTTACCATCCATTCAGGCTCTGTTTTGGATAAGATTATTTGTGCTGGAAGCTTTTGACACAGCCCCTCAATGAGCTGTAGATTGTTTGCACCTGTGCAGGTAGGTGGGGAGATGCTGTAGGTCAGGGGTATAGACTCCCCCTGGTGACCGGGCATCTTCATCTGACCGGGCTGGTATCTGCAAACTAAAATTACCATCACATTCCCAGCACAGGAACACAGTGGAGGGGACATAGGCATGGATTTACTGCATGCGAAATCCTGCATCATGTTGGCTTAAAAATTGAAAATAAATGCCAAAAATGTACAGAGTGCATCCATTTAGGCCTACCAATAAAAACTGACAGACTGCAACTAGAAACTGTCAATTGTCTACAATACACAGGGAATCGACAATAGAAAATGATGAGAAGCATTGAGAACATCATTGTAAATCTGAGAGCATGTTACCGAAAACATGGAAATGGGAGCACTAAAACACACTGACTGCAGCCTTCCACACCAGGCATGAGCAGAACTAGAAGGGAGTTGACTGTCATGTACATTTACAAGTAAATTGAGTAAATTTACAAGTAAATTGAGTAAATTTACAAGTAAATTTACAAGTAAATTGAGTAAATTTACAAGTAAATTGAGTAAATTTACAAGTAAATTTACAAGTAAATTGAGTAAATTTACAAGTAAATTGAGTAAATTTACAAGTAAATTGAGTAAATTTACGTATTTCAACGCTACTACAATAATACACATCTAGAATATTCTATATTAACTCTGTAATATTAGCTCTGGGATGCAGAAAATTTGTATGTTTAGAATTAAATGCTGCGATTCCATAATTTGGTACTATTTAAATATAAATTTCCATACATAATTTATGTAAATCTTGAAATTAATGTGTCTCCAAATTAATACGACTGCTGCCCCCTAGGCAAAAGTGCGACTCAAAATCAATGTGACTCACCCCACCCCATCCCCAGTGGATTGATACATATCCTTACCTGAATCCAATCAAACAGCAAATAGCATCACTTATTAGCGCTGAGTACAGCACCTCCGTAATAACAATAAACAGTGTTTTCCTAAAAACAACACACACTTTATATGTTTATTCTGTTGACTGACACTAAGGAAGTTCAAAGGCAATATGATAATTGAACCAACAACAGTTCACTGATTGGAGTTGTCAGTGATGCCTAGTTTGACACTAGTTGGTAGAACTCTTAACATGCTTAACCCCAGCAGTGATAACTCTCTAGAAACCCATTGTATAACTCCTATTCTTTAAATGGCATTGTTATGGACTTGTTACAACTACTGCTCAGTAAACAGTGTTTGTATATTTATTCAAGTTGGTATTTCTACTATCCTAAGTGTGCAGTTAGGCCGTCCCATTGTTGATAGTTGATGTGGGAAACATTAATGCGAACAAAGACCACTCGCATTTTTCACATTTAATTCATGCTCGCGTTTATTTCAAGATTTACAATATTTCGAAACCCAATGCACAGTCAAATGCTTCACGGTTTTCTAGCGCTAGCATTTGTCACTGCAGCTGAGAAAGTCCATATCTATTTTTGACCATGGCCTCTGAGTATGCCACATCTTTATCGTTCATCTCGCTTGTGGTGGAGTACTGTATTTAATTTAAGTGATTTCTCTGGGACCCCTAGGGTTTTACCCGATGCACACATGTGCGTCCAGTACGCACAAATGTGGAGAATGGACGTAGAAAAAGAATACACTGTGTCTCTAAGGACTCACAATAACATTCATTATACCTGCAGCACATCAAGAGCAGTTATAGGTGTCTGGCCACTGTCCAAATGATCTTTGATTCATTCCAGGCTCTAAAGAAATTATCGGGGCGGTCGGGTAGCCTAGTGGTTAACGCGTTCGCTTGTCACGTCGAAGACCCGGGTTCAATTCCCGACATGGGTACCATGTGTGAAGCCCGTTCCTGCTGTGTGATATTGCTTAAATCGGCGTAAAACCATACTCACTCACTCAGAAATTATCAAAACATACAGTACGCTACACGGTTTCCTTACTATACAGGACCCTCATATTGCCGTCAAGGACCCTTAATATTACTTATTGGGGTCCCCGGGACCCCCACTTTTGTAAGTCAAGGTACAACCCTGGCCCCCCTACTTTTGTAAGTCCAGGTACAGCCCTGGATCCCCACTTAGTTGCTTGGTGCCCTTACGATTAAAGGCTTTGAGTCCTTTGGAGAAACCAATCATATGTTTGTTTGTTGTTTAACACCACACTCAGCAATATTCCAGCTTTATGACGGCGGTCTGTAAATAATGGAGCCTGGACCAGACAATCCAGTGATTGACATCATGCTCATCGATCCACGCAATTTAGATACGATGACATGCATCAACCAAGTCAGCGAATCTGACCACCCGATCCCGTTAGTCGCCTCTTACGACAAGCATAGTCCCCTGTTACAGCAAGTATGGGTTGCTGAAGACCTATTCTACCCTACATCTCCACCAATCATATGAGTCCTAGGTGTTATTGTTTGGTTATTTGTTGTTTTATGCTGCTCTCATCACTATTCCCTGCATGTGAAAGGACAGCCTGTAAATAATCAAATCTGGCCCAGACAGACCAGTGATTGACATCCCTAGCAACATCCCTAGTCAGTGGTATAAGATGACCCACAATCCACCCAGCCAACCATCACAACAGAATTATCTAATTGCCAAATGTGGCCTATTCAATTGGCATGCCTGTGTTGTGTATCTGTACATGTTTGTTAAGTGATCAATGCAGGCATCACAAACATGTACACTAGGGCTGCAACGAATACACTATGAGGCGAATACGATTCATATCACGAATATAGGGTAACGAATACGAATATTAATTCACAATTACAATAACAAGTCAGCAGTTTATGTATTATTTATTATATTCAGTGAAACAATAACATCATAATTTATTTGACATGGTTTGCTAATTATTAATAAATCATACATTTATATACTGCACTTATCCAGGTACTAGTATCTGCTCAAATGCGACAATGACCAGTGAAAACAATACTTTCAAATTAAATATTATTAGAGTGTTGTCATTGAAAGAAATCTATGCATATAATATGTTGTTATGGATATTTTTAGGTACAGTGTATGTAAATATACATGATAGCATATTCATAAATATTCGATTCTAGTGGCCATGAATAACGAATTCAATTCATGAATGGTTATGGTTCGATTCACAGAATATGCGAGTGAATCGTCACAGCCCTAATGAACACCACTCTGAACATTGCATAAATCACTAATGTTCGCTAGTTGTCTCATCTATTGTTACATTGACACATTTCCTGATAATACTTAAGCTTCTATGATGATTGTCATGCTTAGGGTCAGCATGTGAACAGAGGCAAATTAGAAATCACCTGACATGACATTTTGAGTGGAATTAATTAAAATAATGCTAACTCTTTAGTTTACAAGTACCCAATAGGCAACTCAAGGGAGTAGAATGTATTGAATACTTAATGGAAGATTAAATACTCGTCGAGCATCATTACATGTGGGTAAATACTCAATAATTATCTCAAGCAATGATTGCGGAAAGAATGATTTTTTATCATGTTTATATGACCTTGCTATGAATTTTGAAGTTTTGTTTAAAAAGTCTGCTAAGCCTGATAGTCTGTATTGAAGAGATTTTTAAAAGTGTAGTAAGTCTATGATGAATTATAGAGTATGGGAGTTTGAACATCACAATGCTCATATGAACAGATATAAGCATGATAAGTTACGCCTGGAGCAAATGTTCACCTTGTTTGGATTTTATACAAAGTTTATTTACTTACATGGAAATTTTCTCTATATGTAAATTTGGCATACAAACTCTCGGCATCAGTTCTCATGCAAGTACCGGGGGTGGGGGGGGGTGGGTGGGTGGGGGATTTGTAATGTTTGATTGACCTTCAGCGTGTTCAAGCCTGGCACTGTTTCATCATTCCTATTTCGGTTTACAAACATGTCTGCCTTTATAAGTGACCAAGTTCTCCCCTTTAGTTACCACCCTGTGAACCCATCATACTGGCCCTAGTGACTTTGACGTTGCCTCCATTCGTATCTGTATATTTCTCATCGGCATTTACTTCTAGAAGTAAAGTTTGTGTGTGTGTTGGGATTAGAAGTTTGACAATGAAATCAACCGCTGTGTGCATGTGGAGGGTGGCATTCTTGAACGTGTATCAAAATAATTGCTGTGACCTTTCGTTGTAAACGATAACAAAGAGATTACCAAACAGCAACAACAGCGCTGTTAGCCAACACTCTGCTCTCAACATGCCTTCAACATGATGAATAGGATTCAGGCATTTGCTTTTCTGAAACTGAAAAAAATAGAATGTTATAAATTATAATGTCTAGAATTTCTAGCAATAAATACCCCTTGATCTTAATCATGTTAATCAACGCATTTTGTGTATAATATCATCAAATAGTATACAAATGGTCGGTCCCTAATGCTAACACTACAGCTATGGCTTTTATTGTAGAATTGTGAAAGTGACAAATTCAAATCGTACATATGGTAATTTGTGAAACTCTCGTGATGATATAAATATTAATATCAGGTATCTGGCTCTTGTTTTATTATCCATGCTAGTTTCTGATGTTGGTTGGTTGTTTCAGAGATGAGGATGTCGATGGTGACGCCAGTCTGTGTGTTTCTCCTCACCTGCCTTGCACTGGCCACAGCACAAAGTAAGTAACCCAAGGAAGCCATTATGAAACTATCAGTGTTAAATTGGCACTAGTCCTGTAGTCCTTGCCAAACTGCGCAATAGTTGAGGTATGCTAAGGACGAGTAGAAATTTACCGTTTTTAAGGGATTTGCTATGTGTTATCATTATACATGTTACAAAGACTTGTGGACTAAAACTGTTAGTTCCTAACGCTGGAACTTAAGATAGGATACTTGTTGCTACATATTATGTATTATCTGATTGCTTATAGAGACAAAAGAAAACACTTGATGACACAACTACTTTCTGTCTGCCAGAGCTCCAGATAACTTTTTGAGCAATTGAGTTTTTACTCGAAGGTTTCTATTTTAATTGGGTTATTACATTTTTCATGCAAATGCACTGCTCATATGTAGCTCTGGTCTGCAAAATAGACTGCCTCAATGACACTAAGGATCAGAAGATCAGTAAGCAAAGACTTAATACTGTATTCGACGTAATAAGCGCCCTGCTCTAATAAGCATGATAAGCGCCCACGGCGATATTTGCTAATATATTGGCTAGTGAACAATCCCAATCAGCACCCCTTCCGATTGATCAATGTACACAGGACTTATTTATTCGTGTATAATACGCACTTGTGTGTTAATTGGGCAATTAAATTTTTGAAAAATATATCTGTCGTATGTAAACACTTCAGGCTGTTGGCATAAACAACGAAATTTACAATCTTTCAACTCAAAATAATATTCTAATAAGCGCCCCCTATTTCTAATTTTGAGAGCGCCCTGGGCGCTTATTACGTTGAATACGGTAAATAAAATTGTCTTTTCTGATCAAATAACATGTTTGACCTGACATTTGCACTCAGGCTGTGTCATGAAACTACCAATGTTGTCCATGGTTGTCAGATTACTCAGTTAGATAAACTTAATATTTGACATGAAAATTCAAATATCGTCTGTGTATCTTTTATCACAAATTTTTAGGCCAACATTTTAGTATTTTCAAACACAATTTGTACGTGAGAATTGTTGTCAAACAATTTACATGTTGGTCGCTTACAACCAATCTTTTACTGTTTGAGGTATCACATAAGTTTTATTGCTGTCTGAAACAAAATGAGGTCTGCATTCAAGAGAATTGAAAAAGAACTAAGTAACAACGACACATATTAGTGTTATTAAGTTTGGAGTTTCTGCAAACCTGTATTACCATCACCTGGACCTGTGAAGATCTGGGGTAGAATAGGTCTTCAGCAACCCATGCTTGGCGTAAGAGGCGACTATGCTTGTTGAAAGAGGCGACTAACAGGATCGGGTGGTCAGGCTTGCTGACTTGGTTGATGCATGTCATTGTAGCCCAATTACATGGATCGATGCTCATGATGTCAATCACTGGATTGTTAGGTTCAGACTCGATTATTTACATACCACCGTCATATAGCTGGAATATTTCTGAGTGCGGCATTAAGCAACAAATAAACAATACGTGTGGACAAGTGTATTTTTTCCAGCCATGTTATTAAGATTAGAGTTTCCAAACCAGTGGTTGCAAGCATTCAGCTAAAATGATGATACCTGTTAGGTACCTAATGTAACCATGGTAAAGGCTATTCAGATATGTGACTTCAACAGTCAAGACGATAGTTAGTTCAGAGATGTCTGTTAAAGATACTGGTATTACAAGCATGTTATGTATGCTTGCACAATGTGGGGATGTAAGGTCAGTGCCGGCACCAGATGGCGGCCCAGCATTAATTATGCATGGCCCCCTCCCAGAGTCACCAGCCAGCCAATAACTGAAGTAATCAGGGATTGATTTAGCTGTATAAATATATTATTGAAAATCGAAACCTAATTATTAGTAATATTTACGTCTACATGCCCCAAGTGCATATCAACATGTTTAACCCTAAGAAGTCCACACAACATCAACATTTGAACACATTCAATATCTTTAAGCTTATTTACCATAAGTCGGTACTACCTTCTCTGTGTGTAATTTGTCATGCTTTTGGAGGCTAGATGTCATCATAATGTGGGTACTTCAAGATTATGTGTACATTTTATCTTTGAAACAGTTATGAACCCTGGTTTTGCCTGGTGCAACAAGGTTTTCATGTCACCATACACCTGGTACAAGTTAAATAAAGTTCCTTAAATGGAGCCCAGGTAATGGATGTCATTTGTTTGCTTATTTTTTGTTTAATGCCGCATTCAGCAGTATTCCAGCTATATGACATCAGTCTGTAAATAATCAAGTCTGGACCAGACAATTCAGTGATTGCCATAATGAGCATCGATCCACACAATTGAGATATGATAACATGCATCAACCAAGTCCGCGAGCATCACCACCCAATCCTTTTAGTTGCCTCTTATGACAAGCATATCCGTTTTTACGGCAAGCATGGGTTGCTGAAGAACAATTCTACCCCGGAATCTTCATAATGTTTATGGGTGTAATGCGTATGAAGGTTGGTGGGTTGATATGGAGTTGTATATCACACTAGGGAGCATCGTCCTGTGTGTCAAGGAATATCATGATGACGCGTCTTAAAATTGAACTGCTAAATTGCGTGATAAGTAGAAATTTGCAATTCATTGTGATGGTCTGTTGATAAATAGGATGAACGCTGCTCACTGGAACATGTGTAACTCACGTTGAGCATGTTGAATCTCCGCCAACATCTTTTAAGGCATCTACGGAAATAGTCACATTTGTATTTTTCAGTCATGTTCAGCATGTTTAATAGAGTTTAGTGTCAACATGAAGGCTGCTTATTTAGCAGCTCAATGTATACAGCCGGAGAAACTAACTGTTTTAGACAACTAGTCCTTAGGATAACCTAGTGAAACCCTTAAAAATGGCAAATGTCTACTTGTCTTTAAGATGCCTTGACTATTGGGCAGTTTGGCACTGACAAGAGGACTAACTTCAGTGTCTACCGCTGTGTATATGATGGAATCGGAAGTGAACTTTGAACTTTTGTCTGAATTTTACCGAAGTGTCACCCTTTGTTTTTGGAACCTTACCATGGAACCTTGTACGATATCAGGGATATCTCTTGCAGTTTAACGCCTTTATCATATTAGCGAATGTCTTAGTTGCCGTTACGGGCCAAGGTCAGGCTCAAGGTCATTACCTAAAAATGCTTTGTTTGCTGCCCAGCTCCAGAAGTATAAGCTGTGTGAGCTAATGACACTTTGCCATGTGTTCTCCTTAGGGTGGGGCTGAGATGGGAAAAGGTTGCGAATGATCTTCCTACAAGGTCACAGCGAAAGTCATTCAAAAGGGATGCTGCTGTTTTCGCTAAAGTAGCTTTTTCTGCAGATATTTTTGAAGCCTTGTGCATGTAGTGGTTATGTTTTTTATTATTGTTTGTAATGTCCATCACTTATTTGTCTGGTCCAGGCTAGAGTATTTGTGGCCTGTGTTAATACCGTGTCATCGATCCCGATTGCGTGCATCGATGCTCATGATATTAATCACTGGATTGTCTGGTCCAGACTCGATTATTTACAGACATCTGTCATATAGCTGGAATTTCTGAGTGTGGCAATAGACAACAAACCAACCAACCAGCCACGAGGATATTGTTGGACATGCTGAGACGCATTAACAAACAAAGAGACGCAGAACTCACCTATCAAATTATACCACATAGCTCATCAGACAAAAAATATCAACAAAAAAAAAAATTAATTTGACTGTTCTTTGATTTCATGATCAGAAATCATTTCGCTGATCATACTGTTTACGAGTACATGGAATTGGTTGTTGGGAAAATACTTCGAGTCTGTTATGAACATTCTTGTTGAACACTGGAGCACATTATAAGAAACTATTTCATTCCACAATACCACGACAATCACAGCTAGTTGTGTAATTGTTACCATGGCAACTGATCAATTTCCAGGCGTAATCATGTTAGTTGTCTATGTTTTAGGTTAACACGGTGAAGGAAGATAGGAGGTTTAATCATGTCAGAATAAGCTGGGCCTGGACTAACACGATTATAAGCTCCTCACACTGGCAGCCTGTGTGACCCTGCTGCAGATCACAGACTTGTCAGCTCTGTAGTTATTTTGGTTCAGTGACTGTTATTTCTAAAAGAAGGATTCAATTCAACATGCTTAGTGCACAAAAAACTGAAATAAGATTTTCTCCCTTCTTGTTTATGTGGGTGTCATGATTTTTTAGAACTCTTTTGAACAGTTCAAAATGAGTAATTTGATATCCTTGATTGGTTAGGTAAAAAATATATTTATACCAGAATAATTAAATCCTATACTATTAGAAAATGACTTTTTAGCAATTATCTAAATTCTAATTCAAACAGGATATTCTGAGGATTGTGGTCAGTCTTTTCAATGAGGAATTGAAACTTGTTATTGCATAGGGCTGTGTATTGACCTGGATTTTGTATTGCAATATATTGCCATACTTTAATCTGTATTGCGATATGTATTGCAATATATTGCCATACTTTAACCTGTATTGCGATACGTATGGCAATATATTGCCATACTTTAACCTGTATTGCGATATGTATTGCAATATATTGCCATACTTTAACCTGTATTGCGATATGTATTGCAATATATTGCCATACTTTAACCTGTATTGCGATATGTATTGCAATATATTGCCATACTTTTTTTAACCTGTATTGCGATACGTATAGCAATATATTGCCATACTTTAACCTGTATTGCGATATGTATTGCAATATATTGCCAATTTACATTTACATTAGCCTTGGCTCGCTTATTTGGGACGATCTCAAAATCATCTGCCATTTTGTATCCCAGCAATGATCAAGGGAGATAATACGGTCACATGCGCAAGCGCAAGCTCTTTCCTAGCGCGTGACACCTTACTCTTGGTATAGAGAGCTCTGCGACCAAGGTTCGATTCGACTAGGTTACACTGTGTGAAGCCCATTTCTGGTGTCCCCCGCTGTGATATTGCTGGAATATTGCTAAATCAGCGTAATAACTCACTCAAATTTCCACATATACTACTTAAAAAAGTTAAAGATGACTCAATTCTGTTATATATTATTGCTATAGACAGATCAATTAGTAACGTGAGTAAACTGGAGTCATCCTTAACTTCTTTTGAGTAGTACGGGAATCATGTCCCACTGGGACAGGAAATTGTCAGTGAAATTGTCAGACAAAGTATTCAGTCATAAACATTATTTTAGGAAATGTACTTGATCACAGCCCGGCACTTTTCTCAGACACAGGATTTAGTTGTGACAGATTTCCTACACATTTTCAGGAAACAGTGTATATCTGGTGTGTGCATGATTCTAACTTTATCCTAACTCCCACACAGCATGGATGGATAGTTGAGTCACAGTGAAGCAGGATCTTATCGCCTCTATGCAGAAGGTACTAGGACATTGTCACTATGGAAAGGCCTGTTATTTATTATTTGTTGGTTTTACCAGATGTTTACCGGTAATATTAGGCTTGGACTGGTAATTCATGTGACTGTCAGACCCTGTGGACAGGCAAATAGAGTACCTTATAAATCTTTGTTGTTAACATGGTTTAACTAAACATTATCGCTATTCATATGAAAATATTTTTGAAATGAAGTCAGCTTGTCTGTTACCATCAGGGTTTCTCCTTGTCTATTTTTAGTGCAAGTAAATTACCTTTCGCTTTGCTTGAGGTTAAAAATATAAATTGGTGCTACTTAGTCTCGAAATACTCAAAACAACAAAGAGAGAAATTGTGACAGGGCTTGTGTGAATGACATGTAGATCTAACTTAGTTACTTCAGAGATGACGCCATTGCGTTGAACATTATGTTGAATAACGTGGGACTGGTAATCATGGTAATGTTTAGAAGCCAGAAGAAACACTGTTGTATTGTCTCTCATACAGACCCTGATATAATATATCCAACACAGCCCGTGCAAGTGTAATGTTTGGCGAGTCTAGATTACTGCAGTATCTGAAAATGAAGAGAGTCTCTGGGCTCCTTTTTATTTTATTTTCATTAAGATAATTTAACAACTTTTTTTTTTCCAGTAAGATATGTTAATTTCAGAGACTAGATGTTAGTCTAACTGTAGCATGGCTGTTTGTGTTGTAATTTATTATTAGTGAGAATGGTACAATATTCTTTATCACACATAACACTGAGCTAGTTGTACAGGGATGCCTTCTCTCTTGCTCATGGAGGCCAGTGCCATGGAAAAGCCCTCATTATAACAACATCTCTGTCACCTCAAAGTTGTTGATTGTAGAATTTACACAATGAATGAGAAACTGGAGAGGGTGTTATGTAATATTGGGTGTTGTGTAATATTGGGTGTTACAAGCTGGGATGTCATGTTATGTTGGTGGTAGGGGTTCTCCCCTGAGTGCTGTATAATGAGGTACTGAGGCCAGTCAGCCATGTGTTATGAGCTTGTATATCAGGACTGGTGTTTATGAATGAGATCATGGTGCATCCTGGGATGTGAGGGATGCAGGGGCACACCTAAGTGCCTGAGTATTTATGTTATGTGAAGACACATTGCCGAAACTGAAACTGACAATTACCGGGTAGTTATTATTGGTCAGAGTAAAGTGGATATATTTTTCTTATGCTATTGTTTATTAATATGTTTTGTTTTTTTTGTTGTTAACTGCTGCATTCAGCAATATTCCAGCTATATGATGGCGGTCTCTAAATAATCGAGTCTGGACCAGACAATCCAGTGATTGATATCATAAGCATCGATCCACACAATTTGGATTCGATGACATGCATCAACCCAGTCAGCGAGTCTGACCACCCTATCCTGTTAGTCGCCTCTTACGACAAGCAGACTTGCCTTATGTATTGATTAGCTAAATATATAACATCACAGTTACAATTAGGCATACTTTACATATTGAACCACGATGTACAGTTAGTTTGAGAATGGAGAAAGAATTAAGAACTGAGTGTAGATGGGAAACTGGGTTAGAATTGGTCTTCAGCAACCAATGCTTGTCGTAAGAGGTGACTAACTGGATCGGATGGTCAGATTCGCTGACTGGGTTGATGCATGTCCTCGTATCCCAATTGCGTAGATCGATGCTCATGATGTCAATCGCTGGATTTTCTTGTCCCGACTGGAATGCCATGATCATGTAGCTGTGATATTGCTGAGTGCAGGGTTAAATAACAAACAAACATGACCACAGAAAGTCACCTGAAAAGTTAGACATAATACCATGTTTAAGTTTTCTCTACTCATGTTAAAAGGAGGGCCGACCCCCGACCCCTCCCCCAACAAAACGAACGCACGCAAACACGCGGAATGAATAGTTGTTTACATCATAAAGCAGTGGTTTACTCCTGGACAGGACTACTCCTTGAATCATGTAAAATTACTGATGCAGTATTTGGGTCACCTGGTCACTCATCCAGGCTGATTATGTACACTCTGAATATGTTGTCCGATAAGTAATTACATCCTTCTAATGTACTCTTTTTGTTGCCAGGCAGCCGAGCCCAGCAGAACAACCCATGTTTGAGGGATTATGCACAGAAGTCCTGCGGAGCCTGTATTGCCACCGGAGCGGAATGTGGCTGGTGTCTGGAGGAGGTATGATGATGATGATGATGATGATGAAAACACATTCAAATTAACAAAAGCATTCTTCTGCACGCTTCTAACATTTGGAATGCTTTCAATTAAGATTATTATGATGACATAACTTTCAACTTCAAAATATTTTTTCTGTTTATAAAACATTATGAATGCTGTGTAAACAACACTTTTTTATTTTCTGAACCTTTTACAGGACTTTGACAAAGATAATCGTGCACGATGTGACAAGTTTGAAAATCTGGCTGATGCAGGGGGATGTGATCCCTCCAGCATTATCTTCCCTGCCGATGGAACTTTTCCTGTGAAGGTAAGGCAGCACTCTCTTTAGTTCTTGGTTGAGGGGCGGTGGGTAGCCTAGTGGTTAAAGCGTTCGCTTGTCACGCCGAAGATCTGGGTTCGATTCCCGACATGGGTACAATGTGTGAAGCCAATTTCTGTTGTACCCTGCCCTGATATTGTTATAATATTGCTAAAAGCAGCTTAAAACCATACTCTATCACTCCCTCTATGTTCGAAGCCAAAAGCCACAGTCATAAAATGAAATGACAATAGTTAAGATTTATGTATTTTGATTATTCACAATGCTTTATTTTTATTTATTCAGGATTTTAACGTACAAGATGGTCTTCGGCCAGAAGATGCTGTGCAGATCCAGCCCCAGGAAGTGCGCTTCAAAATCAGACCAAGTGAGTCCTGTTCATTATTGTTTCACTTCCTGAACCAAGTTTATTTTACGTTTAGGGCGAGGGTGGTGGGGTAGCCCGCTGGTTAGTTCAATCGTCACGCTAAAGACCAGACCTCGATTCCATATATGGGTACAATAATAGCGGTGTAAAACCAATCTCGCTCACTCACGTCATTTGGGACGTGGGTTCCCAATAGTCTCAGTGGTTCATGGCATGGGGTCAGTGTTACCGTTCCCTGCTGTACACTGGATCTTGACTGATAAATAATGACCTGGAGCGGTTATTTTTAGAGCTGTTGGTTTCTGTATCCGATAGGTGTATTTGATCCCTACACTATACATTGTTCCAGTTAACTGAAATGTTGTTTGTGGATCACACAAAAAATAACCACGGGTGAATATGAACTTGAAAAGACATGCAAGGATTTATAATTTTAGCAAACACCAGACTGTCATGTTGGGCCGATTTGCTTTCAATCAGGTAGTGGGGGCCTGCATATCCCAGTCGTCTAAGGTTCCGTAATTTGCATTACACAACTGGGCCAGGGGTCACATGATTCAAGAGCATTGCAACTCGCAAAAATCAGAATCTTTCATAATTTTTGGGGGGTAAACAGTACTCTTACTTGATGAGCTTGCAAAGAGTAAAAACTGACCGACAAAACCCACCGGAAACATTGTTATTCCCAGTGCATCACAGAGTTGTGTCCCTTAGCATGCCAGAATCTGCAGGTCATGGTTTCAAACTCACCTCAAGCACTAAATTCAGATGTCCAGTCGATTTCAGGCACAGGCTTATTACTGTTCACAAAAAATTCTCAAGATGTGAAACAATTGACACGTCATACCTTGTAGTGGCAGTACAAGTGAACTGCAGTCAGTAGGACGTGCCAACTGGTCTCGATTGAATTCTATGAAGCAGTCACATTTCCCACTCTTCAACGCAAATCAATTTATAGAAAGGTAATGACAGACTACCAATTTGACCTTTTAGAGTAATTTTGATGATTCAGTTTGTTGTTATGAATGACCTTGACCTTTGTAGACAAGCCAATGAGGATCCCCATCACCTTCCGACAAGCCAAGAATTACCCTGTTGATCTGTACTACCTCATGGACCTCTCAAACTCCATGGAGGATGACAAGCTCAAGCTGGCCGAACTCGGCAACCGTATTGGTCAGTATTTTCACTTTCAACCTGCCTGTGTATGTGTTAGAGAGAGATTAGCAGACTAGATCCCCAGTTCCCTATGCTCAACATCCTGTGTGTGTTGGAGGGACTTGGCCAGACAAGATCTCTGGCACCCCGTGCCCATCATCTGTGTTTTTTCCCCTTTGTCAACAAGTGCCTCGTACTGACACTAGTGAATGTTGGTATTCTGGAAACAGCAGAGATGTGGAAGACAGTAGATACTGTTTGTTATTAACCTGAGCTTTTTCTTGCAGCTGATGAAATGTCAGAAATCACCAAGAACTTCCGTCTTGGCTTTGGGTCCTTTGTGGACAAAGTGGTCATGCCCTATGTCAGTACGGTTCCCGAGAAGTAAGTTACCTCCTAGCCCCCATGTTAGTCTCAAAATCAATTACCATATTCGACGTAATAAACTCCCCACTCTAATTAGCGCCCACGGCGATTTTTGCTAAAAAAATTGGCTAGTGAACAATCCTAATCAGCACCCCTTCCGATTGATCAATGTACACAAGACTTATTTATTCGTGTATAATACGCACTCGTGTGTTGTATGCACCCTTAATTATGGGCAATTAAATCCTAGAAAAATATATCTGTCGTGTGCACAGATTTTTCTTTTGTATCATTTCAGGCTGTCAGCATAAACCACAAAATTTATGATCTTACAACTCTGGGTTTTTTTTCACCAAAATTATATTCTAATAAGAGCCCCCCATTTCTAATTTTGAGAGCGCCCTGGGCACTTATCATTGCTTATTACGTCGAATATGTTGATCATAGATACATACCACTATCACTAAATAAAGTGGAACCTTCTACATCTGCTTCTTGAATCTGTAGTTTGCTTTCTATATACTGAAGGTGATATATCTCATTTAAGGATGATCTTTTTTTCGGCTATGATACTTCTCTCTTTAAAGTTGGGACGACACTTCTTAGGAGGTCAAGTCAGGGGAACCTAGAGCAACCTTTGACCTCCCTTCTAAATGGGGGATGTTTGGGTTCTTGAACCAATCAAATCAGCTTTCCAAGATGATTCAGCTTCATTTGTTGCCATAATTATTTGGATATTTAAATCTTAACAAAAGAACACACAACACAAATACCCTTTCGATAGTACACACTTCTTGGTGTAGATGCCATGGCTCTTACATCCGGGGTAGAATAGGTCTTCAGCAACCCATGCTTGCCTTAACAGGTGACTGTGCTTGTTGTAAAAGGCGACGTACAGGATGGGGTGGTCAGGCACATTGACTTGGTTGATACATGTTATCAAATCCCAATTCATGATGTCAATCACTGGATTGTCTATTCCAGATTCGATTATTTAAAGATGCTGTCATATGGCTGGAATATTGCCGAGTGCGACGTTTAACAACAAACAAACAAATCTTACAAATGACAGGGTGTGTAATATGTCCACATGTAACGGACTCAGAAATCAGGTATTTTGGTCTGGAGGGTCTGTACTATCTTTACACGGATATAAATATTTTAATTTGATTGAGAAAACCAATCCTGAATTGAAGATATGAAGGGAATACACCAGACACAAACATTTAGCTCCATCACCTATTTTGTTGATATGACACATATTAATAGAACAGAGCTGTAAACATTGTTCTACAATGCGCCCATGTGTCCCCTACGCGTTTCCATCAGGAAATGTTCAACAGACTTACAAGGAAACAAAGAATAGACCAACAAATGTTTTTTGACTCCAGGTTAAACATGCCGTGTCGGATGCGGAACGGACAACCTTGTGAGTCTCCATACGGCTTCAAGAACCAGCTGCGTCTTGACCTTGATACTACACTCTTCGCAGTAGGTATTTTGAAGTCACTTAGGGGTCTAGGGAGGCGCGTCCAAGGACGATCTACTTGTCTAGGGGGCATCCAAGGAAGATCTACTATAGTCTAGGGAGTCATCCAAGGAAGATCAACTTGTCCAAGGGGCATCTAAGGAAGTTATTCTGTGGTCTAGGGGGCATCCAAGGAAGATCTATGGTCTAGGGAGGCATCCAAGGAAGATCTACTATAGTCTAGGGAGTCATCCAAGGAAGATCAACTTGTCTAGGGGGCATCCAAGGAAGATATTCTGTGGTCTAGGGGGCCTCCAAGGAAGATCTATGGTCTAGGGAGGCATCCAAGGAAGATCTACTATAGTCTAGGGAGTCATCCAAGGAAGATCAACTTGTCTAGGGGGCATCCAAGGAAGATATTCTGTGGTCTAGGGGGCCTCCAAGGAAGATCTACTTGTCTAGGGGGCATCCAAGGAAGACCTATGGTCTAGGGAGGCATACAAGGAAGACCTATGGTTTAGGGGGCATCAAAGGAAGATCTTCTATGGTATAGGGGGGTTCCAAGTCAGATCTACTATGGTCAAAGGGGGATCCAAGGAAGATCTATGGTCTAGTTAGGCATCCAAGGAAGATCTACTATGGACTAGGGGGCATCTGAGAAAGATCTACTATGATCTAGGGGATATCCAAGGAAGATCTTCTTTGGTCTAGGGGGGCATCCAAGGAAGATCTGCTATGGTATAAGGGAGATCTAAGGAAGATATTATATTGTCTAGGGGGAGCCAAGTAAGATCTACTTCAGTCTAGGGGGGGAATTCAAAGAAAATCTACTATGGTTTAAGGGGGCATCCAAGGAAGATCTACTATGGTCTGGGGGGCATGCAAGGAAGATCTACTACGGTCTAGGTGGCATCCAAAGAAAATCTACTTTGGTCTATTCTAATACCAAAAAACATTCAGCGAAAGTTAGTTGACCCTTGTTGAAAGTTGACCAATATTTTATCATACGTAGACATACAAAATCAGTATTCTTTTATTGAAAATGCTTTGGGAGATGTCTTAACACACTTTCAATTTTTCAGCAACAAGTACGAGCTGCTAATGTGTCTGGTAACCTTGACGCCCCAGAGGGAGGTTTTGATGCCATCATGCAGGCTGTTGCGTGTGATGTAAGTTACCCCCTGTGATCTCGGATGATTACCCGAAAATTATAGCCTCAAAAATATATTTTCCAATTTGAATTATGTATAAACATAAAGATGACAATCATAACGATCACTATGATTACCAGTTAAAGAGAAGTTTAATATTTTGAATAAGATTATATTTTATATCAACATGGTTACGGCATTTCGAGATTTTCCCTAGGACTAAATTATCAGGATTTTCACTTGTGTAATGAAGATATTTATTAAGTGTTATTTGCTGATATTTTGTTAAACACTTTTGAATAACTTATCAGCATTCACTATATACATGACATAGGGTTGGTATGAATTAGTTACAGCCAAACCCTGTTGTTTCAAAATCATAGTCCTACTCTATTTATTACTAGTTTGAACCAAGATGTGCTGAACTGGATGTGTCAAATTCCTGGTTGTCCCGAACTCAATTCATAGTCCCAAGAGTTTTAACATATGAAAACCTTTACGTGCACAATGTTGCACATTTGCATTCTGTTGTGGGATGGATAAATCAGATGGTAATAAAGTCAAGTTGTTTGTGTCGAACCACGACTATGTCAAACTATTTATCTGCTTCCTCCAGGAGTTTGAGACAATGGGGTTTAGCTGTATTAAATATTCGTCCTGACACACTTCCCTCGTGGATTTATTATTGATAAATGGTTCATCATTGAAGTTTTTGATATTAAATAATGTCAAATAATTAAAGAGATTATTCTGCATTCTTTCTTTGGGCAGTCGATAAGCCTAGTGGTTAAAGCATTCGCACATCATGCCAAAAACCTTGGTTCGATTCCCGCCATGATATTGCTGTAATATTGCCAAAAGTGGCGTAAAACCTCACTCACTCACTTTGATATTTCTTGGCCTAAATATGATATATACATCTATATATTCTATCTGTTGTTCATTTTGCCTGAAATATTAATGAGATTGTGTTTCAGATTATTCAATATGGTATATTCTATATACAGCACATTTTGTCTTTACGAACACTGGTCTTAGTTAAGCTACACAGTAATAGACTGATGAACATTGTGTTTCTTTGTACAACACTGTTCAGTTGGTCCTTGTGACTATCACCCTGTAGCCTTCATTGGTTTGCTAGTGTGGCCCTCCTTGCCTCAGCTTGTGTTCGCACTCTGCAAACCCCAGTTTCATCTGAGCAAATTTAAGATATTTCACCGGGAAATAAACAGATGATGATATAGAATAAACTAGTATTTTGTTTCCATTTTCTATGCCGTGTTGCGTTGCCAAGTCTGAGACACATGAAGATTCTGGGTTAGAATTAGTCTTCAGCAACTCATGCTTGTTGTAATAGGCGACTAACAAGATTGGGTGGTCAGGCTCGCTGACTTGGTTGATGCATATCATCCTATCCCATTTGCGTAGATTGATTATCATGATGTGTCAATCACTGGATTGTCTGGTCCAAACTTGTTTATTTATAGATTTTCGTCTTCTGCTGGAATATTGTTGAATACGGCATTACACAACTGACAAAACCTCTCAGATAAGGATCACATCATTGCAGAGCTTATCTAATCTTACTGGCTTGACAGATTACCGTAAACCATGGAATAAACTCAGGGCCAACAGAAGCCTTGATAGAAATAAATGCCTGGTCAAATACTTACAGACCGCCGTCATATGGCTGCAATATTGCTGAGTGCGGCGTGTACAGCAAAGTAACCAAACAAAGGAAAATATTCGGATCAGGCGGTTACAGCATGTACAGTGTGTGTTGTCCGATCTTATCCCAGGCCACTGTGTTATGGCTGACATTTTGCTGACCTTGACTTTATCAACACTCACTCACTCACTCCATGCCGGGCTAGGGTAGGTCCCCCAGCAAACTATGCTTGGCATTAGAAGCAACCTAATGGATCGAATGGTCAGGCTCGGTGAGCTGATAGCGTGTCATTGTACCCCAACAGCGTTGCTCATAATATCAATCACTGGTTTGTCTGGTCCAGATTGATTATTTACAGGCTACTGTTATATAGCTGGAATAGGTGTTAAACAACAAAGAAACACAAACAAACAAACAAACCAAAGTACAAAAATATAGGGACAAGAAGGAAGGGCATTTTCATGCGTAAAACCAAACTCACTCACTCACTCACACTATATATGTGTAAATATTATTATCTATAATACCTGTGTGACTGCACTATTGAAACTTTAAGGAGAGGATATTTATGATTGTGAAAGTGTTTGAATGACAATATCCGTGTTGACAACACTCTGTCTTATTGAAGGAAAGTATAGGCTGGAGAGATGTATCCCGTAGAATGTTGCTATTCTCGACTGACGCGGGTTTCCATTACGCGGGCGACGGGAAGGTTTGTTCTGCTAGGATGAATGGTTACACTGTCACCTTGCGTGGTTCTTCTCTCCGTCTTATTTCTTCACTATTGCTTTGCCTTTATTTCTGTATGTAGAACTTGCTTTTTTCACTTTTTGTTTATTCTTCTAACATGACATCCAGCGTCTGTCTGTGGACTGTGGCAGAAGAAAGGACACAAGTATTCACAGCTAGCTTCATGAAAATAGAAATGGATGTTTGAATATTGGTCGGGTGAAATGGGTTTTATCAAAAATGAGGAATGAGAAAGCCCTGGGTCACGACATGAAATCAGAATATCTTTTAGTTTCATATATTGTATAAGTTGACTGCAGATAATATTATTATTTGGTTAACAAAAGACAACAAAATAAGACTGTTGGAATTTCTTTGTTAGAAATAAACTACTTCTGTAGCTCTTTGTTTCTTAAGAAGTAAAAATGCTGCGATACTGGAACACTGTTAAAAGCGACATTAACCTCAACTCACTCACTCACTTAAGAAGTAAATTTTCAATTGTTTTGCAGCCTTGAGTTTTGACATTGAATTTAATTCTCATCATAAAAACCAAGTGTAAGTTGTTTACTGTGTTTCAAAATTACGATGACAACGACTCATAAAATGTCATTTCTCAAGTTTGAATTAGAATCATGATAAACATATTGAACCATCATTTCTCCGTGTTGAGCCCAGTGAATGGTTGTGATTACGCTGTCCCAGCAGCTGCCTCTGTGGCCACAGACAGACGGTGGTTTCCTTGCCCTCTTCATCAACTCTATTCTCTGCATCATGTCGTAACCATGTGCCTGATTTCAGTCGTCTATTGGTTGGAGAAACCAGTCTCGAAGAATGATCATCTTTTCCACCGACTCCGGCTTTCATTACGCAGGGGACGGCAAGGTCCGTGGAGCCTCTTTGGCTCCCTTTTAGTCTGAAGAGTGTAATTTGATATCCCAGCACCACACATGGCTTTTTCAATATTATGTTAATTTTCATCCCAAAAATAATTTTGACAGAATAATAAATGGATTTTTGGTTTAAAAAGGTGAAATGCTTCTGCTGTTTAACCCACTGTCTGGTCTTTCGGTTCTGGATTTTAAACCAAGGACAGGTAACTCTAATTTGCCACCCAAAGTGAAACCGTACCTTGGGAGTATAGTGTCCGGATGCGCTTTACACAGTTTAAGCCATTAAAGTTATTCTGGAAAAAAAAGATTAAGACCAAACAAAAAAAACAGAAACAGACTTTTTGGGATGGGACCTCATCAAGTATTTTTGATTAAAGCTCTTTGTGATAGTAGTTTGAAATATAAAGCAGATGCTTGTGAACTGTTTGGTTTCAGTATTACAGAGAGCAGGAGTGCCACTGTGCATCAGCTGTATGGGATGGTTGTTCATTGTGTGGTGTTGGGTATCACTCTTACACTCCTGGACTTGGGTTCTAGTTAGTTACGTTTAACCTAAAATTTATTTCTTTAATGTTTTCTAAGATATTTTGCCAGAATTTAGAACAGTTGAGACAAGGACACTGAGACATTTTGGGTGTTGACATCAGGTATGCCAGGGAACTGATACCGAGCCAAAGGACCTGTAAAAGGCGACTAAGCTTGTTGTAACAGGCGACTAACGGGATCGGGTGGCCAGGATCACTGACTTGGTTGATGCCTTCCATCTAATCCCAAATGCGTGGATTGATGCTCATGATGTCAATCACTCACTTGTCTGGTTCAGAGTGTTTACAGACCTCCGTCATATAGCTGGAATAATGCTGAGTGTGTCATTAAACAAAAAACAAACAAACCAAGTCAAAATAACTACTTGTTTGGAATGTCGATTCTTCAAATGCTGTTTCTGTTTTTAAATTGTAACAGTCTGTGGAATTGCTAAAATTTTTAAAAAGGTTGTGCTTGAAAAGAAAACATGACAACAGCTTGTTCTCAGAAAACAATGTGATTTGCAAATAAATTCTTTAAATTAGTGAAAGGGTTTAGGATTTTTGATAGAAAATAAGACGACAAATGGCAAGAGGCAGATCAAGGGCTCTGGTCTAAATTAAACCCTCCCCCTTCTCCCAACCCCGACCCCTGAAGTGGATTTGCTTCCTGACCCCCCTTGCAGCACCCTGGATCTGCCTCTCAATTTGTCTGCACGAGAGAGCTGTAGAAAGTGGATGTTGAGTTCCCACAAGTGCCCCGTGTGGTTTCCCAGCAATCTATGCTGGTCGTGGGGCGGTCGGGTAGCCTAGTGGTTAAAGCGTTCGCTCGTCACGCCGAAGACCCGGGTTCGATACCCGACATGGGTACAATGTGTGAAGCCCATTTCTGGTGTCCCCCGCCGTGATATTGCTGGAATATTGCTAAAAGCGGCGTAAAACCATACTCAGTCAGTCAGCTATGCTGGTCGTAGGGGGCGACAGAATAGATGAGGTGCTCAAGCTCAGTGACTTGGTTGACCGCATGTACCCTGACCATGTGGATCGTTGCTCACATTATCAATCACTGGATTGTCTGGTCCAGACTGGAAATGTGGGTGAAATATTCCTGAGTGAGGCGTTAAGCAAAAAAAACCAACAAAAGCATGCAGGGTAGTCCATACAGTGCCTAGAATAACCATACATGGGAATAATTGTAGCCAAAGATGAAAATTGTGACCGGTTTTCTTTCTTCCTTGATGTTGAATGTTTCTGCTTTAGAAGCATGCTCTCCAGGACATTTCTAAAACTAGACTTTCCAAGATATTCACTGCTTTAACTAACAAGATGTAGTCTGGGGTCGCATGGTAGTTGAGTTATTGCATGTTACCTTGGCTTCTCTCATAATACTAGTATTGTCTTGACTTTGAGGGCAATATGAGTGGTATCTGTATCTAACAGGCAATTTCACCATGCCTTTGCCTCAAGCAACTTTGATATGTAGCTGTCAGCGTTTTGGGGGAATCTGTTTTATAGCAGCTGATTTTTGACCGCGATGATAAGGTCACAGTGGCAGATGAGTGCGGCTAATTCTAGGGTCGTTGAGGGCGGGGGAGGGTAGACTAGTGGTTAAAGTGTTTGCTTGTCACCATGAAGGCATGGGTTTGATTTTCCCGGATGAATACAATGTGTGAAACTCATGTCTGCGGGTGTGCCCTGCTGTGATATTGCTGGCGTAAAACCATACTCACTCACTCACCCTTGGATTGGTAATCGAGGGAGACATGATATATCACCGCTGTGACCCGGTACCTACTCATCAGAGACCTGTGAAGATCCGGGGTAGAATAGGTCTTCAGCAGCCCATGCTTGTCTCCCGTGAAGATCCGGGGTAGAATAGATCTTCAGCTGCCCATGCTTGCTGTAAAAGGCGACTAGGCTTGTCGTAAGAGGAGACTAACGGAACCGGGTGGTATGGCTCGCTGACTTGGTTGATGCATGTCATTGTATCCCAATTGCGTAGATTGATGCTCATGATGTCAATCACTGGATTGTGTGGTCCAGACTAGATTATTTTCACACCTCCGTCATATAGCTGGAATATTGCTGAGTGCAGCGTTAAACAAAAAACAGACAAAAAACCAAACTTACTCGTCCGAGCATTACATGTATTGAACAATCTCACTCACTGTTACAGATGTGATGTGGGTGACTCAGCAATAAATCACCAGTTACTCCTCTTTATTTAGTTAACAGCTACATTAAAATGTTGCTTGATGCGAAGGTTGAATGTAAAATCATATGCTATTCTTCATTGCCAGGGTGGGCTAGTTCTCAGTCTATAACATATCTAGCCTTAAGTAACATGTTATATAATTTACTTGCCTATACATTTCTATGTGATGGGTTTGGAATTCAAAAACTTCTTGAGAAAGGAAAATGTTGTTTGACAAATCTGTAAATGTTAACGACGATCTGATCTTTTTTATGTATATTGTATATTCTTTTCTTAAAGTATGATGGCCTGTGTACAAGCAGCAAGCCTCCCACCAGTAATATGCTTTTGAAATGACCACATTAGCTATTAATATCCCATCTGTTAAAGGTAAATTCTGTTTAGATTGATGATAGAAGATTAGATTGTGGATTTAGACTTGTATGTCTACTGCTTTTATTTGTCACCCTATATGCAAGAGTTATAGTATCATGTTTTGGTTGTTCAGCTTGGTGGTATTGTGAAGCCGAATGATGGACTCTGTCACATGGACTCCTACGGAGTCTACACCGAGAGCTCCAACCAGGTGAGTGCTTCGATAATTGGGGTGCTGGTCTGAAGGTGGGGAGAGATCGGGGAGCTTGTCTCAAGGGGTGAGAATATGGGGGAAGGGGGGGGGAATCATTTGGGAAGTGGTCTGAAGGGGGATCAGTGGGGAGGTGGTCTGAAGGGGGATCAGTGGGGAGGTGGTCTGAAGGGGGATCAGTGGGGAGGTGGTCTGAAGGGGGATCAGTGGGGAGGTGGTCCGAAGGGGGATCAGTGGGGAGGTGGTCCGAAGGGGGATCAGTGGGGAGGTGGTCCGAAGGGGGATCAGTGGGGAGTTGGTCTGAAGGGGGATCAGTGGGGAAGTGGTCTGAAGGGGGATCAGTGGGGAGGTGGTCTGAAGGGGGATCAGTGGGGAGGTGGTCTGAAGGGGGATCAGTGGGGAAGTGGTCTGAAGGGGGATCAGTGGGGAGGTGGTCTGAAGGGGGATCAGTGCGTAAGTGGTCTGAAGGGGGATCAGTGGGGAGGTGGTCTGAAGGGGGATCAGTGGGAAAGTGGTCTGAAGGGGGATCAGTGGGGAGGTGGTCTGAAGGGGGATCAGTGGGGAAGTGGTCTGAAGGGGATCATTGGGAAAGTGGTCTGAAGGGGGATCAGTGGGGAGGTGGTCTGAAGGGGGATCAGTGGGGAAGTGGTCTGAAGGGGGATCAGTGGGGAGGTGGTCTGAAGGGGGATCAGTGGGAAAGTGGTCTGAAGGGGGATCAGTGGGGAGGTGGTCTGAAGGGGGATCAGTGGGGAAGTGGTCTGAAGGGGATCATTGGGAAAGTGGTCTGAAGGGGGATCAGTGGGGAAGTGGTCTGAAGGGGGATCAGTGGGGAAGTGGTCTGAAGGGGATCAGTGGGGAGGTGGTCTGAAGGGGGATCAGTGGGGAGGTGGTCTGAAGGGGGATCAGTGGGAGGTGGTCTGAAGGGGATGGAGACAGTTCAGCTGAAGTGGGTTTATATAGTTCAGCTGAAAGGGGTTAAGGTTTGTTGGGTTAGGATGCCGGATCAGAAATGAATAAATCAAGTTAAAAACGGTTTAGATGTAGGAAACAGTATAACATTTATTGTTATGATCAGTTGATATTTGTGCATTTTTCACTATCAAAACCATCTTTGAAGTCAATTCGTAATGATAAAGCTTTTGAGAGGGTGGTTCAAACGTGAGTATTAATTTACTTCAACTGTACTTAATCCCGGTCTCTTCAGGATTACCCATCAGTCAGTCAGATCTCAGCCAAGATCATCGAGAAGAATGTCAACATTATCTTCGCTGTGACCAAGGACCAGACACCAGTGTATGAGAAACTCGCCACTGCTATTGAAGGCTCTCTAGCCGGAGAACTTGCTAACGACTCTTCAAACATCGTAGATCTCATCAGGGAAAATTATGACGTGAGTTCCACTGGTAGATTTTATTGTTTTACAGAGTTATGGCCCTTGCCACGTCCTTTTCAACTGAGTGCATAATGTGTGCAATGTGGACAAGTTTTCTCAAAAACTATTTAAGTTGGAGAAATGAAATTTTACACACTGATGTAACTGGTCATGATGTAAAGTTTGTTCGACAGTTGGTGTCTTAAAATTTATTTTTTTACAGAGTCATGGCCCTTGCTCCGTGCTTTTTAACTTAGTGCATATTGCATAAAATGGGGACAAGTTTTCTCAGAAACTACTGAAGTTGCATGTTTGAAAGTTGGCATGCTTATCTAAGAGATACAGGGGGCACGGGTGGCCCAGTCGTCTAAGGCGCCGCGATTCGCTGTGCAGAGTTGCGTCCCATGGACACGCCAGAAACCTGTGATTGTGGGTTCGAATCCCGGTTCACCCCGATTATGTTTCTAGGTTTGTCAGCACCATACCCGTGCTCGTGGGTTTCACCGAAGTAAGAAAACGTCTCTGAGACCTGCATCACTTCGGGCTTTCCTCCCACATTAAACTGACACGCCGTGATATAAATGGAATACTGTTAAAAGCGGTGTAAAACCCAACTCACTGACTCACTCACTAAGAGATACTTGTCAAGGATGAGTTCCAAAATTGGTCCCGGAAATGATATTTTATAGAGTTACAGTGCTTGATCCATGTTATCTTACTTAGTGTTTAGTATCGATCCAGATAAATTGTGATATTTTCTGGAGTTCTGAGTTTTGACTTTGTTTTTGTCATTTCTGTCGTTGTAAAAAATTGTTGGAAAATACTTGCAGAGAATTTTTTTTTTCTTTACAGAAAATTACTTCCAAAGTCATTTTGAACACACAAAATGCAGAGAATGTTACTGTCAAGTTCTTTTCCAAGTGTTTTGGGTGAGTTCACAGCCACGTAGGCTCATTTGTTTACATCTCTGACCAACCCATCCACCAGGTCTAACAAGAGAACTCTTACACTTCAGGAAAACATTCATGTGAGCTCATGCATTAAACTACTGTTGTAGTCTGTCTGTATTGCATGTGGAACACTGAAGATGAAACTCTGAATATCTGAAACTAACATAAACCTGCTAGAATGAGACTGGCACAATTCATGAAGGACAAGTGACTAAAAAGCAATAGGTCGGCGGTTCAGTCACGCCGAAAGTTGTAAAAAGATGGTACTGCATTAAGGGGATGACCTGTCGTGTCCCTTTCACTGCTACAGTATAGACCCTGCTTGCTACAGTATAGACCCTGTTTGCTACAGTATAGATCCTGTCTGCTACAGTATTGACCCTGTTTGCTGCAGCATGGACCCTGTCTGCTACAGTGATGACCCTGTCTGCTACAGTATTGACCCTGTTTGCTACAGTATAGACCCTGTCTGCTACAGTACAGACCCTGTCTGCTACAGTATTGACCCTGTTTGCTACAGTATTGACCCTGTCTGTGACAGTATTGACCCTGTCTGCTACAGTGTAGACCCTGTTTGCTACAGTATAGACCCTGCTTGCTACAGTATAGACCTTGTTTGCTATAGTATTGACCCTGTTTGCTACATGAATCCTGTGCCTGTTTCAGAGACAAGATGAAAGAAACCAATGAATGCGAGGAGCTTGGGATTGGTGCCAATGTGAGTTGTTCATTTTTCAATTTTGCTTTTAATTCCACTGAACAAATTCACTCTGAATATGTTTCTTGGTAATACAGAGTTGCACCTCTTGGACATTTCAGAAAGCTATGATCTTGGTTCAAATACTTGATTTCGTCTGAGGATGTTTCTTTTGAACTTTTTAAAGTGGTAAATGTCAAATACCAACATCAAGTCAGACTTTCTTTCCACTATAAGAGGGTTGAGCTGACATGTTTGCTGCTCAAAGATGTACAGTATTTTAACTATTTCAAAGTAACAGACTTGTTGATGTAGGGTTTGATGGTTGATGACATCATTTGTTTGCCTCACTACACACAACTCACGACACACAACTCACGACACACAACTCACAACGACACACAACTCACCACCCGGGGTAGAACAGGTCCTCAACCACACATGCTTGTCGTAAAAGGCGACAATGTTTGTCATAAGAGGAAACTAACAGGATCGGGTGATCAGGCTTGCTGACTTGGTTGATGCATGTCATTGTAGAAGGATGCTCATGATGTCAATCACTGGATTGTCTGGTCTACACTCGATTATGTACAGACAGCCATCACATAGCTGGAATATTGCTGAGTACAGGAGTACAAAGAAAATATTTATCTCTGAGATCGAGCTGAAGTGTTAAGGCAGCACCTCTGGATTCTCTGAATTTATCCTGAGATTGTGAAGCTTCATGTACATGTATATGGAGTTTGATATGATTTTTTCTTTGTTGTTAGGTGACGTTTGAGGTGGAGATCACAGTGGCCGAGTGTCCACGTGACAGAAGCCGATGGAACCGGACAGTCACTATTTACCCTGTAGGACTCTCGGAGAAGCTTATCCTTGACTTGAGACTGATCTGTGAATGTGATTGTGAGAAACCAGGACAGGAGGTAAGCCAATATCAGATCATGTCTAGCCAATATCAGACCATGTCTAGCCAATATCAGACCATGTCTAGCCAATATCAGATGGTGTCTGGCCAATATCAGATGGTGTCTGGCCAATATCAGATGGTGTCTGGCCAATATCAGATGGTGTCTGGCCAAAATCAGATGGTGTCTGGCCAATATCAGATGGTGTCTGGCCAATATCAGATGGTGTCTGGCACTCACTCTCTCACTAGCCCACCCACTCCATCTCAATCATCTTTCACTCATTTCAGATTCCCTACAGCCCCCTATGTTCGTCTGGCAATGGAACGTATGAGTGCGGAAAGTGCACATGTAACCCGGGGCGATATGGGAAGAACTGCGAGTGTGACTCCAGCAAAGTCTCTAGTGAAGAGTCGGATGCCAAGTGTATCAAGTAAGTTGCCATGGTTACCCAGTGAAGGCGACAGAAGAGATCCTCCCCCTGATCTTTGGTTCCAAACCTGTTCATGATCACCGTCATCTGTACTTGTAGGACAGTGGCCTCTTACTACATTATGGGGCGGTCGGGGTAGCCTAGTGGTTAAAGCATACTATTCCCGACATGGGTACAATGTGTGAAGTCCATTTCTTGTGTCTGGTGCATATATGTCTTCAAATCAGATTAGGGGCAGTCGGGTAGCCTAGTGGTTAAAGGGTTCGCTCGTCACGCCGAAGACCCAGGTTCAATTCCCGACATGGGTACAATGTGTGAAAGCCATTTCTGGTGTCCCCCGCCGTGATATTGCTGGAATATTGCTAAAAGCGGCGTAAAACCACACTCACTCACTCACTCACTCACTCACTCAAATGTGATTAACTCTATGGAGGCATTATCATTGGTGTTGAGTTGATGATAAGAAATATGAACAAGCTCATGTCACTTCCGACATGAAGCCATTGGAGAAAGGGTCAAGGCTGTACATAGAATGGAGATATGATACACTGGATTACTGAGACTGTTGTGTTTGTGGGGGCACGGGTGGCCCAGTCGTCTAAGGCGCTGCGCTGAGTACTGGAGGCATTATACTTTAATGTCCCCCCATGACAATATGGCTGAAATGATGCAAGAAGCAGTATTAATGTTGCTGACTCACACTCTTAATTCATGTGGATTCTGCCATCGAGTCACGTGATTCAGGGGTCTGTCCCATGAGATTGCAACTGCGCATCAGTAGACCAGTGCGACCTCGTGGCGTAGACGGGACAACACTGAAATTATCTTTCTCGGGATACATATGCCCCTTCATCACTCCTGACAGGCTGGTAGAATTCTAATCAACCTTCAACTTACAACTTTACTTTACTAATTATGTCCCCTTCCAGACCCAACTCGACAGTGCCGTGTTCCGGCCGAGGACAGTGTGTGTGCGGGGTGTGTGAGTGTTTCCCCCGCACAGCCAACTCTGCCCAGAAGTACAGCGGAACATTCTGCGAGTGTGACAACTATTCCTGCGACTACTCTGACGGGGAACTGTGTGGAGGTGGGTACTCGTACATCACGCCTGACTCACTGAGTACTCTGTACGCATTGTAAACATAACTATTCCTGCGACTACTCTGACGGGGAACTGTGTGGAGGTGGGTACTCGTACATCACGCCTAACTCATTGAGTACTCTGTACGCATTGTCAAAATACAGAAATATTGTGTATTTACCTCTAAACACGAGGATGTATTCCATTCTAGGTATGTAGATATGTATGCTCTGCAGATGAAGATAGGTTCTGTAAACGGAGATAGGCTCTGCAGATGAAGATAGGTTCTGTAAATGGAGAGAGGCTCTGCAGATGAAGATAGGCTCTGTAAACAGAGATAGGCTCTGCAGATGAAGATAGGTTCTGTAAACGGAGAGAGGCTCTGCAGATGAAGATAGGTTCTGTAAACGGAGAGAGGCTCTGCAGATGAAGATAGGTTCTGTAAACAGAGAGAGGCTCTGCAGATAAAGATAGGTTCTGTAAACGGAGAGAGGCTCTGCAGATGAAGATAGGTTTAGTAAACGGAGAGAGGCTCTGCAGATGAAGATAGGTTCTTTGAACAGAGATAGGCTCTGCAGATGAAGATAGGTTCTGTAAACGGAGAGAGGCTCTGCAGATGAAGATAGGCTCTGTAAACGGAGATAGGCTCTGCAGATGAAGATAGGTTCTGTAAACGGAGAGAGGCTCTGCAGATGAAGATAGGTTCTGTAAACGGAGAGAGGCTCTGCAGATGAAGATAGGTTCTGTAAATGGAGAGAGGCTCTGCAGATAAAAATAGGTTCTGTAAACGGAGAGAGGCTCTGCAGATGAAGATAGGTTCTGTAAACGGAGAGAGGCTCTGCAGATGAAGATAGGTTCTGTGAACAGAGATAGGCTCTGCAGATGAAGATAGGTTCTGTAAACGGAGAGAGGCTCTGCAGATGAAGATAGGTTCTGTAAACGGAGAGAGGCTCTGCAGATGAAGATAGGTTCTGTAAACGGAGAGAGGCTCTGCAGATGAAGATAGGTTCTGTAAACGGAGAGAGGCTCTGCAGATGAAGATAGGTTCTGTAAACGGAGAGAGGCTCTGCAGATGAAGATAGGTTCTGTAAACGGAGAGAGGCTCTGCAGATGTACAGCTTTGCATCCTTTGGGTATCCCAGGAAATGTTTGTGGGTTCGAATTCCTGACTTATAAAAGTTTAAGACCTGCACTACTTAAGGCTTTGGGGCAGTCGCATAGCCTAGTGGTTTAGGCGTTAGCTTGTCATGTGAAGACCCATGTTTGATTCCTGATATTGGTACAGTGTGTGACGCCCATTTCTAGTGTCCCCCGCCGTGA